GGGGGCATTCCGATGTTCCGTCCTTCGCGCACGCCACAAGAGCGAGAGAGAAAACACTATAAGACGTGATACCGAGTTAGAGATGTCCGATAGCCGTTTCTCTCGCTCGGCGCTCGAACGAGAGAGTGCGAGCGAAACAGTTATATATCGCACGGCATATCGCGCTGTCTCTATACACGTCTTTAACCCTTTCTCGCGCGCTTTAATATCGATATCGATATATTTTTCATTTCTTTTTTTAACGGAGTTAAAATGCGATTGAACCGCGTACACGGCGTATTCATTCTATTAAATTAAATAATAATTATATTATATAAAGAGAAAATTATACATTATATTACATATAATTTTACAAAATTTGTGAATTATATACCTGTAATTAATTTCAATTATAGAAATATGTGAATTATAATACGACCCGAGCACGCCAAGTTTTTGTAAGTTATTTTGGTCCTAATTTTTTTAGTTCCAAATTTACTTGGAACTTATTTTGAAAATCATTTTTATTTTGTCGAGAATCTAATATATAAATGCAAGATTGAATTTGTGACAAATATTTCAAATTACAAATCCCTATCAATTGCTTCAATGTACTTGGCTATTAATCATTAATTTTATATTTAGTTGTGATTTTTTAGGAAAATTATACATTTAGGAAAATTATTATATATATTTTTTGAGGGAAAATTTTTATAAATTATTTATTATAAGAGTATTTTTTTATTAAACGTTTTGTTGCATACAAGGTGGAATATTTTTTATGTACTTGGCGTATTTTTTTTACCTTTGTAAGGTTTTTTTTGAAAGAATTTCACATCTTTTTGTAAAATTTATTTATATTTCTGCAAAAAATATATATGCATTTTTAGCACTTCTAGGCCAACTACACTTTTGTACTACTAAATCATTTATTAATTGCCATCCGGTATATTACTACATATTATACGTCAAAATTATTGATTTAATTAAGTTTTTATCATTACATATTTACTATTATAGATTTCATTATTATTGCATTATTATTTATTATAAAATAAAATTTTGTTTCACATATGAAGAATCAAAGAAAATTTTAGAAGTTCAGATTTAATTAAAATAAAACATGCTGCAATTCTGTCATTGTATTAGATTTCTATCTTAAATAAAATGAAATTTAAAGTGAAATTTAGCCATTACTAGGTTTAAAGAGAAAAAAAAGAACCCACAGGGCACAAAATACTAAAAGACGACGAAAAGATATCTCTTCTAAGTCGACTTTTGGACATGGCGAAAAAGACGTCTTATAGATGTCTTTTCATCATGTCGAAAAGACGACTAAAACAAGATGTCCTTTCGTCGACCTTTTAAAGTCTAGAATTTGTACGTTCAAAAAGATAACTTAAAAAGACGACGAAAAGACATCATGTTTTAGTCGTCTTTTCGACAAAGCTGAGAAGATGTCGTTTAGTCGTCCTTTTCGTTGTTCCAAAAAGACGACTAAAATAAGGCGTCCTTTCGTCAACTTTTTTAAGTCTAGAATTTGTACGTCTAAAAATGATTTAAAAAAGACGACGAAAAGATGTCATGTTTTAGTCGTCTTTTTCAACATGTCGAAAAGACATCTATAAGACGTCTTTTTGCCATGTCCAAAAGTCAATTTAAAAAAGTCATCTTTTCGTCGTCTTTTAGTATTTTGTGCCCTGTGGCCCTGTGGGTAATGCATTGCGAAACATAAAGTTGGATTGAGGTAAGTATAGTAATTATGTCTAAAATATGTAGATAGAAGTAGAATAAACGATAATTTCTAGCAAATAATATATTTATTTCCACGGATTTTCCACAGCAAGCAATCGTTCAACCCAGATAGCACAAAGGTGAACATAAGTTCATAGGGAAATCATTTTAAAGAAGAATACTTGTAGAATTAGAAAAATGAATATCTGAAGAATTCTTGAAGAATTATTCATGATCAGTTCGTCTTGAAATATTCTTTATAAATTCATTTTAATGAATACTTTGCGACAGTACTATGAATACTTTGAGAATTTATAAGGAATTACTTGTTATTTTTCCACGCATGCGCGAGACTGTGTGTGTTCGGTTCGGACTTTATCTTGTAATTTTGTGCAGTGTGCAGTGTGCTACATGTATTTTGCAATAAAAAGGTGGTAATATATTTATATATATTATATCAGACTACAAAAGTACAGTGCTACATAATTATATTAATAATTGGGTGTTATTGAATGGTAGGTATTAGTTGAACTAAATATATTCCTACTATCTAACCTCGAAATAAACGCATGCAGTCTTTATTTTTGTTGTTTATTCAGTAAACAAGCTGTTTTAGTTGGTTTGCCAACAGAGTCAATCAAAATCTCTATCTATTGATAAATTTGGATAAATATTTGTCTGTATGTAGTTCATGTTCTTTCAACAGGCGATTTCTGATTATATGAATACAAACTTCTATTATATTTTCACATATTACTTTTATATATTACTTTTATATAGAATGTCTTATTCCTTTAGTCTTTCTAATGTATAATATAATGTTATATAATTTCATACATATATTTTATTACAGATTTATCAAAGTCACTCACGTATCACAATAAAAGTTTTAGACGAAACTGAAGAATAACCAACTACTATAGAAAATAAAAGTAAGTTGTATTTATATGCATTAATTAAATTACAGCGTTTAATATAAGTTGTTTATTATATTACATATATATTTACTTTTTTTAATTATATATGCATATAAAAATATAATATATATTGTATGCACATACATTTAATTTTAAATAAGAAGTTATATTAAAAAGAAGTTAAATATTAATAATATTGTGTATTAATTTTTCCTACAAAATGCCTTATGTTTACTGAAAAAATATACTAAATCTAAAAAAATAATTGATTCAATATTTATAAGAAAATATTTATTTAAATAATTGATTTCAATATTTACAAGAAAATATTTATTTATATTAAGCAAAAATATATTTGAATCAGCAAAATATACATGTATATTTTAATGATTCAAATATATTTTGGCTTAATATAAATAAATATTTTTTTGCAAATATTGAAATCAATTATTTTTTTAGATTTAGTATATTCTTTCAGTGTTCCAAATACTATTTCCATTGAATTCATAAAGTTTACATTTATGGAAATGGAAAAATACTATATGAATACTATATGAATACTATATGAATATTATATGAATACCCCAATAAGCAAAATGTAAGCAGTATGTCGACAGACTGGCAACAGATTTGATCAAACCATGTCAGCAGAATGACATCTACTGCGTCCTCATTCTGCTTCTAATCTGCTAGCAGAACCTGCTCACAGAATCGGATATCAGATTGTCGGCAGAAATCGAGCAGGATCTGCGCATGCAATTTGATGTTAGATTGTCAGCAGAAACCGAGCAGAATCTGCGCATGATAACAAATTGACAGCAGAAACTTCACAAGATTTGCGCTTACTTTTATTAATGTTATATAAATGCAACACAATTGATTATTACAGGTGCTAAATAACAATATTTATCGGCAAGTTAATTAGAATTTTCTTAGAAAATGACATATATGTAATATGTTATATCGTAGATATATCTCATATAGCGAAGAACTAATTCAATTTAATTAAATTAATAATAAAGTAAATGATAAAAGTAAATGTAACTTGTAAAACTTGAGATGAATTGACTTGAGACTAATTTATTATATTTAGAATTAAATTCTTGCTTTATGCCTCAAATAGGCAGTACATGAATAATTTTTCATTTATCATATTGATTTCAATCAGTTTAATATTCTGACTCTCATTTGCTTGTATCAGATATCAGAAATTAAAGTGATAGAAATTAAAATAATTACTACATTTTTAGTCTTTTATTCATATTCGCGACTTTATATATATTTCTGACAGAAATTCAATTACGAGAAAGTACAGCTCGCGTAGCGGTAAGTGAAGGAATTATCGAATCATGCAAACCCTGTTCCGTTTCTGCCATCAATCTGCTATCAGAGATTGTATGCGCAGATCCTGCTCGATTTTTGCCGACAATCTGTTGTCAAATTGCATCGCACAGATTCTGTTCAATTTCTGCCACCAATCTGCCACTAAGTTATGCCGGCAGAATCTGTTCGATTTTTGCTGCCAATCTGGTAACTGATTATGTTAACAAGCTTTGTTATATTTCTGTTGACATTCTGCTGACATCACATGATATATCAGAACCTGCATCGATTCTGTAATCTTTCTGTCGACAACAATTTCTAACAGATTCCCTGACAAGATCTGCTTTAGCAGACTTGGCTATTGGGGACTATATGAATACTATATGAATACTTTAAGAAGTTCTCAAGAATTCAATCATGGTGCATGTAACTTCCACAATCATTCTTATTGTATTCATCTATGAATTCCTAAAGAATTACAATTTAAAAAAGAGAAAACTTAAAGATTACTGTTAGAATTCACTGTGCTATCTGGGAAGTGTATTTACTATACAGTTCTGAAATGAAAAACCTTTCTGCGAAAATTCTTTCTGCGCGAGAAAAAGCGTCAAGAAAAGAAAAGTTTACATTGATTTATCTGTGACGTTACGCATTTGGACGCATTTATTGGGATCGCAGCCTTAACATTTAATGAAAGCGTAAGGCCGGGTCTACAATAGATAATTTAAGTCCTAAGCTTTAAGAAATTGACCAATCACAATCGAGTATTCTCTTCATACTTGACTGTGATTGGTCAATCTCTTAAGGCTTACGGCTTAAATTACCTATTGTAGACCCGGCCTAACCGCTTTAAGCGGCGAAAGATATTATAGAAAACAATTGAACTTCTCTCTTCAATTGTTACCTTCTTCTTCCCGAATGCTTCTTCCCGAACGTTGCCTCTCCTTCTTTCCGATAAAGATATCGTGGGCAAGACATCGTGGGCAACATTCTTTTCATTTTTTACTGTTTTATAATACATATATTTTTTTAATTATCTCGTGTAACTTTTAGTTTGTATTTTTTAAGGTGACCATTGTTCTACTGAATCAAGATTTTTGCAGCAAGAAAAGTTTGCAAATGATCAACGGCAAATTGGATAATGTCATGAGAAAGTTGGATACTATCTTAGCTTTCCACGATGAGGAAATGCCGTTAGCGCATTCTTCTCCGGATTTGTTACCTCTATTTCCATTAAAATCTAAGGCAGATGGAAAAAGATGAGGATTTACAAAAACAATTTGTAAGTACAACATAAATAATTTGTATAATTGTATTTGTATAATTGTATTTGTATTATTTTTCTATTAAAAAATGCATATTTTAATATTTTTGAAATTACATTTATTGTAGCAAAAAAGAATTCGCAGTATGGACGGCAAATCGGCAGAAAATCACCTTCGCAACTGTTTAGTTACAACTCTAAGTAATGAGCTAGCGAAATAGTTAACCTGGGAAGGCCAGCATCAGACGGTGGGAATAAAAAGCACTGTCTTTGCGAATATTATCATAGGTATGTGCATATATTTTGTGATTTTCTTGAAAAAGTTGTTTTTGTCCTATATGTGTGTTTCATCGTGATATTAATTTTTCAGACGCTATTCTAAACATGTACAGTAAAAGTGACATGTACAGTTTAAAGGCGAAATTCTGCGAATGGTTAAGAAGAGGAAGCGATAGACATCGTTATGAATTAAAGAAGTTTCTATAATACAACTATTTCTTGCTTGGAGTTTTAAGGTATGCGCGCAAGATTTATGAAAAAAAATTAATATTTTTGTACATATCGTGATAATGTGGTTTTAATAAAATTTGTATTTTTATAGATGGAAAGCTGCAGCCCTAATATAACAATGAACGAGAGAAAAACGCAGAATTATAATGAATATGAAAAAAAGGGACCTTTTCATCATAAGGGACATTGACGAAAAAGGAGGAATATTGATATAGTATGTATATATGTATATACAAAGAAGCACACAGTCACACGTACAATAGGCCGATTTTTTGCTAGTTTTTCGAAAGGAAAACGCCTTTTCAATTCCTTTCGAATCATAATTGTTTTGTTTACGAAATTGCAATGTTTTTTTTATTGTGAAATATTTTTCTTTATAACATTAATTAGAAATTACAGGGCACAATAGATAAATGAGTAAATTCTTTTATTTTTTTTTATTTACTATATTTAAAGTTTTTAGACATATGAAGCCAGACTTAATATTGTGCAATTTATTTTAGTATCTACACATTGTTTCTGTAAATCTTTGAACTCAGAACTTCACAAAATATTTTAGACTATGCCATATAGTTTAATGGTAAATAACAAATGAGATAACAAAGTGATACGTTAACGATATTTGTTTATGTTTATTTCAAGAAAGCTTAATTTCTAATTTCTTTATAATGATTTGTTTATGGTAAAAAATTCTATACAAAATATGTTTATTTTTGCATTACACTGATTTTAATATGTCTGGTTTTTATCTAATTACACTATGTGTTATTATAGATATAATTAAATAATATTAAAATTAAATATTAAAATATTTCTTCATATTTTATTCCATGTATAAATAAATACGTGTATATAATACACATATTTCTTTATACATGGAATAAAATATGAAGAAATAAATGTTAGATTGCGGCGCCCGCAATTGCGTATTCGATTACTTTTTAGATTGGAGGATGTATGTACACACGCACATATTTAATTGCAATGCCCGCAGTTGTAAACAGAGAGAAGATACATATAAAGTATATACATCTATCTTCTCTTTGGTTGTAGATTTTATAATATACACATACATACAAATGTTATGTATCAAGGACGAGCGGCAATACATGTCCACAAACATACACATATTAGAAATGAGCGATACAGAATATAATAACATTATAAATATCGATATTTTCATAATAATTTTATCGACAGTAATAATGTTTTCTAAAACAAGCCGATGGGTGCTGGGACTGTCATCCTTGGGCAACAGAGTCCGCATCGGTTATGTTTTTATATAAAACATTATTTCTGTAGATAAATAGTTATTATAATATCGATATTTTATTTGTTTTTATAAGTATTTTTAACAATATGTAAACTACATCTAAAATACGTCTTTTGTGCAAGTAACAAATGACCGAGCTACACTGTTATATATGTATATATATAATGATCAATTAATTATAGCACTTTTTTTTTAATATAATACATATTATTATATGTATAAAATTAAATACGTTTAATTGCTTAAACTCTATGTATGAATTGATTAATTGTAATATTACTATTATATCCGTGAAACGCACCGACAAAAAAAGATACACAATTTTTTTCAGATTTGACCTGTAATAGGTCAGAATTGGTTTTTACAAATATATCGCTCATATATATATATTTCTAATCGATTTTCTACATACACATGTGCGCGCATGCACACGCATTTATAAATGAAATTGTAATTTATTACAGATACTTAAATTATAAATATATTGAATAATAGTTTTTCTATTTTTGTTTTGTGATATATTTTTCTTTAAATTGGAAGGAATATAGTTTTAAGTAAATCATATTTGACAGTGACTGCATATTGCATTGTGATAAATGTTTTTTGATATATTTTGAATTAAATTAATATAGGGTCGGCATTATTATTTAATTAATAAATGCATTCAATGTAGAAATAAAAGAGAAGTAAAGATGAGAAATAAAAGATGTATTATAGTATTTATAAATAGTGCGTACATATAATAAAGAAATTATAGCATAATGTTCATGTAAGAGATATAAACAATTTTTTATTATAATAAAATTTTATTTATAAATTTTAAAAATAATGTAATATTTTTTAATATCTATCTACCTATCTATCCTAACTTAATATCCATATAGTACAAAGCAGTTTCAAAAATGACTAAAACTCGACATATTTCTATTCAAATTAAGACGTCTTTTAGTCTAATAATATAATCGACGAAAAAACGATTAAAAGTCGATTAAATTATGTCTAAAAGACGACTAAAAGATGTCTTAAAGTAAAGACGACTAAAAAATGTCTTAAGTCTTTAAAAACCTAATAAAAAGATGTCTTAAAGACGAAAATGTACAGATTTAGTCGTCTTTTAGTCATCTTTTAGTCATCCTTTGGTTTGACAGATTAGTGACTAAATTCGGGTCATGAGCCGATTTTTAGTCGACTTTTCGTCGACTATTGTCTCTAACTAAAAGACGTCTTTGACGAAAATATGTCCAGTTTTAGTCGTCTTTTAGACGTCTTTGTGTCTTGTGGGTTGTAAATTGTAATCAATTTTCATAAAGATTATTCTTATTCTAAATATAAAAAAAATATATAAATTGTATTGTATAGGTATTATATTTATTATTACAAAACAGAGAGAAATAGAGACAAATATTTTATACTTATTATAGAATAAAATGCATACATATAAAAAACTTATTTTCATATAGAGAAACGAGAACCAAAAAAATAAAAGTGACATGAGCGAATGAAAGAATATTATACCATGCAAATAAACAGAGACAGACAGAGGGAGAGACAGAGAGAGAGAGAGAGAAAGAGAGAGAGAGAGACGCCACATGTGTAACTGCTATGTGTGAAGCATGAAGCTGAGCGATATATAATGAACGAGAAATTAGAAAGAGACAGAATGAGCATATGATCGAGAAAATAAAAAAAATACGAGAGGAAACGTAATAATAATAATGCATATATATAAATTTTTGTCACACGCATGAAAGAGGGAAAAAGACAATACGATATTTTGTCTGTCCTTGTCGATAACAGATTGCAGTTCCATCTATCATGCTATCCGTCAACTAATTTTGTTTGATTTTACTCTTTTGATATCGATACTGTAACGCACGCACGTACACTAAACAGTTCGATAATAAATCTTTTTATATAAGCTTCTAAGATCATTTCTTTTACTTCTGTATTATTTTTTCATGTTATTCCAACTGCGAGCGCTGTGTCTTTTACACAGACAAACTGCAAAACTTATATATTAAAGCAATATTGTTACGACGTGATACAAGAAGTCGGTAACACTAATGTAATTAACACAGTTTTAAATAACTTTTCTTGGTTTTTGTGCATTAAATTATAGGCCCCTTCGTTATTCTTAGAACTTTAATTGTAGAAAAGGATTTATTGATCTGTGTAGCCAATAAAAAGATTTATGATCGAAATGATTCTTCGCATTTTGTCGGTAAAAAAGTCGACTTTAGGATCCCCTTAAGCGGCAGAAAATAATCTGAATCTGCAAAGTGATACAAAGAGCTTGCTCTACGAGTTCTACATTTGCAAAGATACTAGATAACTTATCAAAGATATAAATCTGCTACATTTGTCCTTTCTTCGGTTTTTGTTTATAATCAATGATCAAGAACAACATATTTCTCATACAACACAGAAAATTGTAGCAATATTGCAATGTTATTGTAATATTACAACAATATTAATAATATTGCTGCAATATTTTGTGCTGTATGAGTTGTCATTATTACCTTTTAAATCATTATGGAATGTACACGACAGCGTTCCGTATTATCACGAATCAATTGTAGAAAAAGCACAAGATCTGGTCATTCTACTAACTACCTCTAAAATTAATTTTCATTTAACAGCTCCTTCTATCTCTATCTATTACTAAAATTTGATTTCTGTTTAATTTTCTGCTATATCTCTTACTCAAACATATGAATGCATCATAACTTATCATAATAGAATGCTAATAATAACATTGATGTAATAGTTACAACTGTTCCGGAGAATATGTTCGCCAGATTACTGCGAAATATAACATTACAGTTTATCTAAAAATCGTTTGCGGAATGATTAATGTAAGTTCATGTGTTATTGTCTAATATTCTATAAAATTTAATATTAATGTCACATTGAAGATCAAAAATGCTCTGAAACTTTCGTATTTAATACGTGTATTGTAACAAAAGCGAATATTTTAATTAAATATATTGATAAATAAAAGAAAAAAGAACATGTTTTCTTGCTCTAATTACCGCACCTTGGCTTTTATTTGCCAATTTTTTTACTATTTAATTATTATTATTTGAACTTTACTTTAATTAAAAAACTTTACTATTACAGAAAAATAATAAATTTTGCTATTATAAAAATTTTTTATATAAAAATTTTTTATATAAAAAAATTTATATTTCTTAATCAATCTCTTTTTATTTATTAATAGTTTACAATATAAAAGATATTTCTTGATAAAAGTTTTTATTATGTTTGTATTCGAAATCTTTCTAAATTCTTGTAAAAAAATTCCCTGAATCGTGTTCCCTGATCTTCCAAGTATTTTTGTTTAAAATTTCAGAAAAAAAGAACATTTTAGAATTTTTGGTGCAATTTTATGAAATAAGTGTTTTTTATTATATATATTTTGTAATACTTTTCACTTCTACAATGAAAAAATACAAAATATTTCTTAATTTTCAAATGTTAGAAAAATTTAGAATTATACTAAAAAAAGCTGCGGAATGATTTTGCTGCGGAGTACATATTCACAATATTTTGTTAATACATTAAATATATAAACAAAAATATATAAATAATATATTTTAAACATATAATCCACTTGGATCGTCAATTGTTTATAACATGAAAAATCAAAGAGAACATTTTTCAAAAAAATTTCTTAAATCTCAATAAAATTCCAAGAAAATTCTCTAATTTTTCCAGATACAAAAATCCTTGAGAATTTCAGATTTTTCAAGGAGATACCTTATGTAAATAGTGTTTTATTTTGATATTAATTATAATAAGACAATAATGGAACAAAAAATAAAATAATGGAACAATAAATAACAAAATATAAATACTTATTTACACTACAGATAAATATTTTATACACGGAGCTTTATGCATGCAGACACTCCTAATCGGACGATCATAATCCAAACTAACAAAGAAATAGCATTTTCATGTTGACATGGCCAACTCAGAACATCTTGTAATGGCCATAATGTACCTTCTGATAGGATAATCACAGGTTCTTTTTTATATATATATAAAAGTAATAAAATTAATATACCCTGAAAACATTATGAAATTTGATAAGAATAATAAAAAATAAGTTGCATTTTTAAAAATAAGAATATTGAGATCTTTATTAGATTATAATCTTAAGTATAAAAGTTAATAAGAAATAAGAAATTATGTACAAATCTTTTTTGTATATTATACAATGATTAATCCATATCATTATTGTTTTAATAGAAGAATAAAATTATAATATAAAATTAAATATATATATATATATATATATATATATATAAAATTATAAAATTAAATATATTTAAAATAATCTTTGATTTATGGATTAATAACTATAAATCAATTATCACAAGCTTTTACTAGAATAATAGGGATAAATTAAATTATAACATTAATTTTTATAAAATGAATAAATTTTTATAAAATTTTATAAAATTTTATATTAAAAATAAATATATATTTTTAATATAAAATTTATTTGCAAGTAATATAAAATTTACATAAAATATATATTTTATTACATGTTCTTTCTAAAAAAAGGACAATATTGAATTATGGAATAAATTAAGTAATTTGGAGAAAAAAATGAAAACTTTCACTAAGTTTGTTAAGTACGCCAAATCATAACAATTACAAAAATTTGTACTATTTCTCAGATCTAGTGTTATAATCTAATAAAGCTACAATGTAGTATCAAGAAAAAGTAAATATATACATACATTCAGTATATGAAAACTGTAAGTTAATAACATTTGCAGTTTCAATCTCCAACTTAGTCGTTCATCCACTGTAAAAAAAAATATATACAAAAAATGTAAATAATATAGCTATATAGAAATATATATAATATTTGTGGGTTTTCATATAAAATGACAAAACTACATTTTTATTTTATAGATAAATATTTTTATTTAATATTTTATTTTAATTTAATATTTCAATTTAATATTTTATTTTATTTTTTTACTTTGTTTCCTTACAAACATTTTTTATTTTATGTATTATACTGATTGTTTTTATGAAAAATTATTTGTAATTTTATGATTCATAAAAGTCAATTAGTTTTATTATAATAATCTAAAATGAAGAAGAAAAAGATAAACTTACTGTTTTTTTTCAATATATTTTCCAATTGGTTACATCTGCGTTGAAGCTTGGCATACTTGGCAAATTCGTTCATTATGGAAAGTCCTGTCATTTTTTCTTTTAAATCATTCAGTTCATTTCGCAATTCAATATCATACTTTCTTTGTGCAAACACATGTGGAAATATCTATATTTTACACAATATTTTGAAGCGTAAAATATTATGCAGCTTTATATATCATTACAATCACATATATACTTATACATACTTATAAATACAATCACATACATGATTATAATATCTAGATTTATAAAAATAAATAAAATAATTCTTGCAAATTTTGGTAAATGTTTAGTTTGACCCACTTTACTTCAATTTTAATAAAGATATACTCAAATTGATATATCTTTCCATGAAAACAAAAATATGGACAAGTAAAAATTAAAAATATAAAAAAAGCTTTAAGCTTTAAAAATAAAAAGCCATTTGAGGAGATTAAGATATCTGTTACTGATAGAATACTGACAATATGAGCATATGTTGCAATGAAAAAAAAGATACGTGAAATTTAAATAAAAATAGATATTTCTATACATTTACTAGTTATTGTTTATTGTTTATTTCTTATTTGGTAAAGTAAAGTTCACGTCACTTGATGATTTTAATGCAACAAAATCTATAATCATATAATTTCACATAGGTTTATATAACTTTCCATACAAAGTGAGATATAAATGCAACAAGGTCTACAACTGTACAATTCCACATGGATTTTTTGGGCAGCTTTCTATATGAATCAAGATGCACCCATATTATGCTTTCAATATACGACAAAGTTTACATTTATTTTTTATTTATTGCACAATTCCATATAGATTTGCAACTTTCCACATGAAGCAAAGGCTATCTATGGATCTGTTCTTTTCAACTGCACCGCTGCACTAGTGCAATTAGTTAGAGTGAAAGAAAGCATGTTTGTCTCTTTCTAACTTGTTGCACTAATGCAGCAGTGCATCTGAAAAGAACAGACCCTATATTGACCAATGCTCTCAGTATATAAAGTGATATACATTCAACTTTCAATATAATGTTAGATTCAAACACATACAAGAATAAATGCCTAAAGTATACAAAAAATTGCAAATCCATGAAATTATATAAATATTAGACATCATCATCAAACCTATGTAAAATTATACAATTGTAGACCTTGTTACACACTGAAAGCATTTGTCGATACGAGTGAACCTCACTTTATATGGAAAACTCTGGTAAAATGTATCTGCTACAGAATTGTATGATTGTAGATTTTATAATATTTGGAATTCACTTTGCATATATAAAGTTATAAACCTACATGAAATTATACAATTATAAACTACTATAAATGGTATTAAAATCACCAGGCAATGAACTTTATACGGATTTAATAAGCAATAAATAGTAAACACGTGGAAGTTATTCTTACGCTTATTTTTATTGAAATTTCGTGTACCTTTTCATCGTGCATATCACTAATTATAAACCTGCATGAAATTATACAATTATAAACTTCTATAAATGGTATTAAAATCACCAGGCAATGAACTTTACACGGATTTAATAAGCAATAAATAGTAAATACGTGGAAGTTATTTTTACGCTTATTTTTATTGAAATTTCGTGTACCTTTTCATCGTGCATATCACTATTTTATGATAGATTTCACAAGTAACCTTTACAAGTAGCACTTAACTCTTCATATCATCAAGCGACGATTTTTAACTTACAAGTCTTTGTTTTAATACAAAAATACATGATTAATTGTATTTTTATTACAACTTTTAGAGCGGCTCAAATTAAATATTTACCAAAATATATTTAACAAAAATAGATTTATTAATGACTCCAAAAATGAAACGTGTGGATTTTGATTACTCACAAATTTGATAAAAAATGGTATTATATTATCTAGAATGGAACTCAAAGTAGTCACCACAAGTAAATTCATGTTAAATGATCAACAGGCACAGATCTCTATCAGAGAGAAACCTAAGAGCAACCATTCCACTCCAATGATGATCACAGTAGTAAGTATATACAGTAGTGTCAGTGTGTGAGACGGGCCGGGTTTTTTCGCGCATGCGCGGCTATGTTGACTGTTAGGTTAGTAGTTACAGGTACGTATCTAGTATCTGCAGAAGGTTAGTGCGACGTGAATGCTGAAAGTTTTGGCGGGCTTAACGTGCAATAGAGGAAAAGAGAAATTGGATAGTTGTTGGTGAGTAAATATTAAAATGGATTATAATAATAATAGTAGTAATAGTAGTAGTAGTAGTATTGGAAAAGGAGTTGTTAAAAAACGTAGAATTAGAAATTTTCAACATTCTTGGCTAGATGAAGATATTTTTAAAGAATGGTTAACTCCTCATCCTGTAGAGAATATATCCATAAAATAATTTAAAAAATAATATTTTCTCTTAAATTATAAAAACTTTTGCAAAATTATAAATGGATGACCAACGTGGTACTATGGTACACCTTTTTATGTATAAAGATACTTCATTGATACTACGTTCGCCGCGCATGCGTGAAAAAACCCGGCCCGTCTCACAACACTGAGTAGTGTCACTTCGGTGTCGGCACCTTTGATGTGCTTATGCCAAGTCACATGACCCATCGCCATATTGAAAATTGTAACTTAGCGCGTAAATTAGAATTCTCTCTCATAAAATGCAAAGTTATTGTATAGTGAATAAACATAATGCAATTGTTAATCGCATTAAAATTTGTTTAGAACGAGATTATAGCTTTTTAAATAATGTTAATACATATATTTAAGAGGTTAAATAAATCGCATAAGCACAAGATGCATATTATACACATTTAAATATCAATTACCTTCAGACATTTTTATTTTTTCTGTGATTGACACAAAATTTAAATTTTATCTTTATACTTAATATTTTAATATCACAGCATAACGTGTACAGTTAGCATGTGACACATATGTAGCCATATTGAAAATTGTACAATTGACGCATGCGCACTCAAAATTGCGGTCTTTAGAGAACAAAGAAGTACTCCTCCTGTATGTACACTCCGCGACAACGATTCGTTTCGTGGTCCCTCTCGCGGGGCAAGGGGAGCGTAGCCTCTAACCAATCAGCCACTGCCACGCTGCCAGCTGATTGGTCACTTCTACGCTCCCCTTGTCCCGCGAGAGAGGAGCCACGAAACGAATCGTTGTCGCGCAGTGTACATACCATAGGTACATACTTATACTGAGTGATGATTCTGAGTGTTTACGACAATTAATCGGATCTTTGATCGGACTGAGCAGTGGTACTCAGCGATAGACTTTCTAAATTTCCCTAGACTAATCCGGATCAATGATGTGTCTCTGAAGTAAACGAATTAGATTAACAACTTATTCTTATTTTATAGAAAACATCTTATTCCAGTAAAATACATTTGTTTATTAATATATATTTGATAAAGATATATTAATTAAAAGAATAATAAAGTATCTTCTATAACATCATAAGTCTCTTTCTTATGATGTTTTTCACAATTTTTTCGATCAGCTCGACCGCGGGTGTTTACGACAATTAATCGGATCTTTGATCAGACTGAACAGTGGTACTCAGCGATAGATAGCTTTCTAAATTTCCTTAGATTAATCCGGATCAATGATGTGTCTCTGAAGTAATCGAATTAGATTAACAACTTATTCTTATTTTATAGAAAACATCTTATTCTAGTAAAATACATTTGTTTATTAATATATATTTGATAAATAATCTAGTAAAATACATTTGTTTATTAATATATATTTGATAAATAAAGATATATTAATTAAAAGAATAATAAAGTATCTTCTATAATTTCTTATGATGTTTTTCACAATTTTTTCGATCAGCTCGACCGCAATTTCTTTCGATGACTATTAATCTAATTCGATTACTTCAGAGACACATCATTGATCCGGATTAGTCTAGGGAAATTTAGGAAGTCTATCGCTGAGTACCACTGCTCAGTCCGATCAGAGATCCAATTAATTGTCGTAAATATCCCGCAATTTCTTTCGATGACTGTTAATCTAATTCGATTACTTCAGAGACACATCATTGATCCTGATTAGTCTAGGGAAATTTAGGAAGTCTATCGCTGAGTACCACTGCTCAGTCCGATCAGAGATCCGATTAATTGTCATAAACACCCTCTGATGATCAGACATCAGATCAGAGTGAAGATGCTTTTCCATGCGGCGTAAGGGTACGACCACATGGACTGATGTTTTCCGCGTAATGCGTACCGCGTAACCAATTAGAGGCGTAATTCTTTTGTGCTCCTGTTATGCTATAATAGAATTACGTCTCTAATATGCATCTTGTGCTTATGCGATTTATTTAACCTCTTAAATATATGTATTAACATTACTTAAAAAGCTATACTCTCGTTCTAAACAAATTTTAATGCGATTAACAATTGCATTCTGTTTATTCACTATACAATAACTTTGCATTTTATGAGAGAGAATTCTAATTTACGCGCTAAGTTACAATTTTCAATATGGCGATGAGTCATGTGACTTGACATAAGCACATCAAAGTGATCAAAGGTGCCGACACCGAAGTGACACTACTGTATATACTTATACTGCGCTGAATTCAATTTTTTGCGTAAGCCGCCGAAAGTCGCATAGGCGTATTGACATATTTAGACGATTTGCATAATTTTAAAATGAACCAAATTCGGGTAAGAAGAAATTGTAACAAATTTTATATAAAATAAAAATTATCCATTCAATTTAGGTGTAATTCATCGCTTGCACAATATAACGAAATAATTTTAAGGTTCAAGGGTCATTCCATGAACTACTAAAAAACGAGTTCTTTTAAAATATATTTATCTAATAAAGATTAAAATAAAAATTAGAATATTTTATTTTTAATTAGTTAATCAAAATTAATAATTGTTATTATTAGCATTTTTGAGTATTTAATCGCAAATAATTATTTTTGTGAAACCTGTCTTAAGATATTAGGTGCGCAACTAAGTTCTCGCTGTTTTTTTGATGAAAATGCAACTTTATTGTGAAAAAATGGTTACAAATGAATCATTCAAAGTATTGCCCATCGCTAGCTACAACCCCTTCCTTTTTTGCCGCTGGGGCTGTTGTTTACAGGCGAGGAAACGACGCTCAACGTCCCTTTTGGCTTCAAATCATAAGGAACCCAAGTTCCTTGCTTTTGAATCATTCCCAACGCATGCAATCGCTTGGAAATGGCTTGGCGGGTAACTCCTAATGTTGAAGCAAGCTCTTCTTGCGTTTGGCACGGATCCTCATCGAGCAATGCCTCCAATTCAGCGTCTTCGAAGGTTTTTGGCCTTCCTTCACGCGGACGGTCGTCAACATCGAAATCACCGTCTTTGAAGCGACGGAACCAATCACGGCACGTTGTTTCACTTAGAGCAGCATCTTCATAAACTTTTTGAAGCTCTCGATGCGCTTCAGCCGCCGTTTTCTTCGAATGAAAGAAGAAAATCAACACTTCCCGCAAATGACGATTATTTGGCACAAAATCAGACATTTTCACACAACCAAAAGTATATGACGCCAAAACAAAATCACTAATATGTCAAAACGGTTTGTTTACCATATGTCTAAGCTTGGTTTATGACGTTTTGGATATGTCAAAATCGACCAGCACTTGCTGCTGGAGCCATCTATTGACAAACAGCGGGAACTTAGTTGCGCACCTAATATTATTTTTATTTATTTATTTATATATTTTATTTATTTATTATTATTTATTATTTACATACTTTTTATTTATATACGCTGCACTTCATCCATTTACTTCACCGTACATTATCTCTATAATCTAACCGTATGATTACGCACATTTTACGATAAGTACCAGATACCTAATTCACATGGCGCGTATTTAGCAATACGCCTAAATAATAATAACCAATAGAAAATCGATTTTAATAATTCTGCTGTGTTCTACAACAGAAAGTCTAATCTTTATTGGTTAAATTTCTTACGCTTTACGCAAAATTTAACGAAATACGCTTCATGTGAAAGGGCATTTTTTAAATGGCGTAAGTTCTGGCATATTACTAGAATACGCAAGATACGCAGCAGTACGCGCGTACGCATCTTACGCTGCATGGGAAAGCACCCTTATAGTCTATTATATGGCCGGTATTCATAGGCCGGTATTCATAATCCGGTCTTACATTTAAGATCATCTTAAGCTCTTATTCCAATCAATAGCTGCATTGTAGCTATTTGATTGGTTGAATGAGTTCTTAAGATCTTAAATGTGGCAGCTTTCCAGCAACGACACAGAGCGATACAGTGTATCATTCTATCTTCTTTCAATATCAGTAAACAACAAAGATAGAATGATATTCTGTGTCGCTCTGTGTTATTGCTGGAAAGCTCCCTGTAAGACCGGACTATGAATACCAGCCATAGTTCAGTTCTTATATTTAAGATCGTTTTAAATACAATTTTAGCATAAATTAATTTATTATATATTAACACCTCAAAATTTTACTTAAAACAGTCTTGAAATAAGAACGAATTATGAATATCGGTCTATAATTTTTATAAAGCATTTCTCATATTTTTCAAACAGTTGGTAGCCATGTGTACGACACACAAGTCTCGACCAGTCTCGACTCAGCTTCTAAATTGTGTACATTTGCGTCGTTTTGTGTCATTGTAGAAAAATACTGTATCGAATACTGTGTCACTTTGTATTACTTTTTTTGTTGGTAAGCTTTCTATATAATAACGGTAAAAAGTTGATTTATCGAGATTCGATGCTTATAACAAATGTTAATTTTATATTAGAAAATATCTCTTATAATATATATTTATATCTATTCATAGCTATGATATAAATATAACCTTCATATACATGAAAAAAAAATATAAGTAATGTATGTGGATAAATGTTTAAAATAGAAGAGGCCTTTTACTTCAAATTTTGATTAAATTGCTCACCCAGTGTGTAAAAATTAGAAATTGAAACAAAATTTTAATAATTAAAATTTATGTCGAATATTATCAATTATGGATTATGTGTGCGTGTGTGTTTGTGTGTGTGTGTGTGTGTGTGTGTGTGTGTGTGTGTATTGAATAATACAGATGCTGGCAATCTTGTCAATGAATTCTGGAACATAGCCACAATTATGAATAATGTTTGCATACAGATAAGACTTTTCTTAATAGTAAAATCTGTCATCTATCATTGTCTTTACACAGAGATCTAATAATAAATAAGTCATTACCGAATATACTTATATAACTATTCTTATATAACTATTCTAATAAAATTTTCTATTTTCAAAATGTGTTAATTTTTATGGTTCATTATTTTTATTACAATATCGAATGAGAATTAACTTGCCAAACTTTGTCATATATTTGAACTAGGAGGTAAACTGTTTAATTTTGTTTTCTTATCTAAAATTAACATTTGTTTCTATTTAATTTTACTACTAAAAAAACGTGAACATTATTCCGATACTAAAATTAACAAATATATAAAAAATTAACTTGATCTTTCTGACTTCTAAGGAGTTTATATAAAAGCATCACACACATATATTTTTATCATAATTTGATAGACAATCTATACTCCAAACATTTATTAATAATATTTTCAATTCAATTTTTTCAATTCGTAATATTTTCAATTCAATTTTGATATGTTTTTTTAAATGTAATATTTAATTTATGTTAGACAATTATAGAAAATAATGGAAATAATAGTAAAACTAATAGAAATAGAAGTAATTATTTATATAAAAATAAATTTAAAAAATGTATTTTTATCAAAATTTTATTGAATTCTTTTTTCAAGAAAATATGCTTTGTATATTAATAATTTATATTTTTCTAAATTTGAATGACTTTATTATTTGTCATATAATATGAAATTCATCTTGTGACAAAAGAGAATAATAATTTGTAATTAATAAACTACCCAGTAAGCAAAATGTTAGTAGGTTTGCAGCAGATTGGCAGCAAATTCGATCAGAATCCCACACCAAAACCGTAGCCATCTGTGTTCGCATTAAGCTTTTGTTTTGGCGGGCAGAGTCTATAAAATATAACCTTTCAACAACTGTCGGCAAAAACCGAGCAGAATCTGCGCGATACAATTTTATGTTAGATTGCCAGCAGAAATCGAGTAGAATCTACGCATGCAACCTGATGGCAAATTAACAGGAGAAACTGCACAAAATTTGCACTTACTTTTATTCATGTATAAATGCAATAAAATTGATTATTACAGGTGCTAAATAAGAATATTATCGGCAAGTTAATTACAATTTTCTTCTAAAATGACATATATGTCATATGTTATATCGTAATATATGTTAATGTAATATATGTTATATCGTAGTTATATCTTACCCAATAAGCAAAATGTTAGCAGTCTGCCAGCAGCATGCGAGCAAATTCAAACAGAATATTGCGGCAGATTGACATCAACTGCGTCCGGATTAAGCTTGGGTTCTACTAGCAGAATCTATCAGCATAAACCGACAGCAGATTGACAGCAGAAATCGAGCATGATCTGCGCGTGCAATTTGATGTTAGATTGTCAGCAGAAACCGAGCAGAATCTGCGCATGCAACCTGATGGCAAATTGACAGCAGAAACTGCACAAGATTTGCGCTTACTTTTATTAATGTTATATGAATGCAACAAAATTGATTATTATAAGTGCTAAATAACAATATTATCATAACAATATTATAAGTTAATTCGAATTTTCTTAGAAAATAACATATGTAATATGTTATATCGTAGTTATATCTCATATAGCGAAGGACTAATTCAATTTAATTAAATTAATAATAAACTAAATGATAAAAGTAAATGTAACTTGTAAAACTTGAGATGTAATTTATTATATTTAGAATTAAATTCTTGCTTTATACCTCAAATAGACAGTACATGAATAATTTTCCATTTATCATATTGATTCCAATCAGTCTAATATTCTGAATCTCATCTGCTTGGCTCAAATATCAGAAATTAAAGTGATAGAAATTAAAATGATAATTACTATATTCTGATCTTTTATTAATATTCGCGACTTTATATATATATTTCTGACAGAAATTAGATTACGAGAAAGTACAGCTCGTAGCGGTAAGTGAATGAACTATTGAATCATGCAAACCCTGTTCCGTTTCTGCCGTCAATCTGCTATCAGAGATTGTGTGCGCAGATCTTGTTCGATTTTTGTTATCAATTTGCTATCAAATTGCGCCGCACAGATCCTGTTAACTTTCTGCCATCAGTTATATCTGCAGACTTTATTTGATTTCTGTCGATAATTTGACATCAAATTTCATTGCGCAGATCCTGCTCAGTTTCTGCCGACAATCTGTTGTTAAATTGCGCCGCACAGATCCTGTTTAATTTCTGCCATAAATCAGCCATCAGTTATATCAGTAGGCTCTACTCGATATCTGCTGAAAATTTGATATTAAATTTCATTGCGCAGATCCTGCTCGGTTTCTGCTGACAATCTGTTGTCAAATTGCGCCGCACAGATTCTGTTCAATTTCTGATATCAATCTGCCGTCAGTTATATCAACAAATTCTGCTTGTTTCTGTTGACAACCTTTTGTTTAGTCATGTGAATAGATTTTGTTGTATTTCTGCTGACATGCTAGCAACATAATCGAATATATCCCCAAATAGCCAAGTCTGCCAAGATCATATATTGCAAATAATGCGCTACATATTATAACGGCAGCACTCTGGCAATAGTCGCGCATGATCTACCGTCTCAGTTAGTGCCAGCAAAAATGCAACAGAAAATAAGTCTTTGCATTATAATATGCTACAAAAAACTGCATATGCTACAAAATTGAAGAAGTCATTGGTATAAGTATAAAAGAACAGAAATCATTGGCATAAAAACAGTAGATTTTAAACATTGCATGTTGGCACAATAATGTCAACAGAAATTAAATAAAAATAGAACATAACATGACTACATCAGTTATATCAGCAAAATATCATCAGAAATCAAACTCATCTGCAGGTACTGTGTGACGGCAGAAAAGCGGCAAAAATTAAATATGTGCTGCCGTCTTAAAAGGTAAAGCGGGAAGCACAGACTTTTGCATAAGCGCACAACTATAAGCATAAGAAAATTGATTGGGTCCATTTTCTTATACATATATTTATAGACCTATCGATTTTCTTGTGCTTATGATTATGTTCCCGTGCTTTCGGCTTAATAACAAAAATATAGCAGAATAAAGTCATAAAGGGAACAATTTTCATCTTTTTCGAAGTTTCCTGTCACTTCATAAAAACAAGTTGATTGTAGCTACTGTGTCGCTTTTATAATATTTTAATATTTTTGAATACATAGTGTCCTAAAAATGATGTAATTATATATGTGTAATGTCAGTAATGTCATTGTTATGATGTAATTATATATGTGTAATATAAGTAATGTCATTGTTATAATCCAAGTGAGAAAATTCTTTGCAATTATTTTATAGGATCATTAAAGTGTATTTAATTAATAAAAAATATCTAATTAATAGTAATATTTACTATTTATAGTTTGACGCAAATACAACGAGATGACAATAACATGCTATATATACACGCTGTTTTCTTCTTTACTTTTCCACTAAACATTACTTTTAATTGGCTATTTTTATTAATTGTTTGCTCCATAATTAATGGTCTAATTAAAAAATTAGAGAATCTTTTGACTTGGATTATAATGACTGACATTGTTGTACATATAATCAATTATGTCATTTTTGGGACACTCTATAATATTCCCTGTTTTATTCCTGCTGCGATTCCGCTGTTACACTATAACAACAAGTCATGCACGATATCTGCCATGTATCTGCTGTCAGTATGTTATGACAAGTATGTTCTATTCTTGCTATATTTCTGCTATCGAAACATGATGGCAAGATTAATTTCATATTTGCTATATTTTTACGGACAAGGCAGGATGGCACGTCATATTTAATTTTTTCGCATTTTTACTTTCACACCATGTCAGCAACTTATACTAGTAGAAAGTAAACAATTGCGGACACAGTGGATAGGAATCTGCTGTAAAGTCATGATTAGATCTGCTATCATAGTGCTGACATGCTGCTAACATTTTGCTATCTGAGTCAGTTTCTTTATACAAACTGTAATCTTTCTGCCTTTAAAATTTGTAATAGACATTTGATGAAAATCTGTTCTAACAGATTTGGCTATTTGGATACATTTTCCCTATATGTCATTATATATTTGGTAAAATTACTTAAAATTACTTACGTTATACGTTAAAAAAATTATGTGTAAAGTATAAAGATCAATTTTATCTTTTCATTAAAGAATGTTGTACCTTTTAATACATTTCATTTTGATAACAATTGTTAAAATAAACTCGTTGAAATTTAATAAGGTTATTAAAAGTCATTCAAATTTAAAAAGAATAAATAAGTTATTAATTTAAATAAAATATGCTTATATACACACACACACACACACACACACACACACACACACACACACACACACATATATATATATATACATATACACACGTTAATATGTTATAAATACGTTATTTTTTTCTAATAACTTAAATTCTTTATAATGACATTAAGTTTGCAAGCAAAATGAAAATCATTTCATATAAAAAAATTTTGTTCTTTATTTTTTCACGAGAAATCACATCTTTACTGTTTATGTTACAATTTCGGAAATATCTTATAAACAAGGTGAATTAATAATTGTTCACTTTTAATATTTCTCAAAATATATTTAATATATCCCTTTATTTTTTAATAATGAAAAGAAATGTTTTTAAAAAAAATTTCTTAGAAAAGTAGTAAGGAAAGGTTTATCGTATATAATGCTATTAATTTTATTATAAGTAGAATTTTCGAGATTGAAAGTCGTCTTCATTTTTTTTAAATGCAATACTATATTTTATTATATTTCCTTATTTATTATACAGAATGTTCTGTATCTTGTACCCACTAATTATCAAGAGACACGGTGTCTTGCGCCAAGTTCATGCGAAGTATCAGCGCGGCTTCCGTGTATCTACGCGAATCGGACAGTTGAAAGTAACTCAAATTATCAGATTTCAATAACGGCTGAACGTATCAAATTCTTACTAGTCTTAATCGATAGAACAGATTTGAATTGTAGAAAGTATCTTTATTTTTGTGCTGCGTGATATATAAACGGAGATATCATAACGCAAAATCGAAATATGAAAATTTTCAATTAGAAACGTTTTTATCACCATTATCAACGCACATGTACACAACACATAAAAAGAAAAAACGTACGTTTCCTACTCTCGACAGAAGATTGCGCTAGCGATATTAATGACCTGTGTCATTAGTGACATATATCATTAACCGCATTTTGAGTAATGATAAGTAATAAAGTGCAAGTTAAATAATAAAAATTATTAAATTATTAATTAAAAATTCGCAAGAGTCAATAAGATATGATAATTGAAGCGGAAGGTAAATAAATATATCTATTTCACAAGCTAAATATAAATATATATATAAGTAATATATATACAGGGTGTTCCATTTTAACTTTGCCATCGAAATATCTCGTAAGTCTAAATGATACGAAAAAATGTTTCAGACAAAAGTTGTATGGTTTCGAGAGGGATATAAGATGGTATCATTAATTTGATCTTGAAGAGTCACCTGAAGCTCATGTGAAGGTCACCTCTAACTTTTTAAATGGGATACCCTATATGCTTTTGCATATTCTTGTAGCTCATCTTGAGAACTTTCCAAAACCCTATAATATTTTTCTATTGAGTGTTTTTCGAGTTATGAGGCTTGAAATCATTTTTTAATTTTACATAAACCGTAAAATATTTTGTAAAATATTCATTTTTGATTAGCTTACTTTAATACTTTTATGTACAAAATAATGAGAGGAATCAATTAGTATAAAGAAAACATAATTGTTTCGAAAAAAAATGTAATTTGCAATTAATGAAAAAATATGTAATTAACAATTACTTTTTTTTCTTAAAAACAACTATGTGTTTTCTTTACACCAACTAATACCTTTCATTATTTTGTACATAAAAATATTAAGATAAAATAATCAAAAAATGAATATTTTACTAGATATTTTATGATTTATGTAAAAATTAAGAAATTATTTCAAGTCTCATAACTTGAAAAATAATCGATGAAAAAATATTTTATTATAGTGTTTTGAAAAGCTTTCGAGGTAATCTACAAGAGCTTTTTTGGCAACAGATAGCCCTGACACCCTATATATATGCTTTGTGTATATTTTTCTGTTATTGAATGACAGATAGAAAGAGAGAAATACATGCATATATACTCATATATCATGTGCACGTATTTTTATATAATCACATGCCCACATTAAGGATAGAAATTTTTTCTTTTACTTAATCAGAATATAATTGACGAATATAATTAAATTAAACGTTTCTAAGTATTGATGATACCATTTACGTGATTAATTATATTGATTTCATATTTTTTTATGTACTTGGCGCACGTTTTTTATTTTACATATCTAGTTTAATTTAATTTTTGCCTCTAGAATTTTTTGTGATGTTAATTTAATAAAAAGAATTATATAGATTTAATTTAATAATATATTAATTAATATAATAATTTAAAAATAATTTACACTTTGTTTTTTTTTGTTATATACAGGACTTTATTAACTGACATGATGCAACGCATACAAGATAATAAGCGGGTAAGACATTTTTTAATATTTTAATGAATTCTTCTTAAAACAATAATATAAAAATATTGACAGATAAAAAATGTTTTAGCAAATGTAGAAACAAGTATATTTGTCTATTTTATCTCAGGTTTTATTAAAAATATATTTGGTATATAATTTTATACATATATATATATATATATATATATATATATATATATATGAGTGATATACACTCACCCGCAAAAAAAACGGGCCACTAAATTTTAATACAATTTTTTCACTTTTTCAAATAGCGATAAATCAGCAAATAATCATCGAGATGAAACAAAAAGCTCAAATTAAAATTTGAATTTTCTCTTAAAAACCAAGAAAACCAAATTTGAAATACAAAAAATGTTTTATAAAATGGCGGACGTTGAAGATAGCCTTCGAAAAATGGGAAACAAATTTTTTTTAAACTGTTGCGTTGCTCAAAAGAATCGACACGCTAATACATAAGTGTATGAGTTTTGAAGTTCATTTATTTTCTAACAAATCCATATTTTGAACAATTTTCTACGACCTTTTCTAATAAAGTTATACAATTTTGAAGAAAATGTTGCAAAATCTTTTCACCGCAACGCTTTGTAAAAGGAATCAAACAATTTAAAACAGGAAGAAATTTGATTAACAGTATGCTCCAACAAATCGAAGAATTGATAAATGCGAAAGGAGGCAATACACATTATTAAACACACATATACACACGCACACACGCGCACGCACACACATACTCAACACACACACATCACACACACACACACACATGGGATCAAATTTCTGCCACATCCCGTTGACCCTGAATAATGCCAAGAGCTGGATACACGCATATGCATATGCGCGCACACGCACGCACTCACACAAGATTTAAATTCAACCATATGGAGCATCTTGGATCGAGTTACACTTTAATTTCTTTTATTGAAAAAGTTTTTTTTGATAATTTATTGTTGAATTGCAGATTTTACAAGAAAAGGCCCATTTTGCAACATTTTCTTCAAGACGGTATAACCCATACAGCACATTATATTAAAAGAAAAGATGCCTTTTTTAAGTTTTCGACAAAACGAAAAGATGTCTATAAAGATATTTTTTCGCTTTGTCAAAAAAGATGACATAAAAAAGACATAATAGTATGCGGCACGTGTTTCTTCGCTTGCCGATACGCGGCAAGCCATTCTTAACTTATCTCGTATTTAGTATTTATCATAAAATGTATATAAAGAATTAATAATTAATATAAGATTTGAAGCATATTTTTACGAGCAGTAATGCCAAAAAGAGGATACTGCTCGCACGCATCAATCAGAGAGAGCCACATACCTGTGCTACGCAGAATGATTTTATGCGTGTGAGCCGCATTCTTTTTCTGACATTACTGTTTATCAGTTTAATTTCTGACAAATTGAATTTAAAATAATTTGTTTAATAATCTGGATTCCTTGTTGAGATTCAGAATATTAAACAGATTGTTAGAAATTAGGCAGATAAATGGGAGAAATAGCTCATTCATTGCATGTATTAAAGTATTCCTACTACTGAGTGTCGATAATCTATGTAGAATGAATCAAATCATCTTTTAGTCATCATATGGACAAGACTAAAAAGTCACTGAATTTGGGTCATGAGACGACTTTTAGCCATCTTTCTATCAACTTAACGATGTCAGTAAAAGATGTCTGTGACAAAAAAAAATGTCTAATTTTAGTAGTACTTTTAGACGACTTGGTGTGGGAACTTTATTAAAAAAGATCGTAGAAAATTGTTCAAAATATGGATTTGTTAGGAAATAAATGAACTTCAAAACTCATACATTTGTGTATTAGCGTGTAGATTCTCCTGAGCAACGCAACAGTTTAAAAAAAATTTATTTCCCATTTTTCGAAGGCTATCTTCAACGTCCGCCATTTTATAAAACATTTTTTGTATTTCAAATTTGGTTTTCTTGGTTTTTAAGAGAAATGTTCAAATTTTAATTTGAGCTTTTTGTTTCATCTCGATGATTATTTGCTGATTTATCGCTATTTGAAAAAGTGAAAAAATTGTATTAAAATTTAGTGGCCCGTTATTTTTGCGGCTGAGTGTATATATATATATATATATATATATATATATATATATATATATATATATTTTGTTACGTCCCTGGTTCGAGTCGCGATCGAGTCCGGTTTGAGAAGAGAAGAAGCCCATTGTCAAGAGATTGTTGACAGCAACGTCTGTCATTGGAATCTGGAGTCAGCTGTCAAGTTGAGCGAACGCGCATTTCTATCGAGCCGATCCGTGTTATTATTATTGTGTGTTAATGTTCTGTGGTTACGCTTCTGTGTTGTGCATTAAAATTCTTAGTTCCTTTTGAAAGTGTATATTTATTTCGCGCGACCGGCTGATCTCTTTAGCGCGTCTTCGATATCTATCGAAGTCCTCACCTCAGGCGTAACAATATATATATATATATATATATATATATATATATATATATATTTAATATATCCTAACATTAATATACACTACTCAAAAAAAAATAGGGAACACTTTTTGAATCCTAAAAATTGGGTTATTTTCAAACCGCTGAAACTGTCGAATAATCATCGTAGACAAAAAATTAAAAAAGCATTTTGAAGTTTCAATGCGCAGTTGTTGGTTTTTAAAATTTTTATCTTCCTTATTCTGCGCTTTAAAAAACAACGCTTTTTTTTTTAATTTTCTTCATAAAAAAATATTAGTTTCGAAGTCATGTAGCTCAATCAAAAAGAAATCATAGGAAAATTTAAGAAAAAGCATTTTATAGACAAAATGTTATAGTTCATGAAATTTTAGTTGAATTTCTCGAGAAAAGTTTTTTTCATTAAGTTGCGGCGTATTAAAAATACATAATTTTAAGAAACTATTCAGTGTGTTCTTTTTTAAAGCACAGAATAAGGAAGATAAAAAAATTTTTTAAACCACCAACTGCGCGTTAAAGTTGAAACTTCAAGCTTCAAAATGCTTTTTTAATTTTTTGTCTACGATGATTTTTCAGCGGTTTGAAAATAGTTCAATTTTTAGGGTACAAAAAGTGTTTCCTATTTTTTTTTTGAATAGTATTTAATACAATACAAAAAATAAAATTTAAAAATAATAATTTCTTCTATTTGTTTTTTTTTTTATTAATTTATATTTAATATATTTATTTAATATATTCTAAATTTTCAGCTACCATTACCAGGAGGAGAAACTACAGAACGTCAATTAACATTAGCTATTTGGGCGACAGCTGAAAAAAAGTTGGAATTTAAACCATTACCTGGATTTAATCCTAATTTGGATAATTTGCAATATTATCGTGCTCAGCAAGACATTGATTGCGATGAAGTATATCCTGGAATATATATTGGCGATGGGTAAGTATAGAAACAAATATACAGGGTGAGTTTTATTTCCTGTGTCAAATTTTTTATTATACGAGAGATTATCGACTGCATTATAATAAATTGATCAATACACAGATGTCAGTTATTTGGATCGGCCGTATCGATCCATATATAATATGTACAAATTAAAAGGTGAATCAAATTATGTGGTATGGATTTATTATTATTATTATTAGAGCTACGTATACATATTCGATATTTGATTCACTTTTTAATTTGTACATATTATACAGAGTGTCCCAAAAGTCTGGACACAGTCGAATATCTTGTATAGAATGCATTTTAGAACAAAATGATTTAGACAAAAGTTGTAAAGATTAAAAAGATATATTTAACTGTAACATCCATTTGACATTGAGTGACGTCGCCAAGTTTAGGGCAAGGTCAACTTGAATTTTTTAAATGGAACCCCCTATTTTTTATTGCATATTTTTGTAGCTTACCTCGAGAGCTTTCCAAAACATTATAATAAAGTATTTCTTCATTGAATACTTTTCAAGTTACGAGGCTTGAACCCTAACAGCACACATGTCCGAAAGATATCCAAAGGATATCCATAGGATATCCATAGGAGATCGGGATATTCTATGGATGTCCTTTGGACATCTTTTGGACATGTGTGCTGTTAGGGAAGTAATTTTTTAATTTTACATAAACCATAAAATATCTAGTAAAAAATTCATTTTTGGATTATTTTATTTTAATACTTTTATGTACAAAATAATGAGAGGAATCAATTGGTGTAAAGAAAACATACAGTTGTTTCGAAGAAAAAATATGGAATTGTTAATTGTAAATTACATATTTTTTCTTCGAAACAACTGTATGTTTTCTTTACACCAATTGATTCCTCTCATTATTTTGTACATAAAAGTATTAAGGTAAAATAATCCAAAAATGAATTTTTTACTAGATATTTTATGGTTTATGTAAAATTAAAAAATTACTTCAAGCCTCGTAACTTGAAAAGTATTCAATGAAGAAATACTTTATTATAGTGTTTTGGAAAGCTCTCGAGGTAAGCTACAAAAATATGGAATAAAAAATAGAGGGTTCCATTTAAAAAATTCAAGTTGACCTTGCCCTAAGCTTGGCGACGTCGCTCAATGTCAAATGGATGTTACAGTATATCTTTTTAATCCTTACAACTTTTGTCTAAAGCGTTTTGTTCTAAAATGCATTCTATGTGATATTCGACTGTGTCCAGACTTTTGGGATACTCTGTATATGAATCGATACAGTCGGTCCAAATAACTGACATCTGTGTATCGATCAATTTATTATAATTACAGTCGATAATCTCGTATGATAAAAAGTTTGACACAGGAAATAAAACTCATCCTGTATATGCATAGTATAAAGTAATATATATATATATTTTTTTAAACTTTTTAATAATTTTCTTATTTAGAATTACAGCAAAAAACAAAAAGTATCTTAAAATGTTAGGTATAACACATTTATTGAATGCAGCGGAAGGAAGGAGATATGGATTTGTAAATACAGATAATAATTATTACGCTGATACAACGATAAAATATCTTGGCTTACAAGTTACAGATTTACCTTCCGTAGATATTAGTAAATACTTTTATATAGCAGCTAATTTTATTGATGAAGCAGTATCTACTGGAGGTAACTTAATTATAATTACATATTTTCTTAATGCGTGTCATAAATTCACATAAATACAAATTCTGTTATTTTTTTAGGTAAAGCTTTCGTAAATTGCATGCAGGGTGTATCTCGTAGTGCTACGTGTGTTCTCGCATATTTAATGATAAAGAAGAATATGTTAGCAACTGATGCTATACATTTAGTTCGCACAAATCGAGATATTCATCCAAATAATGGTTTTCTTCGGCAATTAGCAGAGTTGGATAATCGATTGCGTAGACAACGCTTACGTTTATATTGAATGTGTAAAATTTTGATGTTACAAAAAATAACATTATTATTGTTATTATTATTATTATATATATTTCATGAGATATTTAAATAAAGATGAATGTATAGCAAGCATACATATACAAAGCATAGAGTATAAGAGAATGTAGAGTAGCGAATTATAAATTTATAAATTTTATTTTACGGTTAAAATACAGAACTGTATTAAACAACAATTAAAAATTGAGTAAGAATAACAAAGCGCAAAAGAAAAAAGAAAAAAGTTCTTGTCCTTTCTCTTTTAATTATTAGTATCTCACACAGCACACCAAAAGTATTACTAAAACTGGACGTTTTTTTGTCACAGATATCTTTTACTGACATCGTTAAGTCGACGGAAAGATGGCTAAAAGTCGTCTCATTCCACATAGCATCTATATGTCCAAGAGACATTCACAGGACATCCTGAAGATGTCCAATCGCCTAAGAATGTTTTCTTCTGGATGTCTTTTGAATATGCATGCTATGTGAGATGACTCGAATTCAGTGACTTTGTCTTGTCCATATAATGACTAAAAAGATGACTTGATTCATTCTATATAGATTATCGACACTCGATAGTAGGAATATTTCACACACGCAATAAATGAGCCATTTTTCCCATTTATCAGCCTAATTTCTAATAATCTTTTTAATATTTTGAATCCCAACAAGGAATCCAGATTATTAAATAAATTCAATTTGTCAGAAATTAAACTGATAAACAGTAATGTCAGGAAAAGGATGCGGCTCACACGCATATCATCATTCTGCGTAGCACACATGGACGTAAGAAATACTGGACAGAGCATAAAGTACTCTTAGGCCCAGTTCCACAACTCGAGTTAATCGGAGTTTAATACGTTAAACTGGGTCCTGATTGGTCCATTCACTACTTAAACTCGGATTAACTGGATTGTGGAACCCAAGGTCTGTAAATGAACGGCGGGAGGGGAAGGAAGGTCTTCGCATTCATATTTACACATTTGGCCCCAACATGGCGGTCGCTATCTTCCATATGTTAACCTAAGTTTTCAGAGCTGTCAATGTATCAATATATAAAAGAGGTTAAGGGTAGACAAAAGTGCTTTTAATTTTTGATATTTTTTTACAGTTTTGTATTATGTTTTAGAATCAAACAGTCGTATTACAAAATTATTTACTCAGATTCAATAATACCTCACATAACCTCGAATCTCCTTTTGGATGTTTAGCACACTGTTTAATCCAAATTTGTTTACGTTTTTCATCAGCAGGAAATCTAAAAAGACGAAATCCTTGTTCTGCACGATTGCGACAATTTTTCGCACAACAGCCTGGCATTATTACATGTATTTTTTAATACTATATATATCAATTCCACCTTCCACTTTTACTATTACTCACTCACTCTTCTCGTACAACACACACTCACACATACTTCGTGGCCCCAAAATGGCGCTCATGCGAAGACCTTCCTTCCCCTCCAGCCGTTCATTTACAGACCTTGGTAGAACCGGGCCTTAGACGAGGGGAGTGAAATCTGAGGGGTAAGGGGTTTATTGTCGCGGGCATCTTAGATACATCAGATTTAGCATCTATTTTCACGTCGCACGGACATAAATCGAATAAAATATGAGAGATTCCGTGAAATCATCTATCATCTGAAATCGCTGTGTTATTCCGAATCATTTTTGAATATTAAGAAATTCAAAAATATCACACTCCGTGAAATTAATATCCGTCGCCATCTTACATGCCTCATATTCCGTTGCAGTCACTGAAATATATACATACTGGAAGAGGCACTGAGCTGCAGAAAGCGTGCCGAGAGAGAGGGAAGATTTAGGGGCTACCTGTCTTTGTTGTACAGTCAGATCCAAGAGTGTTTGTATCATAAGGAAGGTTAGGAAGGACGTCACTGTAACGGTTCGAGAACCGAGAACTATATAGAGATATATTAACTTATTGAAACACAAAATCTATTTCAAACATCAAGAATTTGACATTAATGTCTTTTTTCGAATTGATTAAAATAAAATGTTTCAGAACATGCCACATTGCCACCGTTACCTCAATAAGCCAAGCAAAAAACTAAACTTTCGATTTCGCCTGTACATCATGTGACTTGTTTCGTTCTGCGCAGACGCAGCGCCGGAAAAAACGAGATAGCAATCCCCAAACATCTATCTATCGCAGGCACGCTTTCCGTCTACGGCAAACAAAGCCAGTGCCTCTTCCAGTATAGATATATTTCAGTGGTTGCAGTAAACATTTCTTTCCCCTCACCCTTTGAGCTTCACCCCCGCAGCAATACACTCTGTCCAGTATTTCTTACGTCCATGGGATAGGCCCTAATAGTTTAGCGACAAAAGTCGTCACGTGATCATTTTTGTCGCTCAAATGATCAGTTTCAGCGGCACGTGAAAATGCATCTTAATATATATATGCAGATCGTCAACACCAGATGGCGCGGCAACGGCACTGAAGCGGGTGAAGCATCGGCACGTGTCGTGCATAGCGTGACAGTGAGGTGGATAATAATATAACAATAATTTGTCAACAAATGGGTGTTCAATGTGCGACGATCGGTGAGATTCAAAGGAGGCCTTGCCGATTGTAATTTGGCGTCCATATTTCATTTGCACGTACAAATACAGGGGATGGAGATTGTCTTTCAGGTTATGGTGTATTCACTCTTCGTACGCTTGGCGGGAGATGCAGCGTACAGTTAATACAGTAATAAAATATATATATCTATATATATATATATATATATGTATCAGGATCTCTATAGATTTTTAGAGAAACATCGTCGTCGCGCATTTGTATTTTTTAACTTTAGTACTCTTATCAACGAACGCGATGACGGGATCTGATCCTAGTCTCTTGACATTCGATCGCGTATCCATGCTTGCTCCGATGCTTTTAATTCTCGTTACGTGTCTCACAGTCTTCCACAGGTTAAAGTGAGTTGTCAAGATATACATATTTATATACAGAGTGTTCTTAAAAATGATATTTTGCTAAATAAGTATAAAAAACACGTAAGACATATTAAAAAGAAAAAAAAAATATATATATATTTAAACAAAATATATATTTTATGCATTTAATTAAATTATTAATTTTTACCTAATTTAATTAATATTAAGTTATTTCTGACATGACCATCACAATATCTTTATAAATCTCAAAGCGATCACTGTTTTACAGAACACATGTTCAAGCATTGCAGATGTTATCTTTTGGATCAATTTAGTATATGATTTTCTTAAGCTGTAATTTTAATTTAAATCAGCTTTTAATTTTTCTACAGATTCTATTTCAGATTTAATAATATCAGACAAAAAAACTAATTAGTGTACATATTATAATTTTTCATAGTATGAAGCAATGAATTTTTTTATAAATATATGAATTTATATAACAACGGATATATTATTATGCCAATATGACAACTTTTAAAAATATCTCTTATTTCATTGAAATAAGTAGTCACTCTAGGAACACCCTGTATATAATTGTACTTTCTGAAGTATATTCTCTAATATTTCAATTATATATTTTGCAGAGTGAGATGGCCTGTAAATGTAAACTGCTGGTTCTGCAACAATAACTCAAAAATTTGGAAGGAGGATTTAAATTGGTGGTTGTGCTCTTGGTGCGAACAATACAATGGCTTCTCCAAGGTAAAAAATAATTGAAGAAACTTGTACTTTCAATACATCTTAATCTTATTTTTATATTTATAATAAAAAATTTCTTTAGAACAGTGTTTTTCAAATTGAGAATCGCAAAACCCATAGTGAAAGTCATGATGATATATTAAGGGAGTCTCAAAATAAAAATAACATGTATAAAAGGAAAAAAGATTTCCTGAAAAAAATTACACATTTAAAAACACATTTATTAGACACATTTAAGAATACTATAATTTATTAAAAAATTAAAACACATTTAAGAATTTATTGACAAACTACAGTGTCCAAAGTCAAATTTTTTAAATGAAAACAATTTGAACTACTCGCTCATATACATTTTTCTTATTATTGATATTGAGTTTTTGCAGGAATGTCGCGAAATATTATTTTCGTGTTTTGAATTTTATTATTTTTTTATTTTGGGATCATTTTTTTGGAGTCATATTTTTTGTCATGGAGGGCTAACATATTAAAAAACGATTACTTTAGAATAGTGCTATATGAATAGTACTTATTTCAGAATGGTGATTACATGTATAATATCCCAGAACAATATGCAACATCAAATATGTCTACAAGATACTGCAGACTAATCAAACAAAGCAATTCGCGCAACATCTCCATGAATCACCTCTGTGAAGATTGCAACAAGCAGGAAAATCTAAAATTGTTAGAATTATCCAACTTTGAACCAAAAAGTGAGAGACATTACAATGCTGAGTTGACAAAGTTCAAGAAATATCTAGAGAAGAGATATCCGCTGTGCAACAATTGCAAATTGACAGTACAGACTGTATTGAATAAACAAGCATTATGGTTAACTTGTTATAAAATGTTATTCTTCAGACAGAAACCGATTAAAATGCTTATCGGTGTAAGTATACATTTTTAAAGTGGTATACAGGGTGTCCCAAAAGTCCCGGACCGGTCGAATATTTCATAAACTATGCATTTTAGAAAGCAATGTTTCAGACAAAAGTTGTATGGCTTGAAGGGGACCATCAGATAGTGGCAATGATTTGACATGGGAGAGTCATTTGAAAGTCACGTGAAGATCACCGTCAATTTCTTAAATGGAACTCCCTATTTTTTATTATATATTCGTGTAGCTTATCTCGAGAACTTTCCAAAACACTATAATAAAGTATTTCTTCATTGAGTACTTTTCGAGTTATGAGGCTGAAATGAGGATGAAATCATTTCTTAATTTTGCATAAACCATAAAATATCTAGTAAAATATTCATTTTTCGATTATCTTACCTTAATAATTTTATGTACAAAATAATGAGAGGAATCAATTGGTGTAAAGAAAACACAGTTGTTTTAAAAAAAATATGTAATTGTTAATTGCAAATTACATATTTTTTTCTTAAAAACCACTATGTTTGTTCTTTACACCAATTGATTCCTCTCAAGATTTTGTACATAAAATTATTAAGATAAGATAATCGAAAAATAAATATTTTACAAGATATTTTACGGTTTATGTTTAGGTTATTAAGAAATGGTTTCAAGCCTCATAACTCGAAAAGTACTCAATGAAGAAATATTTAATTATAGTGTTTTGGAAAGCTCTCGAGATAAGCTACACGAGTATGTAATAAAATAGGGAGTTCCATTTAAGAAATTGATGGTTATTGATTGATCTTTACGTGACTTTCAAATGATTCTCCCATGTCAAATCATTGCTACTATCTGGCCCCCTTCAAGCCATACAACTTTTGTCTGAAACGTTTCTTTCTAAAGTGCATAGTTTATGAAATATTCGACCGGTCCGGGACTTTTGGGACACCCTGTATATTGTATGAGACAAAATGTTATACACAATTAGATAGATACTGCTGTAAACATGCACAATTATTGCAACGAATAATCATGTCAGTTTTCTTGCAGAATACGGACAAAAGAATACGGAGAAAATTGGAAATATTTTCCCGAGTTATGTCGACAATCCTGATTCCAATTATTGTATACAATCATGACTCTATTTGGTTACCGATTGGCGGTTTATTTTTTTACTTGTGCGCTTGTTGGGCAAATTCAAAGAGGAAGAGACTCGACATATTATTGATATTTTTATGGTTTTGTATTATTAGTTTTGTTTACATCAAGAATTCAACTTTTCAAAATGTCTGGCTTATGATGGACATTGTGCATTGCATGGTGAGTTAAATGCAATAAAATATCTAGCATTTATGAAATATATTTTTACATGAACATTTAGTTTATTCTTTTTTTTTCAGATACAAGTATGCGCGTTTATTACAGGTTTCTTGAGTATAAAACTTATTTCAAATAAAAATACATTAATAGGCTCAGTGGCATTCAAAAAGCTCAAACTGCATCCACGAAATGTTGCACCTCAATTCACGTTACAGAACCACAGTGAAAGCAAAAATAACACTTCTAATGAAATAATCAATGGTGTTGAATCGTCAGTCTATGTAACAGGCGAAGTATCTTCTACTGAAATCAAATCGCATTCAGCAATGCAAGTATTCTATATTGATTTTATTTTTAAACGAAATACTTCTATTTCATTTATTTTATATACAGAGTGTCCCAAAAGTATCCCAAAAAGAAACGACGATATATCTCAAAAATAAAAGCGATTGTAGAGAAAAATGTAGTGATGTAACGAATTTCCGCGATCCTATGCAGTAAAAAATTTTGTGTTAAATTTAACATATTTCACATGTCCCAATTTATCCACTTTAATTTTAATGTTAATTTAACAGAAGGCAAGTATGTAAATAAATAACACAAGTAATATGTTTAAAAATTAACACAAAAGTAACACTTAAATTTTATCTGGAAATAAAGTTTATGTTAAATTAACATATTTATAATGTTAAATTTAATTAGAAGAAAATATTATTCTTACATTTAAAAATGTTATTCTTACATTTTTATGATAAATAACAGAAGAGATATGTCGATTTAACATATGGAAACTGTTATAGAGAGAAAAATAGCACAACTTATCTGTTCATTTTAACATATAACTTATTTCATCAAAAATTCGTGCATTTACATATTAATTGTGTTATTTTAACTTTTAGAAACGGTGAATATTAACGCAGAAATGTCAAAATAATAATAACGCAACGATAATATGTTACATTAACATAAGAGTATGTTAAAAATGTAACACAAAAATTTTTACACGAGAAAATTTTAACAGAAATACAAAATGTTTTTTTACCGTGTAGATCTATTTACAAAAACTAATCTTAGAGTATTCCTAACAATTTCTGAAAGTGAGTGTGTATGTGTAATTTAATTATTTTATATTTAATCTTCACATTATTATTACATGTATTTTTATCTATCTTCAGATTGAGACAAAAGCTGTCTACCGTTGCAGACAATAACAACGATAATCATCTAAACTCTCAGAATAATAACAGGCTGCTAGATGGCTGTTGCTTGAATCACAGCCTGAGCACCCTCTTCCTAAGCGAAGACACATCAAGATATGGCAAGAATCCTGCGAAAGCAGCACCAGCAATCTTCGAGCGAAAAATATACAGCACGACGAGCTCCGAGAATCTGTTCAAGAAGTTCGGATCCGGGAATAGAAGATATATCTTGTCGCCGCCGAAACTCAGGTCGGTGACGCAAACTTCGTGGGTGGCCGGGGGTTACTGGCAAGAGGGTCACATGATGACCGCAACCCCGCCGACGCTTTCACGATCGTCCAGTCAGAGCTCCGGCTTCGGGTCGGCCGGTTCCTCCAACTTTGCCCCTTCCCGCGAGCCATCCGTGCACGAGTTCGATCGTTGCTCTATCGTGTCGGATGCCACCCGATGGTCGTATCATGCATCACATGCGAATCATTCACCACGAATCGAAGAACAGGAGAATTATGTTCGCGAGGCGAATGTTGGCAGCCCGAAGGATTTAACGCCAGCATTTCCAGATCATCGCACTAGGACGACGACGACGACGGCGACGACGACGACGACGACGACGACGACGATCGTTGCTAGCTCCGGCTGGCTCTCCGCGTTACTTTGCGGCTCGCTGATTTTGAACATGATAGTGCTGTGCGCTACATTATTACGTTAACGTGTTGCCGCATTGTGCCGAGTTGTTGTGTGTTCATCGTAATCTTATGATTGCTATATAGCTATTAATGTGATCGCTAACGCTGATTTAATCCTCGAGTGCTTGGTGGATTCGACTTGAGAGATATCTTCTTCTCATTCCTCTCTTCTTGCCCGTCACGATTTTTCTCACCTCGCATATAGTTTTACACACCAAATAAAATTTCATAAATTCCAAGATTCAATTTCGGGTCTGATAGATGACATACAGGGTTCCACAAAAGTGTAGAAACCCCTTAATATTTCGAAAAATACGCATTTAAAAAAAAAAATGTTTCGTAAAAAAGTTATAGGGTTTTATATGGCGCATTACACAGCGACATTATTATGACCTCTAATAGTGTTCTCAAGGTTATGTGGAGATCAGCTTCAATTTTTTAAATGGAACCCTATATTTTTTATTACATTATCTTGCAACTTATCTTGAGAGCTTTTCAAAACACTATAATAAATTATTTTTCCATGAAATACTTTTCGAGTTATGAAGCTTGAAATCATTTCTTAATTTTACATAAACCATAAAATATCTTATAAAATATTCATTTTTCGATTATCTTACCTTAATACTTTTATGTACAAAATAATGAGAGAAATTCGAATAAGTATTGTATAACTTAGGCAATGAGAGAAATCAATTGGTGTATAGAAAACACATAGTTGTTTCGAAGAAAAAATATGTAATTTGCAATTAACAATTCCATATTTTTTTTTTAAATAACTTGCGTTTCCATTACACCAATTGATTCCACCCATTATTTTGTACATAAAGTATTCAGGTAAGATAATCAAAAAATGAATATTTTAAAGGTTGTTTTATGGTTTATGTAAAATTAAGAAATGATTTCAAGCCTCATAATTCGAAAAGTACTTGATGAAAAAATGTTTATTTATAGTGTTTTGGAAAGCTCTCGAAATAAGCTACAAAAATATGCAAAAATATATAGGGGGTTCCATTTAAGAAATTCAAAATGACCTTCACGTAACCTTGACAACGCTATTCGAGGTCATAATAATGTTGCTGTGTAATGCGCCACATAAAGCCCTATAACTTTTGTATGAAACATTTTTTTTTTAAATGCGTATTTTTCGAAATATTAAGGGGTTTCCACACTTTGGATAAACCCTGTATAATCTTCCCATCACTTTGAGAATACTTTGAGGTGAAACAATTGTACTACTGCTAATTAGAGAAGGACGAGCGCAATTTTGTGCGCGTTAAATATTGTTACACTGACAATGTTACACACTGCCAATGTACTTGTTACGGATACTTGCTCCAACATATCTGCCTATCTTCACTCGGTCTTACAAATACACGTGTAAATACATCCGAGAGTGTTCTAAAGTTGAAATACGCGGGAGATGATATTTGCTCATCTCATTCTTTTCAAAATATATAGTTTTTATTCTTTCTTATTCCAAAAGAAATATATTAGTATATATTTTGAAATATATTGGGTCTCATCTATATTAATATATTTTAAATAAAACACTTTATATATGCGTAACGTAATGTTTTTTTCTCTCATAAATAAAGTTGTAAGAAATTAGTTAAGGAAAAAATGCGATGTGCAAATATTTTTTTTACGCGCTGTAATTATTACTCCAGTGAGAATGTACGTATATTAATCTTTAAAGGTAATGAAATAAGGATATTCGTTTAAGCGTTAAAGTTTTCCTGTTTTCTATACATACTTGTTATTTATCGATGAAATCGATCGTACACGCACTGCCGAAAATAAGAACCTCGTATATAAAAAGAAAAAAAAAAAAAGAAAATACGCTCTACTACAGGCACATGTGATTCATCTGTCTGTTCTTATAGCCAACAGACTAGGAAAACTTGTTGTAATAATGTTAACTTATATTGTATTCCGATTATTGTACGTTTTGATATGTACGATATTGTACAATTGTATCGAGACAAAAATAAAACAGTAATTCTTTTACAATAGTTTTGAAATGTATTCATCTTTGGGCTTACTTATGCGGAGAAGATAATCCTGTTAGAGTTCTTGATAAAATATACAGACAAAAAATGATGTCATAAGAGTGAAAATATATTAATATACAGAGTGGCCCCGAATGTTCCAGCCAGACTTTGAAATCTTGTAGGAAATTTAATTCTGAACAAAAAATTTCATATAAACATGACTCGAAAAATGCTTCCTTATAAAGTTATCGCTCAAAAACCTCTGATGAAGGAAGAGCAAAGGTGAAAAGAAAATGAAACTAAATAAATTTCCTGAAAAACGTCTTTATAAATTTTCTACTATTACGTGCCATTACTAAAATATTAGTTAAAAAAAAATTATTTTATTTTCATAAAAGAAAAAGATTTTTATTTTTATCGTTTTTTTTTCAAGAAATTTATTTAGTTTCATTTTCTTTTCACCTTTTGCTCTTCCTTCATCAGAGGTTTTTGAGCGATAACTTCTGAAGGAAGCATTTTTCGACCCATGTTTATACGAAATTTTTTGTTCAGAATTAAATTTCCTACAAAATCTCAAAGTCTGGCTGGAACGTTCGGAGCCACCCTATATAAATCATGATTGAGAGAGATAGCATTAGAGATGTAAATAGAAAAAGAATAAAAGTTCCTTTTTTCATAAAATAATTTTTTTATGGAAACATAATAAGTTTCATTTTTTCAAATATTTAAACAGTTTTGCAAATTGGTTTTTCATTATTTTTGATTTTTCATGAATGATAGAACTAACAATTATCTTAAATACAGATTGCATTTCAATTAGCCACATATAGTTACTTCATTACTGTTTTTATAATCAAATCAATTTCCAAAACTAAATTGAGATAAATAATTTATCCTTATTATAAAACAGTTTGTAATTTTCAAACTGTACTTTAATTAATATTTTAATAAAAACATTAAAATTCTCTTTTATATTTTTAATTTATCTTTCGCGAAAGTAATTATTAATGGATTATATTATGAGATTTTTCAATTAAAATGATATTAATTATTATGATATAATTCGAATAATTTTTAGTTAGATGTATAATAAAAATTTTCCCGTTATGCATATAATTGAAAAATTATCCAAATCATGTGTTAGGTATAATTTGCAGCAAAAGTTATTCTCGAAAAAAGATAAATTAAAAATGTAAGAATTTTTTTCGTCATATTAAAGAAAATATGTGAAGAAATTTATAAATATGAAAAATGAAATTTTTTTTTAAACATTTGATTTCTATTAGAAAAAAATGGTTTTATTACATCTCTAAACAGCACAATTTTTTATTTAAAAAATTGAATTCCCAATATCATTCGCATAGAATGATTAAATTTAGGATCTCATGCATAATAAGAGATGTGTATGTATAATATACTTTATTGTATTACCTTATAAATATATTTCTTTCGAAGATTACTTCGCTGAGACAGAGTACGACGGTGCGACAATAAATAAATAGGTGAATACAATCGTTTAATGTGATTTTTTTTCTTTCCTTTTTTTCCAATCTAAGCATTCTCATGTCTCTCGATAATCGAATATTAATCATAATATCTTAAAATTACATTCTTTAATCCGAGAAGGAATTTTGTATTACAATATTGTATTATATGTAGTACCTTGTAACTACAGCCTCTCTTCTACACCCTGCATATAAATCTACTACCATCTAGAGTCTAAGAAAAATGTTTAGAATTGCATCTATGCATTTTTATTTTTTTTCCTATCATTAGCCACTCGTTCTGTTTCAGATGAGGTAGATCTGAATTCGATCTGATTGCGGATGCGGGAAGGAAATATTTGATACGAAATTGTCTTCGGAATCTGTGCTGCGAATCTAAAGAATCTATTCTTTAAATTACGTCTCTCATAATGAAACGAGAAAGACGACGATTTATATCTTTTCCTTTCAACTGTCTGTCAACTTGCTGCCAACAATTGTTGAAAGCATGCTTAATCATATTAATCAACATAATATGATTAATTAGTATAATTAATCATGCTTTATTTTATCTGAATTTTTTTCAGTTAATTTCACTCCCTCTCATCGTCGAGACAGAAATAAATTGTAGATCGACCTCTTCTTCAACAGTGACTGATTGCGCGTGCACATAGAATCGTTATATCTCGCCTACTTGACTTTGCAGTAAATAAGTGCAGTATTTCGAACACTCGCCCAAGATATTAGGAAAATAATAAACGCTAACAACCTTTATCGTTTCTTCTCCGCGCTCGTTAAATTCATCTCCTGGTGCTCGCACATTATCGCACGTTACATTGTAACAGAATCGATTGTGATTATTATTACAAAAATCATGATTATTATTAATTTAATTAAATATTATTTTATGGGATTATTACATTAAAAATCCCAGTAACGATATCTATACATAAATTCTTGAATGTTCAGACTTATGAGCGAGAGAAAAAGGAAACGAACGACAGAAGAATTGAAATATCACGGTGTTTATATCGAAGCCGGACGATTTTATTATCATTAATTTTAACGGCGGAGGAGAGATAAGAGATGACAAAAACAAAGATGGGATTCCCTCCCATAAAATACAGCACGATGGACGCGTTACATTAATTCTCGATTCGGGAAAATACAGTTCATCGACATCTAAGGAGGATGCGCCTCAAAGAGGAGACATATTAACATTATATTTATGTGTGTATTATTATAGCTGCAATAAATACATCGTGCATGCAAAAGAGCGCTCTCTTTCGCCTCCGCCTTGTTCGTTTCATCGCAAAATTAATATGAACGCTATTACAAGAGCGCGGTTTACACATGTGACATACATCCCATACAGCACAGAATATTGCAGCAATATTGCAATTTTACAACCCATATAGCACAGAACATTGCAGCAATATTGCAGCAATATTACAGCAATATTACAATATTGCTACATTGTCAATATTAGAATATTGCTGCAATATTGTTGCAATGTTCTGTGCTGTATGGAAGCAATATTAAAAATATTGTTGCAATATTCTGGGCTACACACATGGGTACATACATATACATATAAATATATATATATATATATATATATATATATATATATATGTATATCATATATATCGTATAATATTTACATATTACAGATCTGACACAAAAATATTTAGTTTCAACAGTAATTGCACTCGCACAATGCAATACACACACACACACACACACACACACACACACATACACATTGTTATCGGTCGTTTTTTCATTTGCGTACTATAGCAAAGGAAAAAACGCAGCTTTTCCTCGTTCTTGATAGTTACATATCACAAAAGTTAAGGAGAAATAAAAGAAGGAAAGGTGGGAAGGAAGCAAAAAATGTGGCGAAAAAGTGATTGTTAATCATGTGTACATATATATATATATATATATATATATATATATATATACACATATACATATATACACACACACACACACACACACACACACACACACACACACACGGTGGCCCCGAATGTTACAACCAGACTTTAAGATCTTATAGGAAATTTAATTCTGAACAAAAAATTTTCTATAAACATGGGTCGAAAAATACATCCTTAAGAAGTTATCGTTCAAAAACCTCTGATAAAGGAAGAGCAAAAGGTGAAAAGAAAATGAAAAAAAAGAAAATAAAACTAAATAAACTTCTTAAAAAATGTCTTTATTCATTTTCTACTATTACGTGTCATTACTAAAATATTAATTTAAAAAAAAGATTATTTTATTTTCATAAAAGAAAAAGATTTTTATTTTTATCGTTTTTTTCAAGAAATTTATTTAGTTTCATTTTCTTTTCACCTTTGCTCTTCCTTCATCAGAGGCTTTTGAGCGATAACTTTTTAAGGAAGCATTTTTCGAGCCATGTTTATAGGAAATTTTTTGTTCAGAATTAAATTTCCTACAAAATCTCGAAGTCTGGCTGGAACGTTCGGGACTACCCTGTATATATATATATATATATAACTTTCAAAAAATTTTAAAATCTATCCGTTTCTTCTCTGAAGAAAGGATCTTTATGTGACATTTTTACATGTCGCTTAAAGAAAGAAAAAATGCATGGAGGAGTATGCGAAGGAGGCTTTGCCTCGATTTGTATCTTATCTCGAATAAATTAACAACGAACTGTCGAGTATCACGTGTGCGATTCTAGAACTTTGAGAAGAAAAAAATTTACGAATATATACATCATAAATTTTACACAGAACATATGTATGTAAAAGATAACACGGGGGAATTAAATTAGATTAAAAAAAAGAGGATGTGTAAAATTTCGACAGAGCTATTTTTTTTCTTCAGAAACTTAATAATAAACTAGATCTTAATAGAATGGCTCTCTCGTAATTGGATAATTTATGACATTTGAGATGAAAAGGAAGAGAAACCTCCAAAGCTTCTCTCAATGCTCTGTGCGTTTCGCAAAGATCGCTTTTATAATCGTTAACGCATGAAAAGAAATGCCTTTCGCAAGATTATAAAAATAGTCGACGAGAAAATGCAAAGTAAACGATAGATTAGTTTCTCATACAGCACAAAACATTGCAGTAATATTGCGACAATGTTGCAGCAAAAATTGTATCAATATTGCGGCAATGTTACAGCAAAAATTGTAGCAATATTGCAGCAAAAATTGTAGCAATATTACGGCAATGTTGCAGCAAAAATTGTAGCAATATTGCGGCAGTTGCAGCAAAAATTGTAGCAATATTGCAGCAAAAATTGTAGCAATATTGCGACAATGTTGCAGCAAAAATTGTAGAAATATTGCGGCAATGTTGCAGTAAAAATTGTAGCAACATTGCTGCAATATTGTTGCAGCAATATTTTATAGATCTTGTCCATCTGAAAATCTCATAAATTTTTTCGCTGGAATAATGCACGCGCATACACACATACACACATTCATATTGGCTCTGAACGATACGCTCTGGAGAAGCAAATCTACACTTAACATGCTTAGTTAAGCGTGCCCTCCGGCAACAGAGCCTTGCATTTTTATCAGTTACGCAGAAAGAAAGAGAGAGAGAGAGAGAGAAAGAGAGAATGAGAAGGGGGGAGAGATAGGAGGAAGAGAGCAGCAGAGGGGGAAAGACTTCTTACAATTACAATATTCGTAATTCATAATCACATTTACACTCACTCTCGAAGCCGCATGTCCGATCGTCTTCTTAATCAGGTGAATTCTGAATTAAAGGCGTCTTAAGTATTCTTTGCCTCTGTCAAGATCTCGAGGATTGGGACATGATTCTTCAACGGTATTCGTTTCTTCTCTCTTTTTTTCGAGAAAGAGAGAGATACAAGTTGAGTTTTATATGATTCAAATAGAAACACATTCATAAAAGTAAAAAATATTCCGAGAGAGACTTCTTCACATGCTCGTTCGATTGAGAAACACTCGCTTTATTATCGAATCACCATTATCATCGTCATCACCATCATCATCATTATCGAATCACCATTATTATCATCACCATCATCATCATCATCATCATCATCATTATCATCATCATCATCATTATCATCATTATCATGCACTATGTGACATTTTAAATTAAATAATTTATAAAAATTATCTATTTACACATCGACAGGACATGCAGCGCTCGCATTAAATATGAACTGCCCGGTAACTGTATTTTCTCACGTGTGTAGATGAAACCAAGTAGAAAAATCTCACCTTGCGGTTTATGATTTTTATAATAATTAATGAGAAATTAATTTTAAAAAATCGCAAAATAGTAGAGGACTTTTCTACTTGTATTTATGGTTATTACCGGACATTTTTTATATATATAATTTATAATGCACTCGTATCTTATATATATATATTGTATATATATATATATATATATATATATATATATATATATATATATGTATACCTAAGCACATGCTTGCTTCGAGAAAAAAAAAAAGAAAAAAAAAAGAAAGTTAAAAGAACTGGCGGTGCTCTCTCTTTGCAGATAATATAGTACTATTGCCCTTATTTTTTATAATATAATAATAGTAATAGTAATTGTAACATTTATGCATATCCATTATACATAAGAGCCGCTGGAATTCTTTTGTTTTCATCGATGAAAGCGTTCTTGCATTCGTTTTCTGTAAAAGTGAAGGGTATTTTGGCATTATGCGATCACGATCATCACTGTACGCTGTTACCCATATCTGTGTGTGTATATGTGATCAGGAACATGGAAAAAAAACAGAGAGGAAAATAAATAAATATCTCCAAAGTAACATTCAATCATTTAAAATTTTATATTTCGCGAAAAATTAATCATAATTTAAAAAATGATATATCGCGATTCAGAAAATGTTTTAATAAATAATTAATAATACGCCATGCAAAAGAATACGAAAATAGAGAACATACGATAGAAAAAAAGAAACGTATCGCGAGGTTTGTTCATTTTTATCTCATTTTTATCATTTTCATCAGGATGTCTACTCAAATCTTCTAAAAAAAAAGTGATCTTCTAGATATTTTTATTCAAAATTTTAAAATTAGAGAGAATATTTAAAATTTTTTTGTAGAAATCTTTAAAATAAATCTTTTCATTGTATCTTTTATTGTTTTCCACTCATGAAAAAAAAACACAGAGCTTCTTAAGTTTCAAGTGCCAGATGTGCAAATGCATAGAAAAAAATTGAATAGCTTTATAAGATGAATATTTTTCACTTGCATAAAATTTCATTTTCTTATCACTAAAATTAATAAAAAATATGTACTGTATATTCAATATAAGATTTGTTAAGAGAAAAAAATATATTCATAAAGAACATATTTGCAAAACTCGACATGTCAAAAAAATCGGAAATAAGTAAAAAGCATGATTCTGGATTGTAATTCTTGATTTGTTCATGTTTTTCTGATCTGTCTCATACAGAATTACAAATATTTCAAGTATTATTTAAAAAATTAGCAATGTTACATCATAATTCAACCTGTTAAATAAATTCTCTTTTTATCTATGTTAAGTTATAAGCACTTGTTGAGTTTTGTATTCTCAAATAAAGATATATATATATTTATAATCTATTTCAAATATATAATTTATTTGTCTTGCAAACTGTTTAAAATAAAAACAGAATTATTAAAAAGAGAATTTTCTAAAAAATTCTCTGAATCCCAATAAAATTACATGAGAATTTTCTGATTTCTTTTTAAGTACAAAAAAATTCTTGAAAATTCCAGGTTTTCCATGTTTTTTTAAGGAGTAGACATCCTGTTTGTCTTTAACGAAATTAAGTCATTTATTTTAAAATACAGAGAGATCTATCTGAAGACTCGAAATTTCTTTCTTTTGTAGCACAAAACCGAGCAAGCAATATAAGGTAATTTTTAATTAAACAAATTTAAAAGAAAAAAATAAGATAATTAAATTATAAATACATAAAATGTGAGACATTTGCGAAAAAAGAAAGAGAAAGAAATTGCGGACGATTTTAACTAGCACGACTCTTATAACGAGGGAAGCGAAAAAGTTATTATTTCTTACCACGATTGCCAGTCCTGATGGCGTTGACATTGCTCAAATGATGCTGACCGGCGCGAATCGGTTTCGCGATCTGCGCGCTAGGTCCGCGGCGCGCAAGATTCTTTTGTCGGACCGCCTCCTTGATTCGGTCCACCTCGTACTGATAGCGCTTACGATCCCGCATTGCGCCCTCCTTAGCATCGCGCAGTGCCGTCTCCAGAGCCTTGATACGTTCCATCGTCGCTCGCAGTCGCTTCTCCAATTTAGGCAGCTCGCAGCGAAGATCGGCATTGTCTCTGACGAGTTGTTTGTGCACCTAAAAGACATGTGAAATGAATATATATACAGGGTGAGACATTTTAAGTTACCCACCCCAATAACTTTTTTATTTTTGAATGTACAACAAAATGTTTCAAATAAAAGTTGCTTGACTTCGAGGAGGACAGAAGATGGTGACAAAAATTTGACCTTGGATAGTCATTTGAAGGTCACATAAAGGTCACCTTCAATTTCTTAAATGGAACCTACTATTTTTCATTGCATATTCTTGTAGCTTATCTCGAGAGCTTTCCAAAACACTATAATAAAGTATTTCTTCATTGAGTACTTTTCGAGTTATGAGGCTTGAAATAATTTCTTAATTTTACATAAACCATAAAATATCTAGTAAAATATTCATTTTTCTATTATCTTGCCTTAATACTTTTATGTACAAAATAATGAGAGCAATCAATTGGTGTAAAAAAACATAATTATTTTAAAAATATATACAGGGTGGACCATTTTAATCTATAATGGAAAATATCTCGGAATGTTGGTGAGATACAACAAAATGTTTTAGACAAAAGTTGTATGGTTTCAAGGGGGACAGATGGTGTCATTAGTTTGATCTTGAAGAGCCACCTGAAGGACACGCGAAGGTCAGCTCCAACTTTTTAAATGGGATATCCTATATGCTTTTGCATATTCTTGTAGCTCATCTCAAGAGCTTTCCAAAACACTATAATTAAGTTAGTTTTCATTAAGTACTTTCCAAGTTATGAGGCTTGAAATCATTTTTTAATTTTACATAAACCGTAAAATATCTTGTAAAATATTCATTTTTCGATTATTTTACCTTAATACTTTTGTGTACAAAATAATGAGAGGAATCAATTGATGTAAAGAAAAGACATAGTTATTTTTAAGAAAAAATATGTAATTGTTAATTGCAAATTACATATTTTTTTTCGAAACAACTATGAGTTTTCTTTACACCAATTGATTCTTCTCATTATTTTGTACATAAAAGTATTAGGTAAGTAAGGTAAAATAATCGAAAAATGAATATTTTACAAGATATTTTACGGTTTATGTAAAATTAAAAAATGATTTCAAGCCTCATAACTTGGAAAGTACTTAATGAAAACTAACTTAATTATAGTGTTTTGGAAAGCTCTTGAGATGAGCTACAAGAATATGCAAAAGCATATAGGGTGTCCCATTTAAAAAGTTGGAGCTGACCTTCGCGTGTCCTTCAGGTGGCTCTTCAAGATCAAACTAATGACACGATCTTATGTCCCCCTTGAAACCATACAACTTTTGTCTACAACATTTTGTTGTATCTCACCAACATTCCGAGATATTTTCCATTATAGATTAAAATGGTCTACCCTGTATATAATTATTAATTGTAAATTACATATTTTTTCTTAAAAACAACTGTATGTTTTCTTTACACCAATTGATTGCTCTCATTATTTTGTACATAAAAGTATTAAGATAAAATAATCGAAAAATGAATATTTTATTAAATATTTTATGGTTTATGTAAAAATAGGATATTATTTCAAGCCTTATAACTCAAAAAGTATTTAACGAAAAGGTACTTAATTATAGTGTTTTGGAAAGCTCTCGAGATAAGCTACAAGAATATGCAATGAAAAATAGTAGGTTCCATTTAAGAAATTGAAGGTGACCTTTATGTGACCTTCAAATGACTATCCAAGGTCAAATTTTTCCCACCATCTTTTGTCCCCTTCGAAGTCAAGCAACTTTTATTTGAAACATTTTGTTGTACATTCAAAAATAAAAAAGTTATTGGGGTGGGTAACTTAAAATGGTTCCCCCTATATATTGAAATGAAAAAAAGAAAAACATTAATGTATCGTAAATTATAAATGATGAAGTACCTTCGTCAGTTGGTCCAGATTGTTTTCTAAGAAGGATATCTTTTGTTTCTGCGCGAGAGAACCGCCGTCGTCCTCATTGTCCTCGGCGCTGATGGTCTTCTTTATTCTAGTTTGCAGATCTTGGACGAATAATTTTCGCAGATTGTGCAAGGTCTGCAATTCTTTGGCTACCGTGTCTTCCAATCCCTTGAGATCTTTTCTCGCCTGTAATCAATTCGATATGATGATGAAAATTCATTTTACATGATAGCATAGATGAGTCTTTCAATTCGAACATACTTGCTCTCGGCGCTCATTCAGTAGGACAAGTTCCTGCAGCTTGACAGACTTGTTAGCCTCCTCTTGCTTCAACCGTTCGTAATCAGCCTGCATCTGCTGGTGCGCCAAGGTAAACTTCTGATTCAGATCCTTGAGTTCGCTGATCAACTCCTGCTTCTCGGACAACTCGTCTCGAAGAGCAGCGACCTTAAATTAGAATCACAAACATGCATTTAAAAGGTAAAAGAATAGCCTGTATAAAGTTAGCCCCCCATTTTTCAAATTTTAAAATTCTAAAAGTTGTTCCAGATTGTTCTAGACTTGTTCTAAATTGTTCTACATTTTGGTGTCACTGACGTGCCGCTATCGGTCGAAAAATACAAAAAAATGCAAAAAAAAACCAGTCTATCTCTAAGAGTAAAGTGCCCTTCAAATTTGTTCTGGCAAAAATGAGAGTTGTTCTAGGTTATTACATTAATTATTAGCTTAAATATGCTTATATATTATTATATTATATAATAATTTGATGTTCATAAGATGATAATGATAGCTGTAGGCGTAAAAATATTGTCTGAGCGCTCGATATTATTTTTTAAGTATCTTTTTAAATTTTTTGTAGAATTAATACTTTGGAATAATGTTTGGAACAACTAGAACAATATGGAACAACCTTTAAAAGTTTGATTTTTGAAAAATGGTGTGCCATGTCAAAAAATCGTTTTTTTAATTTTCCGCGAAAATTATTCTTACAAAAATTTAATATTCTGGAACAATTTAGAACAAGTCTAGAACAACCTGGAACAACTTTTAGAATTTTAAACTTTGAAAAATGGGGGCTAATTTTATACAGATAAAAAAATATTCATTTCATAATCTTAATGACATTGACAAGCGCACAAAATTAGCAATCATTCCACAGATAACAACCTGTTTTTGATGCGCATCTCTTAGTTGATCCATCTGCTCTTCCAGGGCCACTCGCATCTTCGTTGCCGCCTCTTTCTCCTCGGCCTTTTCCTTGTTGGTAACCGCCTGCACCTGTTCAGCGGCCTTCAGTTTGGCGCACTCTTCACGCAACGCGTCCACATCTTCCTCCAGGGCCCGCTTACGTGCGTCGGCTTCTTTCATCGATTCCGTCAGCGTCTGCATACGTGCTTCGTGTTGCGAGATCAACAATCGGCTCTCGGCCAAGTCCTTCTCATATTCGGAAACCTATGAGGCACACATTTATATAAATAAAATGAAGATTAAAATTATATATAAATATAATAAAAGATTAAAATTATAATTATATAATAGAAAATTAATATTAAAATTATATATAAATAAAATTATATATATATGTATATATATATATATATATATATACATATATATATATATAATAATATAAATAATAATATAAATATAAAAATAATATAAATATATATATATATATATATATATATATATATATATATAATTTTAATCTTCTATTATATAATTATAATTAATTATAATTTTAATCTTCTATTATATTTATATATAATTTTAATCTTCATTTTATTTATAATAGAAGATTAAAATTATATACAGGGTGTCCCAAAAGTCCCGGACCGGTCGAATATTTCTTCAAATGATTATCCCATGTCAAATCATTGTCACTATCTGATGGCCCCCTTCAGGCCATACAACTTTTGTCTGAAACGTTTCTTTCTAAAGTGCATAGTTTATGAAATATTCGACCGGTCCGGGACTTTTGGAACACCCTGTATATATATATATATATATATATATATATATATATATATATAATTATAGATAAAATGAAGATCGGAGGAAGCAAACTGATGCGCCATCACTCACTTTCTTGTTACAGTCCACTTGAAAGCTTTCCAATCCCTGACATCGCTGCACCAAATTCTTCACTTCAGACTTCATTTTACTAATAAATAGCCGCGCCACTGTAAATTCCTCTTCAAGTTTACCGTTGCTTTCCGGTGGAGCAATCTTAAATTCAAAATCACAATTGACAAAATTATAGAATGAATATAATTATGGAATAACTTCATATTTACATTTCTTTTTTCTATTCCCAAAGATTCAACATATCCTTACTTTTAGATTTTCGTTAGATTCGCCGCCGATTGCAACTCCAATTTCGCCTAAGTCTTTCAAGAAATTCGCTAGCATCTCTGCAATGCGTTTCCTTTGATGAGCCGACATATCGCGCAACTGTTGCAGCTCGGATGCGGTGTTGTTCAGAGCTACTTGTTTAGCCAACAGCTCCTCCGCCATAGATTCCTGTTCCTTATTTTTTAGCTCGACCTAATATTTAAAGCAAACAAATAAAAATCCTAGTTCTTCTTTAGAATAGAGAGAGAGAGAGAGGGAGAGAAAATTCTCTTTTTTTCAAAATAATATCAAATATTTTCTCAAAATAATATTTAATATCAAATATTTTCTCAAAATAATATTTACCTCTTGCGATTTTTGATCGTAATTGACGGCGAGCTCTTCCAGTGCTTGCAATACCTCCTTCACTTCCTCCTTAGCGCTCTCGTTCTCCTGTTGTATTCGGTTCATCTCCTGCTGCAGCTGCTCATAATCTCGCCTCGCGCTGGCGATAAGTTCCTCCTGTTCCTCCATCTGTTCCTTAAGCTTCTCGACGTATTGCGACTGCTGATTGATCTCTTCGTCCTTATCATCCAGCTGTTGATACAGTCTTTCGCGTTCCTCCTCGAGTTTCTGTCTCTCCTCGTTCGAGAGGGAACCAATCATGAGACCGCCGCCGGGGGTGGCGGGCATCGGACTATCGTCCAGTTTGCCTACAAGACAAAGGATTGAAGAGAGAAATTCATAATAAAAATTTTAAATAAAAATTACTAATTATCTCATCTATACAGGGTGTCCCATTTTAACTTGGACAGTAAAATATCTCAAAAACTAAGCCAGCAAACAAAAATGTTTCAGACAAAAGTATGGTTTCGAGGGGGACATAAGATGGTACCATTGATTTGATCTTGAAGAGTTATTTGAAGGTCACATGAAGGTCACCTTCAATTTTTTAAATGGAACCTACATTTTCTCATTACATATTCTTGTAGCTTATCTCGAGAGCTTTCCAAAACACTATAATAAAATATTTTTTCATTGAGTACTTTTCGAGTTATGAGGCTTGAAATCATTTCTTAATTTTACATAAACCGTAATATATCTAATAAAATATTCATTTTTCGATTATCTTGCCTTGATACTTTTATGTACAAAATAATAAGAGAAATCAATTGGTGTAAAAAAAAAACACATAGTTGTTTCAAAGAAAAAATATGTAATTGTTAATTGCAAATTACATATTTTTTCTTAAAAATAACTATGCGTTTTCTTTACACCAATTGATTCCTCTCATTATTTTGTACATAAAAGTATTAAGGCAAGATAATCGAAAAATGAATATTTTTGGAAAGCTCTCGAGATAAACTACAAGAATATGTAATGAGAAAATGTAGGTTCCATTTAAGAAATTGAAGGTGACCTTCATGTGACCTTCAAATAAGACCTCTTCAAGGTCAGACCAATGATATCATCTTATGTCCCCCTCGAAACCATACAACTTTTGTCTGAAACATTCTTGTTTGCTGGGCTTAGTTTTTGAGATATTTTACTGTCCAAGTTAAAATGGAACAATCTGTATATATCATCATTACCTTCGACAGGCACATTGATTGGCGTGGTAACATCCGGTCCTTCGACCAAGCTGACTTGCTCTTCGGGCTTAACGGTCTCGCCCTGCCGCCAACGTGACAATTCCGCCTCCAATTTGTCCACCTTGCCTTTGTATCTGGCCGCTTTCTCCTTTTCACGCTCATAGCGACGTTTCCATTCTTCGGCCGTCAACTCCTCGTTCACACATACAACATTCTTGATTGTCTTAGCGCGCTTACCTATTTAACAACAAATATGTTTCATAAGTCACTGACCAAGCGTACCATCTCGACACGAAAAAAATGATAAATCTACCGAAATCTAAAGTCGATTTTGTTTCCGATTCGTTGAAACTAGCGGGAGAACAACAGATGATGATCGTGGTTCTAGCGTTACCACCCAATGATTCTTGCAATATTCTTGTTAGCTTGGAATCGCGATAAGGAATGTGAGTCTTATTGCCGTCAGCCAAGGCCGAGATTACATTACCCAGCGCAGACAGGGATTTATTGATGTTTTTTGCCTCGTCAAGTACTGTTCCTTCGGCACCGGTTTTAGAAACCTGTAAATATGAAAACAATGCAATAATATAACAATATAATAGAACTAGAGAAATGTAAAAAAAACCCTTCTTTTTTCTAATAGAAAATAAACGTTAAAATAAACGTTAAAATAAAACCCTTTTACTGCCTTTTTTATTAAGAAAGAAAAGTTTTTATTATCTTTTTAATATTATTTTTTTCTTTATATATTTTTAATATTATTTTTATTTATATATTTATCATTCTTTTATATATTTATAATTTATATATTTATATATTTATTATTTTTATTTATATATTTTTTCGTTATTATAATAAAAGAAACCTCTAAAGTTTTTGTCTTTTTTCCGAAAGTAATTTTAATGAATTAATGAGATTTTTGAAGAGAAGAATTTTTAGCAAAGATTATTTTATCAATTAGATGCATAATAAAAATTTTTATCATGCACCTAATTGAAAATTAATTATGTGTGTAATTATTTATGTATTTAATATCAGTTTAATCACAAAAGTCTCGTTAATCCATTAAAATTGTTTTCGAGAAAAAAAAAATTAATTAATTAAAAATATAGAAACTTTAGATTTTTGGTTATTTTAAAATAGTTATTAAATATAAGAATTACAAACTGTATTTTTGTATAATAAAAAAATGTATTTAGTTCAATTTTCAATTGTTTTTAGAAAATTTTACCTAATTAAAAATAGTAATTATATAAATAGCTAATTGAAGTGCAATTTACATTTAAAATAGTGGTGATTAATTTTAAATCTATCATGTGAAAATGAAAAATTAACTTGCATAATAAATAAATAAAAATATAAAAATAAAATATAAATAAACGTTGAATATCTGAGGAAATTTTAAATCTATCATGTGAAAATGAAAAATTAACTTGCATAATAAATAAATAAAATATATAATAAATAAAATATAAATAAACGTTGAATATCTGAGGAAAATTTTTTTGTAAACTAGGCTTGTCTTTTTCTATTCAAAAATTGTATTTTATATTTAAAAAAAAATTTGTTTTCTTCTATTTATGTATATTTCTAGATAGAACGAAATAATACAAAAAAAGCAAATAAATTTAAACACGAAATTCTAAATTAAATAAATTTCTCACCTTTTCCGAACCAGCCAAATCGACAAGATATAGTTTGCCGGAAAGTTTCTTCTGATTTTCTAGATTTTCCTGTTTAACATTTATGAGAAAAACAGAATGGGAACGCGAGCTGTGCTCGTTCATATTGGTCACGGCAATGTGCCGATTCGATTTGCCCTCTTCTATCACCTCGAACACTTCCTCGGGACTAGAAACGAATCGTTCGGTCGCGCCTTTCACAAACGGCACCCGGTTCTTGTCTTCATGTACACTTAAGTTGACCTTAGATACTGCAAAGAAATATTACGATAATATAATATATCAATAATTAATGTATCAATCAACACATGAACATAGGATCAAATCTTACCATCGAGAAGATCCCTGATTTTATCCATGTAAATCTCAAAATATGATACTTTAATATGGAATTCCAAATTTTCCTCCATGCCGTAGATATGATTGAAGATGTCATTGACGATTCTCGGGATAATACCCTGCTTGTTGGGATCGCCAATGACTCCCTCCATTGTGTGCGTTTTACCTGTACACACAGAATATGCATTATTTTATTATCTACGTTGTATGGTAGTTGTTTTCAAACAAGATAAGTACTCCTTACCTGACGATGTTTGACCGTATGCGAAAATGGTTCCATTATATCCTGCCAAAACGTCCGTGACGATGGACTTTGCTGCCTCATTGTAAACTTTATCTTGTGTAGCATTCGGCTTGAATACTTTATCGAAGAGATATACTTTGCCCTAAAAACCGATATATATAGAAAAATGTATTAATCAAGTTTTATTGTCTTATTTAATAATATTCAGAGCTTTATTAATCTTATTCACTGATTTTATCTAGAAAAATATATTTATTTTGAAAATATCGAGAGTATTCAATAAAAACATTAGGATCAAGGATCCATTCCTTTGCTTGAACAGTATTTTTCCCCATCAGGAAGCAATGTTTTATCAAAACACGAAATTCCAATTTTTCCATTCTTTTGAAAATTGCACAAGTAGCGTCACTAAAACCACTGTAACTTGTAAACTAATGGTCCGATTGAGTTAAAATTTTAACACGGCGCGTTTGAATATTGGTGCTTCCCCAAAATAATATGGATTTGTTATTAGTGGCGCCATTTATATGTTAGGCCCGGAACTTATTGAGTGATGTGTTACAATATTTTCCACAATATTGTTACAATTTAGACAATTATATATTGTCTATAATATTTTTTAATGGGAAAACATTGACAAATATAATTATAGTGGAAAATAAAAGTGATACAGTAGGAAATAAAATTATTGTAGCAATATTCAATACTGGAAAAATATTTTTAATTACGTTGGAAAAATATTTTAAATATTACTATTGCGTAAATAGTAACTAACATTAGTAGTTAAATGATGCAATATTGTACTTTCAACTATAAAATATTAATTAAAAGCTACAAAATATTTAATCTACCACTGCTCTTATCTACAATATTTTATTTTTGTAACAATATTGTTACAATAATGTCTATAATATTTTTTAATGGGAAAACATTGACAAATATAATTATAAGAAAATAAAAATGGAAACTAAAAATGATACAGTAGAAAATTATTGTAGCAATATTATTGTAAAAATTATTGTAGCAATATTCAATATTGGACAAATATTTTTCATTACGTTGGACAAATATTTGAAATATTACCATTGTATAAATTTTATTACCATTAGTGGTTAAATGATGCAATATTGCGCAAATAGTACTAACATTAGTGGTTAAATGATGCAATATTGCACTTTCAACTATAAAACATTCAACTACGAAATATATGAAATCACACATCAGCTGGAGTCATCGCACACAATAATTCCAGTTATTATAAAAAAAAAAAAGAAAAATACAGAAAAGTATTAATACAAAATAAATTTTCCAGATTCCTCAAAGAATCTGTATAAATTATAATTTCATCACATATCTATACAACATGATACATATACCTCTATCAGTCTCATATCATATATTTATCAATATTTTCCAATATTGTTACAATATAGACAATTATATTGTCTATAATATTTTTTAATGGGAAAACATTGACAAATATACTTATAAGTGGAAAATAAAAATGATACAGTAAAAATGATACAGTAAAATTATTGTCGCAATATTATTGTAAAAATTATTGTAGCAATATTCAATATTGGAAAAATATTTTTAATTACGTTGGAAAAATATTTGAAATATTACCATTGCGTAAATAGTAACTAACATTAGTAGTTAAATGATGCAATATTGCACTTTCAACTATAAAACATTTAACTACGAAATATATGAAATCACATCATTTGGAGTCATCGCACACAATAATTCCAGTTATCATTAAAAAAAAGAAAAATACAGAAAAGTATTAATACAGAATAGATTTTCCAGATTCCTAAAAAAATCCGTATGAATCATAATTTCATCACGTATCTATATACAACATGATACATATACGTCTATCAGTCTCATATCATATATTTATCAATATTTTCCACAATATTATTACAATATAGATAATATTGTCTATAATATTTTTTAATAGGAAAACATTGACAAATACAATTATAAGTGTAAAATAAAAATGATACAGTAGGAAATTATTGTAAAAATTATTGTAGCAATATTCAATATTGGAAAAATATTTTAAATATTATCATTGCGTAAATAGTAACTAACATTAGTGGTTAAATGATGCAATATTGCACTTTCAACTATAAAACATTTAACTACGAAATATATGAAATCACACATCATTTGGAGTCATCGCAAACAATAATTCCAATTATCATAAAAAAAAAAAGAAAAATACAGAAAAATATTAATACAGAATAGATTTTCCAGATTCCTAAAAGAATCCGTATGAATCATAATTTCATCATGTATCTATATACAACATGATACATATACCTCTATCAGTCTCATATCATATATTTATCAATATTTTCCACAATATTGTTGCAATATTATAGACAATTATATTGTCTATAATATTTTTTAATGGGAAAACATTGACAAATATAACTATAAGTGTAAAATAAAAATGATACAGGAAATTATTGTCGCAATATTATTGTAACAATATTCAATATTAGAAAAATATTTTTACTTATGTTGGAAAAATATTACCATTGCGTAAATAGTAACTAACATGATTGGTTAAATGATGCAATATTGCACTTTCAACTATAAAACATTCAACTACGAAATATATGAAATCACACATCAGCTGGAGTCATCGCACACAATAATTCTTACAATATAAACAATTATATTGTCTATAATATTTTTTAATGGGAAAACATTGACAAATATAATTATAAGTAGAAAATAAAAATGATACCGCAGGAAATTATTGTAGCAATATTCAATATTGGAAAAATATTTTTAATTACGTTGGAAAAATATTTGAAATATTACCATTGCATAAATAGTAATTAACATTAATAGATAATTGATAGTTAATTGATGCAATATTGCCCTTTCAACTATAAAACATTCAACTATGAAATATATGAAATCACACATCAGCTGGAGTCATCGCAAACAATAATTCCAGTTATAAAAAAAAAAAAAGAAAAAAAATACAGAAAAGTATGAATACAGAATAATTTTCCAGATTCCTAAAAGAATCCGTATGAATCATAATTTCCTCACGTATCTATATACAACATTATACATATACCCCTATCAGTCTCTACAACACCCACAAGGGAGAGGGGAAGGGAAGGGGAAGGATCCCGAGGGACGTCGTCGACGAGGAGGATAAATCCTCCACGTCGGAGACTTCACGTTTCACGTACCCCGATGGAGATGCAATTCTCGTCGCCCCCAGCCGGGAACTTGACGATGAACTTGGAGCCGGCCTTCTCCTCGGAATCGTTCAGCGGCCGAAACCTGCAGACCACCTTGATACTATCCTCGGCGGCGATCTCTCGCTCCCTCGGGGTCTCCATTGCCATCGTCGCGCGACAGGAGGCAACGAGACGGTACACGCGTGTAGGCGTGCGTATGTGTCACCCTATATATCTATACTTAATATACTTAACCCTGGAGAGTGTCTTATTAATCGACGCGACCGATTCCTTTCCCCTCTTCTCTCTTCGCTGATTCTTAGGGCCGCCAATCAGCTGCTACCAATCACCCTTGGAGTTTACTCTCATCTGTTTTTCACTATTCACCGCCCTCTCTGCCCTCGATTACTCTCGGCGACGACGACGACGACGACGGGATGGACATCCGAACATGAAGGGATTGCGCCGTCTCTTTCTCTCTCTCTCTCTCTCTCTCTGTTCCTTCCTTTCCCTCTCTTCCCTCTCCCTCCTAGTCCCTAAGCTCCGAAAAGCAGACAGGTCCGTCTGTCACCGTTCTCGCTGGCAGCAAGATGGCGGCTGATAAGTGGACAACTGACTGGCCCACTCGATCCTATCCCCCTGGGTTCGCTCTGTTTCGTTGAATTTTTCTATCTCTCTTGCTCGTCAGTTCGCGATCGTCGACTCGTTTTCGAGATGGTTGAGAATGAGAGCGGAGCGAAGAGGATCGCGAGGATCGCGAGGATCACGATGACCTATCTGCGGAGAAACTCGACGAGCGATCAGATCGCGTGCAATCGATGATGAGCCGTGGAATATGTGTGTGTGTGTGTGTGTGTGAGTGTGTGTATGATATCTACACCTACGTAACTATATCTATAGAGATGTAGAAGTGAGTCGGCGCACGCTCTTTTTCCACGAAAAGAGAATGAAATTGAATAGGAAGGAGAGAATAGACTTTGTCGTCTCATTCGGATTAATTTATTATACACTGAAGTTTTGGATTTTTTTTACATGTCACTATGGCAATTTATTTCGAGAAGAATTCAGCATGGATAGACATATATACATATGTGTAGAGAGTCTAAGAAGGTTTCTCTCTGGTATACAGGGTGTCCCAAAAGTCCCGGACCGGTCGAATATTTCATAAACTATGCACTTTAGAAAGAAATGTTTCAGACAAAAGTTGTATGACTTGAAGAGGGCCATCAGATAGTGGCAATGATTTGACATGGGAGAGTCATTTGAAAGTCACGTGAAGATCATCGTCAATTTTTTAAATGGAACCACCTATTTTTATTAAATATTCTGGTAGCTCACGTCGAGAGCTTTCCAAAACACTATAATTAAGTTAGTTTTCGTTAAGTACTTTCCGAATTATGAAAGGCATTTTCTCCCATCTTTCTTAAACATTTTTTATACTTTCAAAATTATTTATTTAATTTAAAACGGTGTCTGCATTTGTAGCAAAACGCGTTTTAATATTACAAATACATCATAACATTATTATAATCTTATATTATTATAATCTTATATTATAATATTTCTAAGGGCGGACGTTTTAATGTTGCTGCAAGCTTGCAGTATAATGTTACAAAAATATTTCGCAACTTCTATGCAATATTACAATGTTTCAATGTTAGATCTATGCAACGTTTTTGCAATCTTTCGGTATCGATACAAAGCACAGACCATTGTTGTTACATTGCAGCAATTTTTTTTATCAGTTTAATTTCTATTACACTGACTTTAAAATAATTTATTTAATAATCTGGATTCCTTGTTGGGATTCAAAATATTAAACAGATTATTTGAAATTAAGTCAATTTATCAGAAATTAAACTGATAAATAGGAAGTAGCCTATTTATTGTGTATATTAAAATATTCTTATGGGAGTGTATTTATATATTTTAAAAAATTTCAAAATATTCATTTATCAGAAAAAGTAATATTTCAATAATATTATCGAAATCTTTCAGCAAAGTTGTATTTGAAATGATTACAAATATTGAAATATTGAAGAAGTGTTGCATAAACGGATAAATATTTCTATAATATTCGTGATAAATTTCTGCAATACTATTTCTGTAATATTCGTGATAAATTTCTACAATACTATTGAAAGGTGTAATATTTCAAATGAAAAATATAGTAGCAATATATGTTTCAGTAATTGAAATTATTACAGCAGAAATATTAAAAAGCGAAATATCGATTCGATATCAGTAAACACATTTATATTAATGTTTATATAAATGCAATAAAATTGAATATTTTTTATAAATATTATCGGTAATTTATTATTCTTCTTAAAAATTATAATCGGTTATATATGACATATGACAATGTTATTTCATAGTTTTATCTCACATAGCGAAAAACTAATATAATTTAATAAAATTAATAATAAAGGGGTGAAAATAATTAAATTTAATTTATAAAACTGGATATAATTTATTTAATAATTAAACTTTTACTTTTTATACTTCAAGTAGGCAAAACGGATAATATTCCATTATCCTATTGGTTCCAATCAATTTAATATTTTGAATTTCATATTGAACTTGTCAAAAATATCAGAAATTAAATAATAGAAATAGCTCCTTTTGATCTTTTATTAGTATCGCGACTTGCAGACTTTATTCCTGGCAGAAATTTGAGAAACATTGCATAGCGGTGAGCGGTGAGACAATTTTCCAAAATAAATTTTTGTATTGCGTTTTCTAATGTTAATTTGCAATTAACAGTTATATTTTTTCTCATTGTATAAAATATATTTATTGGTTGTCAAATGAATTTCTAAAACTCCGCAAATTTTCTACAATAACAGCCCCAATCAGTAAACCTAAAAAAAATTTCACTCATTGAATGAAACGTTGATTAAAGATTACTTCACTCTGACGAATAGATTTTCGAATGAAATCTTAAATCTCGATATTTCGATTTCTTAACGTCACTGCAACAAAATCTTAAAATGGTTTACGCAGATATAAAAGGTTTAAGAAAATAATTTTATTAATTCGAAAATTTATTTCTCAAAAATTTCTATTATAACTTTAATATTACTATAAACGATAACTTTAATATTTTAATGAACTATAACTATAAAGTATAACTTTAATATTTTAATGAATATAAAAAGAGACATAACTAGAGTGTGTTATATTATAAGTTAAGCAAAATATAAAACTTATATAAAAATATAAAACTTATATAAAATATTATTTATTAATATTTACAGATATGGCTGCCAGCCACAATAAACCCGGCATAAATTCGCGGGGTCTCGCGCCTCTTGTAACAATCTCTCGACCTGTCCCGGAACGCTCGACACTAAACCATCCTCTGTTCCCCGGAGTTTTTGTTCAATCCTCAAAAGAGCTCTCTTGGCGATCTTATTTGTCTCTACAGGTGCTGAAAAACAAATAAAAATTAGTAATTAGTATATCAAAACACATTGCAATGTATTCTGGTTTGAATCAGAATAATTGTGTCTTTTGAAAAAGTATAAACATTATATATTAGGATTCACGAGCATGTCGGGCTAGATTTTTTCCGAAACATGACGTCACGTAAAAAAAGTTTCAGATAAAATTTATGGAGTTTTGAGAGAAAAAAATCAACAATATTGAATTTTAATTGAAGTTATTTTTCAAAGTCATATGCAGATAAACTTAATTTTTTTAAATAGAACTATTAATTTAAATAGAACTATTAATTTATATATATATTGAATTTTTTATATATAAATTTTTGGCTATCCTACTCTTATTACTTTAAATTATTACTTATTAATTTAAATAGAACAATTAATTTATATATATATATATATATATATATATATATATATATATATTGAATTTTTTTTATATAAATTTTTGGCTATCCTACTCTTATTATTTTTTATGCCAAATATTATGAATTTAATATACAGATTGTCCCAAAAGTCCTGGACCGGTCAAATAATTCATAAACTATGCACTTTAGAAAGAAATGTTTCAAACAAAAGTTGTATGGCTTGAAAGGGGCCGTAGCAATGATTTGACATGGGAGAGTCATTTGAAAGTCACGTGAAGATCACCGTCAATTTCTTAAATGGAACCCCCTATTTTTTATTCGTATAGCTTATCTCGAGAGCTTTCCAAAACACTATAACAAACTATAATAAAGTATTTCTTCATTGAGTACCTTTCGAGTTATAGGGTTGAAATCATTTCTTAATTTTGCATAAACCATAAAATATCTAGTAAAATATTCATTTTTCGATTATCTTACCTTATATTGTTTAAAAAAAAATATGTAATTTGCAATTAACAATTACATATTTTTTTTTAAAACAACTATGTGTTTTCTTTACACCAATTGATTCCTCTCATTATTTTGTACATAAAAGTATTAAGGTAAGATAATCGAAAAATGAATATTTTACTAGATATTTTATGGTTTATGCAAAATTAAGAAATGATTTCAAGCCTCATGATTCGAAAAGTACTCATGAAGAAATACTTTATTATAGTGTTTTGGAAAGCTCTAGAGATAAGCTACACGAATATGTAATAAAAATAGATGGTTCCACTTAAGAAATTGATGGTGATCTTCACGTGACTTTCAAATGACTCTCCCAAGTCAAATCATTGCCACTATCTGATGGTCCCCTTCAAGCCATACAACTTTTGTTTGAAATATTTCTTTCTAAAGTGCACAGTTTATGAAATATTCAACCGGTCTGGGACTTTTGGGACACTCTGTATAAAATATATATATTTTATATATTAAATTCACAATATTTGGCATAAAAAGTAATAAGAGTAGGCTAGCCAAAAATTGAATAGTTTATAATAAGATATTTTATAATTTATATAAAATTTCATGACACACACACACACACATCAAATACAATATAAATTCTTAAATACACAAAAAATAAATTTAATTAAAATTCAAGATTATCAATTTTCTCTTTAAGAAAATCCTATAAATGTTTAAAACATTTTTTGATTTTAAGCTTCGGAGAAAATCCCATCACTTGTAAATATTCTGCATATTTTTAGAAAATAGTGAGACATCCCTATACAACCTTAGCTTCAAGGTTTCTTAATTATGCCTAGTATCAATATTAATATAATATCAATATTTTTTTCTTGCTTGTTCAATTTGCTTTACCTCGCCCGCTGTTTTCCGAGTAGCTTCTTACGACGTCGCTCTGCATTTTACACGCCTTCTCTGGAGTGATGGCCCACGTGAAAAGCGGATCGTACAGCAGGACTTGAAGGAGGGTGATGATAATTTGCCTTTGATCGCGTAGCATCGTCATGGTCACTTCGCAGCTGCGTCTCATAGTACCTTCAATACCGGAAGCACCCATGGCGACCTCAATGTCTCTGGTTAATCTACGGTAGAGAGAATATACAGTGATGTAATAATGTCAATTGAAAGATAATTTAAAAAAAGATTAGACATCGCACATAGCAGGGTTGGCATGTTTTAAACTACTGTTTAAAACCGTTTAAAATATCGCAAATAAAATATATGATTATTTGGAAAAGAAATTGTAAAAAAAATCGAAAACAAACAAAAACTAATAGATGTGTATATTGCAAAAAAGCTTTTGTTTTAGTGTTTTTAGTTTTTTATCTATATGTAACATATAGATATAAAAATATAAATAATAAGAATGTATAAATATAAATAATAAAAATTATAAGATGGGTATTATTTTAGCAGAATATTTATTTTTGGATATTAAATAACAATCAATACAATAAAGATTACTTAGAAGATATTGACTGATTTTATATTTTATATTTTAGCATTTTAAATTAATAGTATATAACTCATAGCAGGTAAGTAGTTCTAAAAAAAAAGTTCTTTTAAAAAAAAGAATTAAGATTTTTTATTTTTCTTTTATTTATAATTTATGTTGAGAGTTAAGCATGAAATTACTTAATAAGAATAGGAAAGGAACCAAAGTATTATATATTAAATATTATTAACTAGAACTTTTTTTCTCCAAAAATAAATAACTCCAAAAATAAATATTCTGCTAAAATAATATTCACCTTATCATTTTTATTTTATTATTTATATTTTTAATAGCGTTGTCAATTTTGGCAACGTTACAGTTAACAAGAAAGATTTAGTGAAAAATTTAAATATTTACACAGATCAAAGCTATTAAGTGTTTTTTTTTGCTTATTTAAAACATGCTTTTTTGTTTAAAACATGTTTTTTTTTACTTTACTTAAAAACACAATTAAAACAAAAAACATTGTTCTAAAAAAAAAACGTTTTTTGCTTAAAATAAAAAAATAAGTTTTTTGCCAACCTTGATCAGTGTTTGCTGTAGATAATTTCAAAATTGTCTAGATAATGATAAAGATAAAAATCCGTAAATTTATCTTAGATGAGATAAAGATGATTTTTTTACTTAATCTAGATGAAAGATGAGATAATTATTACGATTATTAATCTAAATAATTATCTAGATATTTTTGTTTATTTTAGAAGACTATAAATATTTGTAAAAAATGTGATGCAGATTATAAATGGGATATTAAAATTATAAACACATATTCTTTCTCTTTTCCTAAAGAATATTTAAATAATAGCAAAAAGATATATAAATGATATGATAAATATTTATTTATTAATTTATATTTATAATATATTTATAATATATTAATAATGTAATAATAATATATTTATAACATATTAATAATAATAATATAAAAAATATATTTTAGATATTTTAGATAGATTTTTAGAAGCATGCTTGGAAAACTTTTTTGCATAATGAAAACGTCATCTTAGACAATTTTAGATAAGATGACATATATTTTTCATCTAAGATAAAGATAAAGATACTTTGTATTTCTTCATCTAATTAAAGATAAAGATGAGCCATTTCTTTATCTAGATGATTATCTAGATAATTTTATCTAGATATCAGCAAACACTGACCCTGACACATAGTAAGATATAAGAAGCGATGATTTCTCGAATACCTGAAAGGAATGGTCTCCGGAAGAGGCAAAACCTTGCCCTGTTCGAAAGCCACGCCAAAATCAATGTGCACTACTTCAGCGGTATGCTCGTCGATGAGGATATTACTCAAGTGCCTGTCGCCGAGGCCCAAAATGTAACCTGCGATGGATGTGGTGGCAACGCTGCGCGTATACGTGAGCGTCTTCTCGACCCAGGTCTCGGGTGATCGATACTTCTCTTCGAAAAAGTGATGAAACGCCGGTCGCATACGTTGGCAACACTCGAGGAAAACTTTCAACTTTACCTGGATAAGTATAGAAAAAGAAAGTTTTAAAGAACAAATTCAAGGTTGGCAAGAAACTTATTTTTTTTTTATTTTAAACAAAAAACATTGTTTTTTTTGTTTAGAACAATGTTTTTTGTTTTAATCGTGTTTTTAAGTAAAAGTAAAGTAAAAAAAAACATGTTTTAAACAAAAAAAGCATGTTTTAAACAAAAAAACATGTTTTAAACAAGCAAAAAAACACTTAATAGCTTTGATCTGTGTAAATATTAATAATTATTTATATTTATTAATATTTATATTTATTATAAATATATATAATATTATAGATATTATAAATATTTATAATATTTATAATATTATACATATTTATAATAAATATAAATATTAATAAATATAAATAATTATTAATATTTACACAGATCAAAGTTATTAAGTGTTTTTTGCTTGTTTAAAATATGTTTTTTTGTTTAAAACATGTTTTTTTACTTTATTTAAAAACACAAACAAAACAAAAAACATTGTCCTAAACAAAAAAAATGTTTTTTGTTTAAAATAAAAAAAAACAAGTTTTTTATAATATTATAATATTATATAATATTATAATATAATATAATATTTATTATAAATACTATATAATATTTATTTATTAATATTTATATTTATTAATATTAATATTTATTTAAATTTTTCGCTAGCGTTAAACTGTAAATAACGTTGCCAAAATTGACAACGTTATTAAAAATATAAATAATAAAATAAAAATAATAAGATGGGTACTATTTTAGCAGAACATTTATTTTTGGAGTTATTTATTTTTGGAGAAAAAAAGTTCTAGTTAATAATATTTAATATATAATATTTTGGTTCCTTTCCTATTCTTATTAAGTAACCTTATCCTTAACTCTCAACATAAATATTATTATAAATAAAAGAAAAAACCTCAATTCTTCTTTTTAAAAGAAGAACTTTTTTTTAGAACTACTGTCCTGCTATGAGTTATGTCCTATTAATTTAAAATGCTAAAATATAAAATGTAAAGTCAGTCAATATCTTCTAAGTAATCTTTATTGTATTGATTGTTATTTAATATCCAAAAATAAAAATTCTGCTAAAATAATACCCATCTTATCATTTTTATTTTATTATTTATTATTTATTATTTTATATTTTTATATCTGTATGTGTTACATAAATATAGATAAGAAACTAAAAACACTAAAACACAAACTTTTTTGCAATATACACATCTATTAGTTTTTGTTTGTTTTTGATTTTCTTTACAATTTCTTTTCCAAATAATCATATATTTTATTTGCGATATTTCGAACGGTTCTAAACAGTAAGTGTCCACTGTTTTAAACAAGTTTTAATCAAACAGTTTTAAACACATTGTTTAAAACATGCCAACCCTGAACAAAATTGTTGAGTACAATTTTAATTAGGACACAGGGAATCTTAATCAATATTTAAAAAAATGGATGTTGTTCTTGCCTCATTCGATTCTTGTGCAACATTCTTCATTTTGTTCCTGGCCGCTTCAGCGGTCAGATCACGCGGATAATACCTCTTATGTATACCGCCCGAATTGCCTATCAAAGTTGCCGTGATGGGCACTGTGTTGTCGCACCACTCCAGCACACCTGACCTCTGCGTCAACGGCACTACTTTGTAAGTTCTGATGCGCAGATTTCGCTGTTTCGTCTCTTTACATGTGCGCAACAGCGTATTCATTACGGTAAACACCTGTTGCATTACTGCATCCTGCCGTAGGTCATCCTTGCCCTTGACCAATTGTCGGCGCTGCACGCCATCAGTACCGACGCAGATGACTTTTTTGGGCGCGGTTACGCCACCGACGAATTCGCAGGTTTCCTGATATGCTCTTACACCGACTACATTGTCATAATTGCCCGATGGCCTCACAAGTAAGTTCAGAGTCGGTAGGAGAACGTTGTCCAAGTTTTTGATCTGGGGGAAAAATCGATCAATCAGATTTCGAAAATTGCGAGGATTCTCTTAAATCACTGATAAAAAATTATAGTTGAAATTATCATAATTTTACTATAATTTATAGTATCTTAAAGCGCCAAGCATATACAGAGTTAGGAAGAAGTCTGGATACTCCTTGATATTTCGAAAAATACGCATTTTAAACAAAAATGTTTCATACAAAAGTTATAGAGTTTTACGTGGCGCATTACACAGTAACGTTATTATGACCTCGAATAGCGTTGTCAAGGTTATGTGAAAGTCAACTTCAATTTTTTAAATGGAACCCTATATTTTTTATACATTATCTTGCAGTTTATCTTGAGAGCTTTTCAAAACACTATAATAAATTATTTTTCCATGAAGTACTTTTCGAGTTATGAGGCTTGAAATCATTTCTTAATTTTACATAAACCATAAAATATCTTGTAAAATATTCATTTTTCGATTATCTTACCTTAATACTTTTATGCACAAAATAATAAGAGGAATCAATGGTGTAAAGAAAACATAGAGTTGTTTTTAAGAAAAAATATGGAATTGTTAATTGCAAATTACATATTTTTTCTTAGAAACAACTATGTGTTTTCTTCACACCAATTGATTCCTCTCATTATTTTGTACATAAAAGTATTAAGGCAAGATAATCGAAAAATGAATATTTTACAAGATATTTTATGGTTTATGTAAAATTAAGAAATGATGTTTCTCGGTACCATGCGTATATTAGTTTACATTACCAGTATTATAGTAAAATTTACTATAAAAATAAGTATCCAAATTATAATTTTTTTATCAGTGAAGGAACCATAAATCATATAAGTATTCTCTTAAAAGTACCTTAGATATCAATTGATCTCGCGGTATCGTGTAAGATTTTCCGGTACACTTTCCCTTGGGTTGCCAATAAGCGAGACTCAACAGCGCCCGTGATAAATTCTCCATTTCTAGAACGATATCGCGCACAGGTGATTCAGTCAATCGCTTAAGAAGCTTCTTGGCGCCTAGCACGCGACGTTCCTCCTTCAGAACTGTAGATCCTGGATCATTATGTAGATTTTTCAATGCCAATACTACGGGCAATGTGTGATACGGATGTTCCAGAGCGCAGCGCTCAAGGATCCTGAAGATCCGCGTGGAAAAGCTTCGCTGGTGTTTGAGATCATTGCTTATGTGGGCAGCTAATTGCGGTACTAGTGGCACAAACTTGAAAGATGGCACGTTATCTAATTCATCCAGCAGCTCTTCGTTCACCTCGTTATCGAGCATGTTGTCCAACCAGAGCGCTACCAATCGGAAAATGAGCAGATTGTGCTCCTCGCTGTTACACAGCGTCTTCAGGTAATACTTTAGAGCCTGTGCGAGATAATTACGTTTCTCTTGCTCAATGTTCTTCAACTCGGCCGCATCATTCGTCGATTGCTTCTGGCTGATTATTACAGCACGTTTGATATCCTGATTCTTCATCTGGTCCTGATCTACAATTGGGATCCTCGGATCGTTGCTGCGAGCGTATTCTTTTAATGACTCGTATATTGGAGAGTTCATATACGCACTGATCTGATCATATTGTGCATCAGCGAAACGTGCCAACGCGACCTGTGAAGACGTGTATATATATATATATATATATATATATATATATATATATATATATATATATATATAGTGTTACGGCCCTGATGTCCGTGTTCATCGGGACGGCGCCGATTAACGAAAAGAAGCGCGTTGTCAAGAGGTTGTTGACAGGAGCGCCTGTCATCTGAGTTCGGTTCCAGCTGTCAAGCTGCGCGGACGCGTTTGTATATCGTGCCGAGCCGAATTACTAATATTGTGTTTCTGTGATTACGTTGTTCTGTGTTGTTCTGTGTTTGGCATTAAAGAGTTCCGAGTTCCTTGTATAAGTGTCTTTCATTTCGCGCGACTCGCGAACGGCCGATCTCTCCGCGCGCGTCTTCGATAATAGTCGAAGTCCTCGCCGCGGGCGTAACAATATATATATACAGCGTGTCCCAAAAGTATGGACACACCTGATTTTCTTGGAAAATAAGCGTGCTAGAAAAAAACGTCAATAACAAAAGTTTCGGGAAATCAAACGGTGCATCTAAGAGTGACCTTGAGTTTGACCTTGAGCTTGACCTTCAAGGTTATTTGAAGGTCAAAATGTTTTTTTTAAATGGGAACCCCTATTTTTGATTGTATATTCTTATAGCTGACCTCGAGAGCTTTCCAAAACACTATAATAAAATATTTTTCCCTCAAGCATTTATCGAGTTATGAGGCTTCAAATCATTTCTTAATTTTACATAAACCGTAAAATATCTTGTAAAATATTCACTTTTCGATTATTTTACCTTAATACTTTTATGTACAAAATAATGAGAGGAATCAATTGGTGTAAAGAAAACATACAGTTGTTTTTAAGAAAAAATATGGAATTGTTAATTGCAAATTACATATTTTTTCTTAAAAACAACTGTATGTTTTCTTTACACCAATTGATTCCTCTCATTATTTTGTACATAAAAGTATTAAGGTAAAATAATCGAAAAGTGAATATTTTACAAGATATTTTACGGTTTATGTAAAATTAAGAAATGATTTGAAGCCTCATAACCAGCGACGGATTAAATAGACAAACTAGCATTGCCTAGGCGGCAAATGACGCAAATTTCAAAACAGAAAATTTCGCGTCTTCTGGTCGTGAAAATAAAAAAATATATGTTACAGCTAATCAGGTAAAAAATGATACATTTTTGTATTTTTTTTTTTTTTTTTTTCGGTTCTATTACACTCTATCTTGATTAGGGGCAAATGTACGCTGCTAGGGGCAAATGTTTAATCGTGCTGCTCATAACTCGATAAATGCTTGAGGGAAAAATATTTTATTATAGTGTTTTGGAAAGCTCTCGAGGTCAGCTATAAGAATATACAATCAAAAATAGGGGTTCCCATTTAAAGAAAACACTTTGACCTTCAAATAACCTTGAAGGTCAAGCTCAAGGTCAAACTCAAGATCACTCTTAGATGCACCGTTTGATTTCCCGAAACTTTTGTTCTTGACGTTTTTTTCTAGCATGCTTATTTTCCAAGAAAATCAGGTGTGTCCATACTTTTGGGACACGCTGTATATATATATATATATACAGAGTGCCCCAAAAGTCCCAGATCGGTCAAATATTTCATAAACTATGCACTTTAGAAAGAAATGTTTCAGACAAAAGTTGTATGGCTTGAAGGGGGCCATCAGATAGTGGCAATGATCTTGGAGAGTCATTTGAAGGTGACATAAAGGTCACCTTCAATTTCTTAAATGGAACCCCCTATTTTTTATTACATATTTGTGTAGCTTATCTCGAGAGCTTTCCAAAAAAAATAATAAAGTATTTCTTCATTGAGTACTTTTCGAGTTATGAGGCTTGAAATCATTTCTTAATTTTGCATAAACCATAAAATATCTAGTAAAATATTCATTTTTCGATTATCTTACCTTAATATTTTTATGTACAAAATAATGAGAGGAATCAATTGGTGTAAAAAAAACACATAGTTGTTTAAAAAAAAAAAATGTAATTGTTAATTGCAAATTACATATTTTTTTTTAGAAACAACTATGTGTTTTCTTTACACCAATTGATTCCTCTCATTATTTTGTACATAAAAGTATTAAGATAAGATAATCGAAAAAATGAATATTTTACAAGATATTTTACGGTTTATGTAAAATTAAGAAATGATTTCAAGCCTCATAATTCGGAAAGTACTTAACGAAAACTAACTTAATTATAGTGTTTTGGAAAGCTCTCGATGTGAGCTACCAGAATATTTAATAAAAAGTAGGGAGTTCCATTTAAGAAATTGACGGTGATCTTCACGTGACTTTCAAATGACTCCCATGTCAAATTATTGCCACTATCTAATGGCCCTCTTCAAGCCATACAACTTTTGTCTGAAACATTTCTTTCTAAAGTGCATAGTTTATGAAATATTCGACCGGTCCGGAACTTTTAGACATCCTGTATATATAAGATAATATATTTTTAATAATATTCTATATCTTTAATAATATCCAGAGAAAGATAGGGATATATGTGGAAGGAGGTTGGACGTGTCTTTACGCCCATTTGATCATGAACCCCATTGAACGAATGACGAATCCATCTGTGGCAATGGCATATCTTGTGGAGAAAGCTTGCACACATTTTTCAGCCTAACGAATATTTTAATTGCTAGAAAATAATATTTGCAGACTAGAAAAATATGTGAGGCGCAAGTGGTTGGATCGGGAATCGAACCAGAGTTTTTCGCTTTCTGGGCAACTGCTCTAGACCACTGAGTTATTCAGATCTCACACCTAATGCTGCTTTTTAACACAGTGATACGCAACTCCAGAGCGATGTTGGTATCTCACTCAATGGATGCAATGCCGATTGTTATGGAGGATCCACTGAAAAGTTGCTCGCTGACCAAATAAGTTCCGGTGGAGACATTTTGATCTTTGATTCGTCACCAGCGACGCAAAAAACCCTTATAGATAATTTAATTTCTTTTATGTAAAATACGAATTTATTTGCTCTCACCAGAGCAACCCTTTTGATATAGAACATTGATTTCGGGTGTAACAGTGAACTGGTTAATCGAAAAGCTATTTTATAAAAAAATTATTTTATACACACAATTCTTTTTTCCTGTTATTTTTTTTATACAGGGTGAGGAAAAAGTCCGGAAACTCCTAAATTTTTCGAAAATTATGCATTTTAGAAACAAATGTTTCAGACAAAAGTTGTAAGATTTCAAGTAATGCATTACGTAGTAATATCAGTATAAGCTTGAATAGCACATAAAAATCACTTTGAATTTTTTAAATGTAACTCCCTACTTTTTATTATATATTCTTGTAGCTTGTTTCAAGAGCTTTCCAAAACACTATAATAAAGTATTTTTTCAGTAAGTACTTTTCAAGTTATAAGGCTCGAAATAATTTCTTAATTTTACATAACCATAAAATATTTTTTCTTCAAAACTATGTTTTTTCTTTACACCAATTGATTCTTCACATTATCTTATGCATAAAAGTATGAAGATGAGATAATAAAAAAATGAATATTTTATTAATATTTTATGATTTAGGAAAAATTAAAAATTGATTTCAAGCCTCATAACTCGAAAAATACTCAATGAAAAAACACTTTAATATAGTGTTTTGGAAAGCTCTTGAAACAAGCTATAAGAATGTATAATAAAAAATAGGGGATTCCATTTAAAAAATTCGAACTGATTTTTATGTGACCTTTATGTGACGGTGCTGTTCGAGGTCATACTGACATTGCTACATAATGCGTTACTTGAAACCCTACAACTTTTGTCTGAAACATTTGTTTCTAAAATGCATAATTTTCGAAAAATTTGAAGGTTTCCCTACTTTTTCGTCCCTCTGTATACACCCAGCAAACACCAAGTAACAGTTATATAACTGTTAGTTGTAATTTCCCACTCAACAATATAACAGTTACATAACAGATATGTTATGTAACTGTTATATTGTTGAGTGGGAAATTACAACTAACAGTTATATAAATGTTACTTGGTGTTTGCTGGGCAGTTGTTCTCTCACCTGCGTGTCGTATAATTCTCTAACAACATCAGATGTTTGCTCGTCAATAGCCTCGCTGATCTCAATCGACTCCAGATAATATTTCTGTATTATTGTCTGCGGATTCTCCGACTTGGTCTCAGCCATCCAGTCGCCGTAGACCCGCAGAGCTTTAGCTTTCAGACTCGGCTTCGGATTTCTTTTCTCGATCAGATTGCGCAACAAACGACGCGCAATGATCTGGTCGTGTTTCATCCATGCCAGGAGGGATTCCTGATAGAGATGTTGGTTCTCTAAATCCGTAGATAAGTTTCGCTGCGTCCCTAGCGTGCCCAGTGCTCGGGTGGCCACTTGAAAGTCTCCCTGACTTACCGCGACCTTCGCCAAGTCTAGGCAAGTAGCGAAGAACGCTTCTTGTATGTTTGCATTCGTCCACAAGGATTCGCGGATGCGGAACATGGTGATACGCTGCCATAAAATTGGCTCCACGTAGTCGAATTGACCCGTCAGGCTAATCTCGTGTTCGTTCCAACGTTGCAATACTTTTGAATATTCTTCCTGCGGCGAGTCGGCCACCGAATTCAGCTGTTCGATTTCGCGCAACAGTCGCAGTTGCGATAGCTTCTCGTTGACGATTCGACTACTCTCTAGACTGATCATTCGCAGTTGACGAATTACGCTTACGCGAGCGCGCTCGATCGCCTGTTCCGTCCCTCGTCGATCGTTTTCGTGAAGGCATTTGAGCGCATCGTAATGATGCACATGAAACACACTTTCCTGGTTCCCCAATCGTAAGTGCTGCGGTTGAAGATTGTTATGACTAGTGGCAGCAACAGAATCAGTTACCAGTAGATCCCAATTACCGAGTCTCCAGGCGCACTCATAACTGTTACATATTTGTGAAATATAATGACACTTTTTCTTTCATAAATGAATTTTTACGTAATTTTAGACACCTTACCTAAACCTTTCATCTAGACAGTCGCCCAGAAAGCGCCATTGGAGAAACTGCAATCCCGAGCGGTGTAATGCGTTCGCCATCTCTGTCCTGGCATTTGTTAGCGACGATTGATTGCTGTTGTACGATAGTTCGATGTCCTGGGCGAGGATGACTTTGTCCCAACAATTGGTACGAGCATAGTACTGCACTCGGGAGTCCTGATCGAGCAGATGCGACGATCCAGCGCCACTTGTGGCATCCGGATCGCTGATATTCAGGTAGGTGTCCAGCATGATGTCTTGCAGCACCCGACCAATCACTGGCTGACGTTCATAGATATAGTCGATCCTCGGATCACTGCTGAAGTCTGGGTAGTCTGACGAGATCGACTCGCAGGCGAGCTGCGCAAACAGCAGAGCCGTATAATATGCGGAGCATTTGTGCGCAGCTCTGGCCAAGTTGACATAGTCGAGCGTCAAAGTCGTATCATTCGGTAGCTGCGCCCGTACGTGATTCACCACGTCCAGCATGCAGCGTACGATTTTTTGATCACAACCGCCACTTCTCGACGTCGATGACGCAGTAATCTCCGCTTCATGGTTAATTGCAAAATGTTGCCTAGGATTTAATGGATCAATCGATATTGAATTTAATTTAATCAATATTAAATTTAATCTACAGGGTATCCCCCATTTTAATCGATCATCCTGAATAACTTTTTTAATTTTGATTGTAGAAAAGAATGTTTCAGACAAAAATTGTATGGTTTTAAGGGGCACATAAGACGGTGCCATTAGTTTGACCTTCAAGAGTCACCTGAAGGTCACGTGAAGGACACCTCCAACTTTTTAAACGGGATATCCTATATGCATTTACATATTTTGTAGCTCATCTCGGGAGCTTTCCAAAACACTATAATAAAGTATTTTTCTATTGAGTGCTTTCCGAGTTATGAGGCTTGAAATCATTTCTTAATTTTAACTGTAAAATATCTTGTAAAATATTCATTTTTCGATTATCTTACCTTAATACTTTTATGTACAAAATAATGAGAGGAATCAATTGGTGTAGAAAATACACAGTTACTTTTAAGAAAAAATATGTAATTAAATGCAAATTACATACTTTTTCTTCGAAACAATTATGTGTTTTCTTTACACCAATTGATTCCTCTCATTATTTTGTACATAAAAGTATTAAGGTAAGATAATCGAAAAATGAATATTTTACAAGATATTTTACGGTTTATGTAAAATTAAGAAATGATTTTAAGTCTCATCTGGATTCATAACTCGGAGAGCACTCAATAGAAAAATACTTTATTATAGTATTTTGGAAAGCTCTCGAGATGAGCTACAAGAATATGTAAAAGCATATAGGGCATATGTCCCATTTAAAAAGTTGGAGGTGACCTTCACGTGACCTTCAGGTGACTCTTCAAGGTCAAACTAATGGCACCGTCTTATGTGCCCCTTAAAATCATACAACTTTTGTCTGAAACATTCTTTTCTACAATCAAAATTAAAAAAGTTATTCAGGGTGATCCATGAAAATGGGACACCCTGTATATTGAATTTAATCTACATTACCAGCAATAATACCTGAAGAATTGATTGATGCAGTCGCACATGGTACCGATGAAACTAACGTTTCGATGAATGACAAGATAAACAATCCTCGGCAGGATTAACTCGCAAAATTTGACACTAAGCCGGCAGACTGGTAGGAAGCTCTCTAGATAAGAATTGGCAAAACATTCAGCGATGGTGCAAGTTAATTTGACAATCCAATCAGCGTAATTCTCGTTTTTCTGAACAGTCCACAGCGAATTCTCTGGATTCATAACGTTGCGAAATCTCGTGGCATCCACACAAAAAGACATTTGTGTTACGCAACGTCCGCGAGCAAATGGTCGGATGTAATTAATCTTCAGAGGCGTGGATTCTCCGAGGATGCTTGATAAATTTTTCGTGTATTCGGAGTCTGATAGTTTATGACCGAAAGAAGTTGACAGTATCGCATAAAGAGCATCGGCGCTAACCTTGAATTAAAATTTACTTGTTAGAAGATTCTATCCTTATTTTCTCCAGAGAGAAAATATGATATACAGGATGTATCAGACCACCCGTGCCAGCCGAATATCTCAAAAACCGAGAACGGCAGACAAAAATGTTTCCTACAAAAGTTGTAGGGTTTCGAGTAACGCATTACATAGTAATATTAGTATGACCTTGAATAGCGTTGTCAAGGTCACGTAAAGATCACCTTCAATTCTTAAATGGATACCCCTATTTTTATTACATAATCATGTAGCTTATCTCGAGCACTTTCCAAAACACTATAATAAAGTATTTCTTCATTGAGTACTTTTCAAGTTATGAGACTTAAAATCATTTCTTAATTTTGCCATATTAAACCATAAAATATCTAGTAAAATATTCATTTTTCGATTATTTTACCTTAATACTTTTATGTACGAAATAATGAAAGGAATCAATTGATCTAAAGAAAAAACACAGTTGTTTTTAAGAAAAAAATATGTAATTTGCAATTAACAATTACATATTTTTTTTAAAACAACTATGTGTTTTCCTTTACACCAATTGATACACCATTTGATTGAAAGGAATCAATTGATCTAAAGAAAAAACAGTTGTTTTTAAGAAAAAAATATTTAATTTGCAATTAACAATTACATATTTTTTTTAAAACAACTATGTGTTTTCTTTACACCAATTGATACACCATTTGATTGAAAGGAATCAATTGATCTAAAGAAAAAACATAGTTGTTTTTAAGAAAAAAATATGTAATTTGCAATTAACAATTACATATTTTTTTCAAAACAACTATGTGTTTTCTTTACACCAATTGATTCCTCTCATTATTTTGTATATAAAAGTATTAAAGTAAGATAATCGAAAAATGAATATACTAGATATTTTATGGTTTATGCAAAATTAAGAAATGATTTCAAGCCTCATAATTCGAAAAGTACTCAATGAAGAAATACTTTATTATAGTGTTTTGGAAAGCTCTCGAGATAAGCTACACGATTATGTAATAAAAATAGGGGTATCCATTTAAGAAATTGAAGGTGATCTTTACGTGACCTTGACAACGCTATTCAAGGTCATACTAATATTACTATGTAATGCGTTACTCGAAATCTTACAACTTTTGTAGGAAACATTTTTGTCTGCTGTTCTCGGTTTTTGAGATATTCGGCTGGGACGGGTGGTCCAATACACCCTGTACAATAGATCAGAAAAAATTAAACTGGCAAAATATTTGTATCTGATTTTTCGTCTTAGTTTTTCCACAAAAGTTCAAAATTCGTATTGAAACCTAAGTGATAGAACTTTAATGAAGAAGATGTAAAAACCTTGCGAAGTTTCACCGCTTTCTCCACAAGGAAATTCGTCAACATCGCAACTGACCGATAGATTAGGATTTCTATCGCATAGTTTGCTTCCTGAACGAGACTTCCCGCTGGTCGTAGTGCCACAGTGGAATCTGTCGGGCCCAGTTCACCGAGACACTTTGTGGCTTCCATCGATACACGTGGATTACACGATTCCGTCAACTTGGCAAGTCTGAGAAATGCATTTTTCAAGAACGTTTTGCAGAATATACAGGATGCCCCATTTTAAAGCTTCCACCCTCATAACTTTTCAGAATCAACGTTTGAAGGAAAACGACTCGGATAAAAGTTGTAGGGAGCAAAGCGGGCTATCTAACAGCAACCTTGGATTCGACGTTAAAGGTCATTTTCAAGGTCATTTGAAGGTCAACTTCCGTTTTTTAAATAGAACCCCCTATTTTTCATTACATATTCTTATAGCTTACCTCGAGAGCTTTCCAAAACACTATAATAAAATATTTTGCTCTGAAGTACTTTTCGTGTTATGAGGCTTGAAATGGTTTATTAATTTTACATAAACGATAAAATATCTAGCAAGATATTCATTCTTCGATTATCTTATCTATAATACATTTATGTACAAAATAATGAGTGGAATCGATTAGTGTAAAGAAAACACATAGTTGTTTTTGAGAAAAAATATGTAATTCTTAATTGCAAATTACAACCAATCGATTCCTCTCGTTATTTTGTACATAAAAGATTATTAAGATAAGATAATCGAAAAATGAATATTTTACAAAATATTTTACGGTTTATGCAAAATTAAGAAATGATTTCAAGCCTCATAACTCGGAAAGTACTTAATGAAAACTAACTTAATTATAGTGTTTTGGAAAGCTCTCGAGGTAAGCTACAAGAATATGTAATGAAAAATAAGGAGTTCCATTTAAAATACGAAAGTTGACCTACTAATGACCTTGAAAATGACCTTTAATATCGAATCCAAGGTCACTATTAGATAGCCCCCTTTGTTTCCTACAACTTTTATCCGAGTCGTTTTCCTTCAAACGTTGATCCTGAAAAGTTATGAGAGGGGTGGAACTTTTCAAATGGGACACTCTGTAGATAATTGAAAAGAGAATCAGTTAGCGTGCTAAAGAAAAGAATGAACGGTCTTTGAACGAAGCGTCTGCTTACTTGAATATCAATCGATGCAGGATACTGGTGCCATCCTCGGGATACGACCTCTCTAACTTCCGATGCAGCTCTTTCAGTTCCCTTTTTCTTGTCGACAGTTGCTGCGTGAGATTCGCGAGGTCCTCCAGGGTGCACTCGGCGTTCTCCTCGCTTATGGCATCTAGGAAACCCTCCAGCTCGTCCTCGAGACATAACGTGCTTCTATCCTTTTCTGATCTGATGGCATTGCGAGCTTCCTTCGCATCCCAGAAGACCTCGTGGTTCGGGAATGAGCTGAGCTTCGCGATGGCTTCTCGCAAAACGTTTTTTTGCTCCACCACGAGGAACTTGAGTAAATTCGCAGCGATTCGGTTGACGCTACTCGTGTTTGACTGTGCCAAACCGACCAGATTTGCTACAACGAATCTGAGGACGTCCTGCACCTCCGCGGCTCTCGCGGGTAGTGCTTGTCTCAGGAATAAATCCAGAAACTTGCAGCATGCCGTGGTGAGCGTCTCGTTGTCGTTTCCTTCGATCATATGCAGTAAGCTGTAGCACACGTCCCGGATCAGGAACGCGGCCATCTCATCAAAGACGGGCTTTGCCAAATCACGTGTCAGCCGCGAGCAAAGATACGCATACTGATATAATCGCTTAAGCTTATCTTCCTGAGAACGCGCCGAATGTACGGCACTCGCGAGATACAACAGAATCTTCTGCAGCATCGCTGGTTGTTGTTCAACTAGCGTACAGGTCAGTGTCTCTCTTGTGGTTACTATTAGAACGTCAAACGACTCCAGGTGATCGAGGCACAGATCCAACGTTTTTCGCGTGAAATGCGGCGGATCCATCGCCGGAAAACGCACGTCCGGGATTGAGAGAAAACGCCCGAAGTCATCCTCGTCGTGTAGCCTCTGTATCAGCTCCACCAGAACGTCCTGCAGACGAGAGTAAAATAATTGGCGGAAATCCTGCATACGCGCGAATTCGTCCGTGTTCCTCGTCAATTTCCGCATCGTTTCAGCGTCATTAGATACGATGACACGCGACAATAGCCACGCAAAGCAAGATGGAAAAACGTCCTCGAAGATTTTGTCGAAAGGTACGGCGCAATCGGCACAAAAGGATACGGCTTCGGCGAGGCCTGAAGTGCGCAACACGATCGGAACAATGCGATTGACGTATTTCTTGAAGAATTCGTCCACAGTCTCGCATCCTGTTGAGGTAATAATAGACTTAGTCTTCAATTTAATCAAGTTTGGAGGAAAAATTAATCACTTATAGACAGTGTTTGCTGGTATCTAGATAATTATCTAGATAAAGAAATAAATCATCTTTATCTTTAACTAGATGAAGAAATACAAAGTATCTTTATCTTTGATAAAAATATGTCATCTTATCTAAAAATTGTCTAAAATGACGTTTTCATTATGCAAAAGAGTTTTCCAAGCAAGCTTCTAAAAATCTATCTAAAATATCTAAAATATATTTTTTATTTGGAAAATAATATTACAAATATACTTTATGTTGTACTTATTTTACTTAAATTTGTGCAATGCATTAATGTATATTTTATAAAAATAATATATGTATTGTTACACATTGATTATTATATTATTAATATATTATGAATATATTATAAATATATTATAAATATATCATAAATATAAATTAATAAATAAATATTTATTATATCATTTATATACCTTTTTATTATTTAAATATTCTTTAGGAAAAGAGAAAGAATATGTGTTTATGATTTTAATATCCTATTTATAATCTGCGTCACATTTTTTACAAATATTTATAGTCTTATAAAATAAACAAAAATATCTAGATAATTATCTAGATTATCGCAATAATCATCTTATCTTTCATCTAGATTAAGTAAAAGCAAAATTACCTTTATCTCATCTAAGATAAATTTACGAATTTTTATCTTTATCTTTATCTAGATAATTTTGAAATTATCTACAGCAAACACTGCTTATAGATCTAAATCTTTAATTATACTATTATCAAATGTCAGATACTGATACAATTGTTATAATATGGTAAGAAATATAAAATTTGACAATTAAATTGATCAGTAATATTAGCATCGCAAGATGATCTGTCCTTACCCGCGAGGATCCATGGAAACCTCTGCAAGGATACTGTGCAAGGATATTGTGCATCCTTGATCCAGGATGTCAACAGATAGTTTAAATTATCCTCAACCAATGAGATGTGTGTTGTGGTGTACTGCGCTGCTGTTGAGAGAATCTTCCGCACTATCTGCACGTCTACTTTTCTTTCTATTGTCAGTCGCAACATAGCGTATAATGCGCGACCCTGAAGAATTCCGCTGGCGCAAACAATAGAGGCAAGAGCGATCAATGCGCTGGCTGTTCTGGTTTCTCTCTCATCCTGTTGTTGACTATCTTCCAGATTGCTGCTATTCCACATCAAAATAAATTAATTTTAAATTACATTAATTACAGATTACATACCGAATTCATGAATTTAAATGTTGTAAAAATAATTTTTCCATCTAATTTGTTTCAGCATTAAATATACTTTATACAGGGTGATCCATTTTAACTTTGCCATCGAAATATCTCGTAAAGTCTAAAAGATACGAAAAAATGTTCCAGAAAAATTGTGTATGGTTTTGTGGGGGACATAAAATGATGCCATTAGTTTGACCTTGAAGACTCACCTGAAAGTCACGTGAAGGTCACCTCCAACTTTTTAAATAGGACACCCTATGTGCTATTACATATTCTTGTAGCTCATCTCGAGGGCTTTCCAAACCACTATAATAAAGTATTTTTCTATTGAGTGCTTTCCGAGTTATGAGACTTGAAATCATTCCTTAATTTTACATAAACCGTAAAATATCTTGTAAAATATTCATTTTTCGGTTATCTTACTTTAATACTTTTACGTACAAAATAATGACAGGAATCAATTGGTGTAAAGAAAACACATAGTTGTTTCGAAGAAAAAATATGTAATTTGCAATTAACAATTACATATTTTTTCTTAAAGCTAACTATGTGTTTTCTTTACACCAATTGATTCCTCTCATTATTTTGTACATAAAAGTATTAAGGTAAGTTAATCGAAAAATGAATATTTTACAAGATATTTTATGGTTTATGTAAAATTAAGAAATTATTTCAAGCCTCATAACTCGAAAAGTACTCAATGAAGAAATACTTTATTATAGTGTTTTGGAAAGCCCTCGAGATAAGCTACAAGAATAAGTAATAAAAAATAGGGAATTCCATTAAAAAAATTGAAGGTGAGCTTCGCGTGACCTTCAAACGACTTTTCAAGGTCAAACCAATAACGCCATTTTATGGCCCCCTCGAAATCATACAACTTTTGTCTGAAACATTTTTTCGTATCTTTTAGACCTCACAAGATATTTCGATGGCAAAGTTAAAATGGAACATCCTATCGAAGAATGTCCCTAAAAGATCGAGACTACGAAATATCTCGGAAAATATAAGTTTTATAAAAAAATTGTTAATAAAAAAATTGTAAAGTTTGAAAATTCTATTTATTAGCTTTATTAGTTCGATTCGTTGGGTAGCATTGCCAAGATTATGAATTTTTTAAATTAAACTTTCTATTTTTTTCTGGCATATTCTCATATCTTTTTTTTAGATATTTTTTCATTATAACTGTCAAAACATTATAACTGTATTTATTTTAAATCGTTTTGAAATCGAACTTTTTATAAGATCGGTATTCTAGAAATATCTCGAAAGGATTAAGTTATCGAAAAAAAAATGTTTAATATAAAAATTGTTGGTTTTAAAGAGAGCTATCTGATGGATCAGATTGTGAGTTCGGGGCCCAGTTGAGATTCAAGTCAATTTTTTTTTCCCTATTACATAGCTTTGATTTAAAAAATTCATGACCTTGTCCTGAGCTTGGCACCCAAATTGATAAGACTAGTAAATAAACCGTTTTAAACCCTATAATTTCTGTACTAAACATTTTTTTAATGAAACTTACATTTTTCAAGGATATTTCAGAGTCCCAATCTTTTTGAGACACTCTATATATTTATTTTAATGTTCATACTTTTGCGGATCAGAACTTGATTGTTGGACCTCATCGAGAAGATCGAATGCTATCTTTTCCACTTTGATGCATATTCGCTCTTTCCACTTATAAGCGATATTCTTGAGGGACAAGACTTCCTGTAGACATCGCACAGCCTGCGAACGCAGCACGAAGAGCATATCACCGATGTAGTCGAGAATGCTATCCAATAGCGTCACGACATCATCATCGGAAGCCATGTCATGATTCCACGAGAAGCTCGGATCGATTCGCACACAGTTGCACACACACTTCATGTAGTCCACGTGCACGAGAACGCTATAATTCGACTTATGCATACGTTTATAAAACTGTATGAGCGTATGAACAACGGTTATTCTCGATGAATAACCGTACTTGATCGCGTATTCGAGGAAGTATGGCAGCAGATTCAACAGCCGACGTGACACCTCCTCATCCCTATGATTCCTCTGACAAACTTTCAACATAAGATCCAACGGCACATTCGCATATTCGGAGTGAATCTCGTCCTGATCGCGCGCAGGGAGCGATTCCAGGATTGTTAAGGATACCCAATAATCGACGCAGTTGGTAAAGTCCTGCTGCATGGTGAACAAGTTACGCATCATTTTCGTTTGCAATGATTTGTCGCGGTCCGCGTCGACGCGTAACGCACAAAAGGACGCCAAGGCCGCCACAACCTGAAGATGAATTGCATTCTCGCGTCGAGGACTCGAAGATGGATTCTCCTTACCAGAACGCCTGCGTCTTGTCTAAAAAAAAAAATCGTTCGAGGATTAAAATTGAATATATAAATCAATTTCTTTATTATAAATATTATTATTTATAATAATTATTATTTATAAACAGTGTTGCGGGTATCTAAATAAAATTATCTAGATAATCATCTAGATAAAGAAATGGATCATCTTTATTTTTAACTAGATGAAGAAATACAAAGTATCTTTATCTTTATCTTAGATGAAAAATATATGTCATCTTATCTAAAAATTGCCTAAGATGACGTTTTCATTATGCAAAAAAATTTTCCAGGCAAGCTTCCAAAAATCTATCTAAAATATCTAAAATATATTTTTTATATTATTATTATTAATATATTATAGATATAATATAAATATATTATAAATATAAATTAATAAATAAATATTTATCATATCATTTATATACCTTTTTGCTATTATTTCTTTATAATATTAAATATTCTTTAGGAAAAGAGAAAGAATATGTGTTTATGATTTTAATATCCCATTTATAATCTGCGTCACATTTTTTAAAAATAGTCTTCTAAAATAAACAAAAATATCTAGATTAAATATCTAGATAATTATATAGATTATCGCAATAATTATCTCATCTAGATTAAGTAAAAGCAAAATCATCTTTATCTCATCTAAGATATATTTACAGATTTTTATCTTTATCTAGATAATTTTGAAATTATCTACAGCAAACACTGTTTATAAATATTATTATTATAATTTAATATTATAAATATTATAAATATTATAAATATAAATATTATAAATATTATTATTATAATTTATTATTAAATATTATTTTTTTTGATACCTGAAAAGTGTCATGTTCTTTGTGATAATCGCTGTTGTAACGACTGTCCTCGAGATTCAGGAGATCGAATATATTTTTCAACATATCTACAGTAGACGCAGAGACGATTATCTTCGCGATTTCCGCGTCATAAGGCGTCCTATAGAGCACGTTCAATGCTCTGGTCACGTTCATTAAGTACGCATACTTGCACGCGTATCTAAATATTTAACGTAAGACATTCGAAAAACAAGATCAATGAAAGCTCAAGTTTTCTAATGCATAATTAATTACAAAATAATTAGAACTGTCAAAATTAATAAAGAACAAAAATCGTTAAAGGTTTCGGATTTTTCCGATGATTTTGAAAGAGAAGAAAAAACAATCAATTTTTTCATCATTTCATTAAAATTCGAATAGATTTTTTCGCACCTGCCCCAATCAATTTTCGTTAGAACTTCGAAGCTATTCTTCAGGTGTTTTTCCATCGTATCAATCAACGGGTCAACGCTATCCATCTTTGCAATAATACCCATATGTTTCAGACTGGATAGCGATCTCGCTAGGAACGCTATTTTCATTAGTGTGATGTGTATCTCAACTGTATTTTTTGTTTCATCGTTTGAATCTTCACCTTGAAAAATGTCATACAAGCATTTTTTCAGAAAATTAAACACCTCCTGTACGCAGAAGACGGGACTTCCATCTGTGGTCACCGGTTTAAAATTTTCCTCGTCGCATTCGTCCTTCAATCTTACTGAAAGCTCGATCTTGAATGTCAAAGATGCGTAACAGAATTGTAAAAGGTCCGTCGAATAAATATCCTGATGCGATACAAAAATAGATTCGCGCGATTCCTCGCGCTTTCGCGACGATTTCCGGATATTTTGCCTACAACGTGAGCTCAGGACGAGATTCACCAGTAAAGCACAGACGTCCTCGATGATTTTATCGGACGATCGTGTCATCAATTTTTGCCACGGCACATTTAGCAGCCATTCCAGAAGACGCGTTCTGTCACAGATCGGCGCAATCGTTGTCGATGGTGATGGATCCAATACTGATGTGAATGCGTCCTCCGGCAGAGAAATACGTTCGCACAACCATCGTAGCGTGCATATGCTGTTCGGCGACCAACGGATTGCCTTTGTCAGATACAATCTGAGAAGAGCGTTCGCATTAGACATCTTGTTGTGCTCTATAAAACAACGGATCAGCGAATGACCCGACTCTTCGTTCTGATTTGCTCCCAGAGATCTGCAACAATAATTCTGATGTAATTATATACATACAGGGTTTGGAAAAAGGATATCCCTTAATATTTCGAAAAATACGCATTTAAAAAAAAAATGTTTCATACAAAAGTTATAAGGTTTTATGTGGTGCATTACGCAGCAACATTATTATGACCTCGAATAGCGTTGTCAAGCATATGTGAAGGTCAGCTTCAATTTTTTAAATGGAACCCTATATTTTTTATTACATTATCTTGCAGCTTATCTTGAGAGCTTTTCAAAACACTATAATAAATTATTTTTCCATGAAGTACTTTTCGAGTTATGAGGCTTGAAATCATTTAATTTTACAGAAACCATCTTGTAAAATATTCATTTTTCGATTATCTTACTTTAATACTTTTATGTACAAAATAATGAGAGGAATCAATTGGTGTAAAGAAAACACATAGTTATTTCGAAAAAAAAAATGTAAATATGTAAAAATATGTTGCAATGAACAATTAAATATTTTTCTTAAAAGTAACTATGTGTTTTCTTTACACCAATTGATTCCTCTCATTATTTTTTGCATAAAAGTATTAAGGTAAAATAATTGAAAAATGAATATTTTACAAGATATTTTATGGTTTATGTAAAATTAAGAAATAATTTCAAGCCTCATAATTCGAAAAGTACTTCATGGAAAAATAATTTATTATAGTGTTTTGGAAAGCTCTCGAGGTAAGCTACAAGAATATGCAATGAAAAATAGGGTGTTCGATTTAAAAAATTGAAGCTGACCTTCACATAACCTTGATAACGCTATTCGAGGTCATAATAATGTTGCTACGTAATGCGCCATATAAATCCCTATAACTTTTGTATGAAACATTTTTTTTTTAAATGCCTATTTTTCGAAATATTAAAGGATATCCAGACTTTTTCCTAACCCTGTATAAAATAAACAGGGAGATAGTTTTTAATAAATGGGAGATAGTTTTTAATAAAAAATAATTAAAATAAATTGACAATCTTCGATTAGTTTTAATTAAAATTTTTTAACTTTCCCAATCTTTAATTAATTCATATATACACCTGAGTAGCATATCCCAGATCTTGCTCCAATGAATCATAGTGTCCTGTACTTCCTTTCCGTTAGACATCTCGTTCTCCATGACAACAATAGCGAGATTGTATAAATTATCCATGATGTGCTCATCTCGAGATTGAGCGAGTTCCGTTAAGCGTTGTAGCAAAGGCGCGAAATCTTGTGGCTTTAAGCATTGCGGGTATTTCCTCAATGTTTCCTCAAGGATTCTCACCAAGGACCATACTTCCTCGGGACTGCTTTCTGTTATTAGATCGACGACGTTCTCCATCTTATTTATTGTTCGTCTGCGTTTGGTCGGTTGAGAATAAGTGTCGTCAAAAGAATTTGCATCAACAGAGCTAGCGAGATTCACCGAGTTGTCCATTATTTGTTTCACGACTGCAAAGAATATATAACATAATTAATATTTTATTAATCAAGCGATAGCGTCACGACAGGTAATATTTCATATAATTAATATTACTATATTAATATTAATATTATTTAATAATATTAGTAATATTATAATATTTTATTCACAGATATTTATGAAGATAAATCTTCCAGATAACAGAAAATCGCATAATTGTTGATAATTACAATTTCAAAAGCTTATTTACAAAAGAATTATTTTATTAAAACTGAGTCATCGTGTAATAGTATAGTCTTGCAAAATAATTAACTTTTTATGCACAATACATAGTTCAAAAAATTTTCAACATTTTTAACACTCAAACTATGATTTCTAGATTTAAATGATTTGAAAAAAGAGAAATGCTAAATAGGGTGGACCAAAGTCCATCCTGTATAAATATTTAGCTGGATACAGTCGAATATCTCATATAGAATGCATTTTAGAACAAAATGCTTTAGACAAAAGTTGTAAGGATTAAAAAGACGTATTTAACTGTAATATCCATTTAACATTGAGTGGCGTCGCCAAGGTCAGAGCAAGATCAATTTGAATTTTTTTAATGGAACCTCCTATTTTTCATTGCATATTCTTGTAGCTTACCTCGAGAGCTTTCCAAAACACTATAATAAATTATTTTTCCCTCAAGTATTTTTTGAGTTGTAACACTTGAAATCATTTCTTAATTTTACATAAACCGTAAAATATCTTGTAAAATATTCATTTTTTAATTATTTAATCTTAATACTTTTATGTACAAAATAATGAGGGGACTCAATTGGTGTAAAGAAAACACAGTTATTTTTAAGAATAATATTTAATTGTTCATTACAACATATTTTTACATATTTACATTTTTTTTTTTCGAAATAACTATGTGTTTTCTTTACACCAATTGATTCCTCTCATTATTTTGTACATAAAAGTATTAAGGTAAGATAATTGAAAAATGAATATTTTACAAAATATTTTACGATTTATGCAAAATTAAGAAATGATTTCAAGCCTCATAACTCGGAAAGTACTCAATGAAGAAATACTTTATTATAGTGTTTTGGAAAACTCTCGAGATGAGCTACAAGAATATGCAATGAAAAATAGGGGGTTCCATTTAAAAAATTCAAGTTGACCTTGTTCTGATCTTGACGACACCACTCAATGTCAAATGGATATTACAGTTAAATGCATCTTTTTAATCCTTACAACTTTTGTCTAAAGCATTTTGTTCTAAAATGCATTCTATATGAGATATTCGACTGTATCCAGACTTTTGTACATCTAATACCTTCGCTGGCAAACTCGATGAAACTGCACCACTGCACGTCCAATTTGCAATTTTCTTGAACAAGTTGACACATGCTACGCAGCAAATCTCTCCACTTGTTCCAGTTGTAGGCATACGCGCTGTCGCACCCGATACTATTTGGATGATGAATCTGCAGGAACATCAATAACAAGTTATATTTTCCCTCGGAACCATTCAAACGTAGGATATCCATCGATATATCTTCGCTGAATTTGCAGAGCGCTATTCTTGATTCTGTCGCGATTTGCCTGCATACACTGCTGCTGAGTTTGTAGAAGGATTCTGTCAACTGCTCGTCATTATTTGCTTTCACATTTCCAAAGACATTCTCTAAAAAATATAAAATAAATATAAAATATAAAATAATTATAAAATAATTAGTTGAAAAGACTTTGATAAGACTTTGAATATGAAATTCAAATATCGTAGACATAACAACTATAACAGCCTGACGCGAACGGTCGTGTGTCAGTTTGGTGTAAAAAAATTAATTTTTCTGTGAAACTAAGTAGTATGTGTAGAGCATGAATTTTTCTTAATGCTATAGTGAATCAATATTAAGCGATTGTTTTATTAGCTCTAACAAAATAATGGTTTTACTAGCTCTTACTAATACTTTACTAGCTCTGCGAGTAAACTTGATGAAGATAAATTTAATAATTAGAAAAATTAATTTAATAATTAAAAAAACATTTAGTAATTATTATTAATTAAATTTTTTATTAATTATTTAATATAATAATAAAAATAAATTTATATAAGAGAAAGTACTTTTATTTAATATAAAAAATTAATTTATAATTTTAATTTATTTTAAAATATAATAAAATATAAAGAAATTATGTTAAATAATAAATATATTAAATGATATTTTAAAAAGATTTTAAAAAAACTTAAAAAAATAAACTTTTTAAAAAATTAGAATTAGATCTCCTATTATTGGAAAGGAAAATATTAATTTATATAATATATATAAAATGTAAAGAGAATAATTAATTAAATTAATTAATTAAATAAAAATAAAATGTAAACAGAATAATTAATTAACATGTTAAATAATTTTTTAAAAAGATAAATTTAAATAAACTTTTTAGAAAAATTAGGATTAGATCTATTATTAAAATGAAAAAGATTAATTAAATAATAAATGTAAAACATAAAAAATAAAAAATTTGAAAGATATTTTATAATATTAGAAGAACTTGTTAATTAATTTTATAATCCACAAGTGAAATTACATGATTCAGATGTTTTAATATATTGTTGTTGGAAAATTATATAAAAATAATAGTTAATAAATTTAATTAAAATTTAAATTAAAATGTTTATAATATTTAAATGTGATAATTAAGATATTAAGTTACAATTAAGAGTTATAATTAATTTTATTAATAAAAAATTAAAAAATTTTATAAACATGGATTTAAGTGTAAATTTATATAACTTTATAAATTGAATCTTAATTAAAATATATTAGCTCTTAATAACATGGAAAATATAAAGTTTTAACACACCTAAGAAGAGTAGTAAATTCTTCACATGAGACACTAAATTTGTGTGTAAGAAGGAATGGTCCACGATCAATTGTAGCGCATTTAATACAATGTGTTTCTTCAAGTGCACCTTTTTGTACAATTTGCTGCAAACTGTCAGCAATTCCTTCCATTGTTCCTCCCTGATGTTGTTATGATTGATACTCTTGGGCAATATATACTTCACTAGAATTGCCAGATATGTGTCTTGATAATGTATATAAGGCTTGGAATTTAATATTTGCAGTATCCTAGAGATTATGTCGTTGCCATATAGAAGTTCAGCAGACCTTTCATTAGATCGACGAATAGTATCAATCATTAAACTACAGAGTGCCTGTCTCTCTTTGTTTTTGGCAGTCGTTTCTTTACTGGGCTTTTCTGCTTCCTTTGTTATTTTTTATTTATGAAAAATGAAAAATTAATGAAATAAATGAATAATATATAGCGGAACAAAGTATGTAGAAATTTTTACATGCAATTCTTCTTACGTCGAGAATTAGTTGGTGAACTGTATGTATAATGTAGGGCCAATTAATGTTCCCTGGAACTTTCTTCTCTGTATTCTCATATATTTCATTGAGAGCATCATCGTTCCGGTATAAATCCAAGAGTTCGGCAACAAATGTCTAAAAATTATAAAAACAAATTTTAAAAAATAAAAGAGAGAAGAAGAATCTTGATATATAGAGTGTCCTGTATTGAAAAGTAATGCAAAATCTGATGTATTTTTTTTTTTTTTTTTTTGTAAAATGTAACTTTCTTTAAGAGAAGTTGAATCAATACATATTAAAGCATTTAAAAATTAAGTCTTGAGGAATGATTCCATTTCGCAGATTGTCTAGATAGATACAATTTCCTTAGATGAAAATTGTTATAAAATTATTATTATTGTTATAAAATTTATTATTGAAAATTGTTATTGTTATAAATTGTTATTGTTTTTCGAAATAGTTTTAAATCCAAAATTGGAAAAAATTGAAATAATTTCGGATTTTTCTTACACATCAACCACGTGTATTTTTATAAAATAATGCATAAAAGTAGATTTCTTGATAACATCGATAATATGAAGGAATAATAATGATACATTTAAATGATATCGCTATCAATTTCTCTTCGATAATTAACACAGTGTTACCTTTCTGTCACTCAATTTCGCACTATTGGCTAGCTTCAAAACACCGGAGATTCTTTCTGATATTCGTGACATTTTTGTGGTTTTCTCCGATGTTCTGGCAGGATTTATAAACGTCGAGCTTGATAGCTCGAGACGATCAGTTGTAAAAAAAAATAAAATCGTACTAGAACTTATAATGAAAGTTTCATGATAAAATCCAACAATATTTGATCGTCCCGTAAAATGCCGCCAAATATCGTAAACGAAGTGAAACAATCATAAACCATCAGCAGGAACTTAGGCCCAGTTCCACAACTCGAGTTAATCGGAGTTTAATACGTTAAACTGGGTCCTGATTGGTCCATTCACTACTTCAACTCGGATTAACTGGATCGTAGAACTGGGCCTTAGGCCCGGTTCCACAACTCGAGTTAATCCATGGACGTAAGAAATACTGGACAGAGTGTATTGCTGCGGGGGTGAAGCTCAAAGGGTGAGGGGAAAGAAATATCTACTGCAACGGAATATGAGGCATGTAAGATGGCGGCGGATATTAATTTCACGGAGTGTGATATTTTTGAATTCCTTAATATTCAAAAATGATTCGGAATAACACAGCGATTTCAGATGATAGATGATTTCACGGAATCTCTCATATTTTATTCGATTTACGTCCGTGCGATGTGAAAATAGACGCTAAATCTGATGCATCTAAGATGGCCGCGACAATAAACCCTTTACCCCTCAGATTTCACACCCCTCGTCGAAAAGAGTACTTTATGCTCTGTCCAGTATTTCTTACGTCCTATGGATCACTAGGATTAAAAAAATTTGCTACTTGAGATATTAAAAGAGGTAAACATGGACGTAAGAAATATAGGACAGAGCATAAAATACTCTTTTAGACGAGGGGAGTAAAGCCTGAGGTCTTCTGGTGTCTCTGAAGTAATCGAATTAGATTAACAACTTATTTTATAGAAAACATCTTATTTCAGTAAAATACATTTATTTATTAATATATATTTGATAAATAGATATATTAATTAAAAGAATAATAAAGTATCTTCTATAATTTCTTATGATGTTTTTCACAATTTTTTCGGTCAGCTCGACCGCAATTTCTTTCGATGACTGTTAATCTAATTCGATTACTTCAGAGACACATCATTGATCCGGATTAATCTAGGGAAATTTAGGAAGTCTATCGCTGAGTACCACTGCTCAGTCCAATCAGAGATCCGATTAATTGTCGTAAACATCCCCCGTAACGTGCACTATAGAATTTGCAGTACTGGCAGTAATTTCGGAACACGGCCAAAGTTGGCCGTAAGCAGAAGTAACTAGGATTTCAACCAGTTAAAATCCTAGTTACTTCTGCTTATGGCCAACTTTATCATCATCATTTCTATCATAGACTTATATAATAGACTGGCCCCTACCGTAAGAGGCAGCGTTGAAAGAACTAAAGGATAGAGAAATGATTCCGGGTATCTCTGTCCTTCTCTTTTGCTCGTAGTGGGGACACTGTAGGAGTTGAGGGGAAAGCAGTGTGCATGCCCGCTTCGTTTTCACTCATCCCATCAGTGTCCCCACCACGAGACAAAAGAGAAGGACAGAGATACCCGGAATCATCTCTCTGTCCTTTAGATCTTTCAACGCTGCCTCTTACGATAGGGGCCAGTCTATTATATAAGTCTGAGCTCGATTTTCTGCTCACTGAATCTGTGAAACCGACGAAGCCATCTGGCAGCATGGACAAAGATTGAAACGCCCGGTGCTATTAACGGAAGAAGAAGTATTATATAAGTCTATGGTTACAACCTGCTACGGCCATTGTAGATGACCCTTTACCATTGAACTATATAACATACTGGAAGCCGCGCTATCATAGAAAGTGGCCGATCCAGCCTGTTAGACAAGGAGGCGCTAAAAGGTGATGCGTTCTTTGTTTCTCTAACATATTACAGTCGATTCGTCTAAAGTTCTCACACCATAGTAGATGAAACAAAACTGTATGTATGTATTATTTTATCACAATTTTAATTTAAAAGAAAAAATGATATTTGAACAAATACGTATTACATTGCACATGCTACATTTCTTTAGACTAATGTTTTCAGCTCAGGTAATATGTAAGACAAGGAAAGCATGACCACTTAGCATCTATCTCTCTCGGCTCGGGAATAATAAACAAAACGTACACTGTGCGACAACGATTCGTTCCGTGGTCCCTCTCGCGAGGCAAGGGGAGTGTAGCCTCTAACCAATCAGCCATTGCCACGCTGCCAGCTGATTGGTCACTTCTACGCTCCCCTTGCCCCGCGAGAGAGTGACCACGGAACGAATCGTTGTCGCGCAGTGTACCTTTGCGCGGCTTCTAGTATGTTATATAGTTCAATGCCCTTTACATATAAAAAAGTATAGAAAAAAATTTGATTGAGTTTATAAATACAAGATGTCCCATTTTCATCCATCACCCCGAATAACTTTTTTAATTTTGATTGTAGAAAAAAATGTTTCAGACAAAAGTTGTATGGTTTTAAGAGGCACATAAGACGGTGCGATTAGTTTGACCTTGAAGAGTCACTTGAAAGTCACGTGAAGGTCACCTCCAACTTTTTAAATGGGACACCTATGTATTCTTGCGTATTCTTATGGCTTATCTCGAGAGCTTTCCAAAATGCTATAATAAAGTATTTTTCCATTGAGTGCTTTCCGAGTTATGAGGCTTGAAATCATTTCTTAATTTTACAATTCGCTTCATACTTGACTGTGATTGGTCAATCTCTTAAGGCTTAAATTACCTATTGTAAGCCCGACCTAAACCTTTAGGATGAGTTTTCATTTGACGCTCGACACTCATTTTCAGCTTGAACAGATATCACGTGACCAGAAAATGACGAATTGGTATCTTTATTTTTAGTCACGTGATGTCTTTTGACGCTGGAAAACGTCAAGTGAAAACCTGCCTTTAGAGTTGATGTGACACACGTGTTTCAATACGACATAAAAGCGCTCCTCGGAACTCGTAAGCATTTTTTCTATTTCATATTATAATTATTACAATTATAATTATTATTAAAATTATTATTATTATAAGTATTTATATTAGAATATTTAAAGCGTATGAGGATTACTGCGTCGATATTAAATGATGTCATCATGAATAGAAGTTGAAAAAGAGGTCCAAATTCCTGAGGAAGCATGTGATACCAAGATCTTTAGAAATAAGAGATCACACGCTCAAGAAGAAGAGGATCATTTCATCAGTTTAATAATATGGTGTATCTATTTTGCCCATATTGCGCCAATCTTCTCCGGTTTCAGGAAGATCCATCAGGCAATCGGTTTGCTTGTCGCACATGTCCTTACATCTATAAGATAAAAAGCGCAGTTACTACACGTACCTTTTTTAATGAAAAGCTGGAGAAGACGGTTGTCGTCAACAAGGAAACCGCGTGGGAGGGCGTAGATTCGACAGACGAGCGTTGCCCCAAGTGTTCCTATCCACGTGCTTATTTCAAACAATTGCAGACACGATCCGCTGATGAGGGTATGACCTTGTTCTACAGATGCTGCAATCATTCGTGCGGCCACACTTGGCGAGTCAATACATAAATCAGCAGGTGATCAATAAAATAATTTATTATAGTGCCAATTGATTCCTCTCATTATTTTGTACATAAAAGTATTAAGGTAAGATAATCGAGAAATGAATATTTTACAAGATATTTTATGGTTTATGTAAAATTAAGAAATTATTTCAAGCCTCATAACTCGAAAAGTACTTCATGGAAAAATAATTTATTACAGTGTTTTGGAAAGCTTTCACGATAAGCTGCAAGATAATGTAATAAAAAATATAGGGTTTCATTTAAAAAATTGAAGCTGACCTTCACATAACTTTGACAACGCTATTCGAGGTCATAATAATGTTGCTGTGTAATGCGTCACATAAAACCCTATAACTTTTTCCAAAAATACCCGCGGCAGTTAATGTGTTAAAGAAGCTTAAGAAGACTCCTTAATAATTTTTTTCTCTCTACAGAGGCAAACAATCCAAAGTATTCGAGGGATCATGAATCCCAATGCAATGGGTCCTATTAAGGTCAACATGAACAACGCCAGGAATGAATTGAAGCTGCTCGAGTCAAAGGAAAAGCATTGGTTCTGCGGTGGCAACCGGAGTGTCGTGATGGCAGCCCAATTGTTGCAACAGGGCAAGATAATCGCGATCCCGACTGATACGATTTATGGTCTTGCTGGTGTGGCCGTCAACCCGCTCGCCGTTCAACGATTATATGAAATCAAACGGCGAGATGGAAGCAAGCCACTGGCGATCTGTCTGAGTAATGTCAAAGAGATTGGTACATGGGGTGTTCTGGACGACGTGCCATCTGGTATGTTGGAGTGTCTGCTTCCTGGGCCCTGTACGATATGTTTGCGACGCACATCCGCTTTACCAAAATCATTCAATCCGGGCCAAGAGACTGTCGGGATTCGTGTGCCGGATAACAAGTTTGTACGCAGCGTCGCCAAGATTGTTGGTCCATTGGCACTCACCAGTGCCAACATTAGTAGCGAACCAAGCAGTCTATACCCGGACGAATTTCGCGCGCTCTGGCCCAAGCTCGACGGCGTCTTCCACGAGACGTCAAATTCGAACAAGCGGCTCGAGAGTCGCCGAGTCGGTTCCACTGTGGTGGATCTGTCAACACCAGGCTATTATAGAATTGTCCGTCATGGTATCGCAGGGAATATCATCATTAACGTATTAAATAAGTACGGATTGAAGAAAATTATGGACAATGTGTGCACTATGTGATTAAAGTTCTTAATTATAAACGGGGTATTATATTTAATTATTATTACGTTTATAAAAAAATAAAATTTAAGAAATTATATTGTGTCATTTCTAGCGCAGTTGAGAGAGTCTTTTTATTGTTAATATAAAAACCTTGTATGATTCTATTTAAAAAATTCAAGATAACTTTAACTTTTTATTAACGAAAGCAAAAATTCTGAAATTTTTATTACTTTATTAAGAACAATCAGTGTTTGCTGTAGATAATTTCAAAATTATCTAGATAAAGATAAAAATTTATCTTAGATGAGATAAAGATGATTTTGCTTTTACTCAATCTAGATAAGATAATTTTGCGATAATCTAGATAATTATCTAGATATTTTTGTTTATTTTAGAAAACTATAAATATTTGTAAAAAATGTGACGTAGATTATAAATGGGATATTAAAATCATAAACACGTATTCTTTCTCTTTTCCTAACCCTAGTAGCAGAATGACGTCAAATGACGTCTTAATAACGTCTTAATGACGTTTTTAAGATGTTTTTAGACGTCATCTTGCTACCTGGGAAAGAATATTTAATATTATAAAGAAATAATAGCAAAAAGGTATAAATGATATGATAAATATTTATTTATTAATTTATATTTATAATATATTTATAATATATTAATAATAATATAAAAAATATATTTTAGATATTTTAGATAGATTTTTAGAAGCTTGCCTGGTTAGGCAAACTTTTTTGCATGATGAAAACGTCATCTTAGACAATTGTTAGATAAGATGACATATATTTTTCATCTAAAATAAAGATAAAGATACTTTGCATTTCTTCATCTAGTTAAAGATAAAGATGATCCATTTCTTTATCTAGATGATTATCTAGATAATTTTATCTAAATACCAGCAAACACTGAAAACAATTGTATGAATAGGACTTTGATTTTTTTTTTATCATAAATATCTAGAAAATCGTGCAGTCCATTACGATATGTAGGTTTTGAAAAAAGGCTTTTTTAAAATTTTATTGCAATTTATTTTCAATCTGAGAACATTTTACTCTTCTGTCACATAAGATGTCATTAAATAATTCTGTTTTAATTTATTTAATAATATAATTTCATAGGTTTTTTTTTAAAGTAGTCATTAAAATATATTCATTATTTAAATAGAAAATTTATTTTCTTCTATTTACGATGATACCAATGTTTATAAAATGAGGACGTTTAAAGGCAAATAAACATTCATTGATCAAGATTCTTCCTGTGAAGAGAAGATTCTTGCAGTATATAAATTTCTTTCAACATTCTGTGCATACACAAATACATACACACACACACACACACATGCACGGATATCTTGAATCATATGTGTTCTTCAATCCTTATTTCCATCGTAAATTAATTCGTTCGATTACACATATGTAAACGCAGACACGCTCGATGCTGGATCTTCCCTTGTCTCATGGGAGGGATCCCAAATATATTCTTAAAAATAGTATTAATGTAATAAATAAATATTTAGCGCTACGCATATCGCCTCTTCATCCTTATCAGGCTATGTCCTTAACTGGCCTCATGCGTTTTAATTACAAATGATCACTAGGCAGAATGATAACGTTCGCTTATATATAATCGATTCTAAGCGAATAAACTTTTTAGATTCTCACAAAAGTTACATTGGCTCTTTGGTGCCAAGCGATTTTTGGGGATAATGCGAGGACAAGAGCACATGCGAGACTATTTGAAGATTAAAAAGAGAAAAGAAATTGTATTGAAATCACGGATATTCGTCCAAAAAGGTCTCAGATTCTCGCACATGTATCAGACATTATTTATAAACAGTATTAAAAATTTTTAAGAATATTAAAAGAAACGAAAAGTTTCAGAATCTCTCTCTCGAAATAGAATAGAATAGAATAGAAAATCTCAGTATAATGAAAATTCTACGTAAGAATCTCTAACAGCCTAAGAATTCAAAAGTCGAAAGATTAGTATATTCGAAGTTCTCCAAATTTAAGAAACAAATCTCGGTGATTGGAAAGCTCTAAGAGCTTTTTGTAATTTACAAGACGCAACACATGCAAGAATTTAGAAGCCAGGAGCAACTTTCGTAAGATCCCGATGTACTTTCTGCTTATTAATTATATAATAATATAATAAATCAGTCTAATCTTCCTTTGTAGAAAACATCCCTGACGGCGGTGAGTTTTTCTTCGAGTCGGCGATAATGCTCGTAGTCCTGAAAATACCCAGCAAACTGCTCCTCAGACGAGTGTAGATCTCTTTACGCACAGTCGCGGTGAACTTGGTGGCCAAACAGCCGATTGCTGCCGTGGCGAAGATCAGATTATAGAGGAGTACAAGCTTGAAATTACCAAGCCACTCAATGCGTCCGAAGTCACCCAGCAAATCGAAGTTTGTCATTCCTGAAAAAAAAAAACAGGAAACGAGGTATACAGGATGTCCCATTTTAAAGGACCTACTCAAATATCTCAGAAACACTTTGTTAAATCGAAAAATGTTTCAAACAAAAGTTGTGTGGCTTCAAGGGAGCGATAAGATGGTGACAATGATTTGACCTTGGAAAATCATTTGAAGGTCATGTGAAGGTCAACTTTAAAATCATAGATGGAAACCCCGATTTTTTATTTGGTATTCTTGTAGCTGACATCGGGAGCTTTCCAAAACACTATAATTAAATGTTTTTCCAATAAGTATTTTTCGAGTTATAAGGCTTGAAATAATATCTTAATTTTACATAAATATCTAGTAAAATATTCATTTTTCGATTATCTTACCTTAATACTTTTACGTGCAAAATAATGAGAGGAATCAATTGGTGTAAAGAAAAAACATAGTTGTTTCAAAGAAAAAATATGTAATTGTTACTTGCAAATTACATTTTCTTCTTCGAAACAACTATTTTTTTTACACCAATTGATTCCTCTCATTATTTTGTGCATAAATGTATTAAGGTAAGATAATCGAAAAATGAATATCTTACAAGATATTTTACGGTTAAAATTAAGAAATGATTTCAAGCCTCATAACTCGGAAAGCACTCAATAGAAAAATATTTTATTATAGTGTTTTGGAAAGCTCTCGATGTCAGCTTCAAGAATACTAAATAAAAAATAGGGGTTTCCATTTAAGATTTTAAAGTTGACCTTCACATGATCTTCAAATGATTTTCCAAGGTCAAATCATTGTCACCATCTTATGGCCCCCTTGAAGCCATACAACTTTTGTTTGAAACATTTTTCGATTTAACGCAGTGTTTCTGAGATATTTGAGTGAGTCCTTTAAAATAGGACACTCTGTATAATAACACAAAGAAAAATATTATATTATATTTTTATTATCAGACTGATTTTTTAATTCGTGAAAAATTCTAAAAAATTCTCAATTTTTTCTCTTTCAATCGTTTATAACTCTTATTCTAAATATAGTACGCTGATTGAGAGATATTTTTAAGGATAATTATTGACTACCTAGTATTCGAGATAACAGCGGTAACGCTGAACTGAGTACGAGCAACAAGGCGCAATTTGCGATGAGGTGGGTGAGCGGTGTAGAACGAAGTTTGGGTTGAACTCTTCTTACGCCTGGTAGAGCGTACAGACCGATCGCGCTAGTCACGGCCAAATAAAGGATCACTGCTACTTCGATCGTCGCACCGATGGGTCCAAGCTTAGACAAGGAGCTGATGCCAAGCGTAAATTGCTATTGAAATAAAAACGGAATTCGATTAATTAGCCTTGGAAATAGAAATGGGGGAAAAAAATTAAATATAACAATTAAAAATTAAAATTAAAAACAAACATAATAAACATAAATAAAGTATATTGTAGTAAATAGCAAAAATAGCATTAAAAAATTAAAAATAAACATTTAAAAAAATTAAAAAAAAAATAAAATCGAAAAAACGGGGTTTTTTCTGTTAAAAAAAAATTAATTTGGTTTTATTTTTTCATTGTTTTTAATATTAATAATATTATTTTTCTTTATATTTGTGTGTGTATGTGTTCGTAAATATAATAAAAAACTCTAAGGTTCATATATTTTTATTTTTTTTTTGAAAATAATTTTAATGAGTTAATAAGACTTGTGGCAAATCATATTAAATATGATTCATCATTCATGAATTCAGACATGATATCAGAGATCATTCAAACTATTTTTACTTAGATGCATAATAAAAATTTTTATTATGCATCTAACAAAATTATCTAAACTATGTTGTTCTTAGTATTTTAATCATAAAAATTATTCATAAAAAATTTTCACTTAATTTTTTAAAATTATTTCCAAAAAAAGAAAATTAAAAATAGAGAGAACTTCAATTTTTTTATTATATTGAAGTAGTAACTATAAAAAAATATAAAATATACTTTTAAAAATTACAAACTATGTCTTTCATCAATAATAAAGAATTCATTCAATTGTGATTTGGAGAATTTATTTAATTGAAATAGTAATTAACTATTTAACCAATTGGAATACAATTTATATTTAAAACAGTGATGGTTACTGTAAATCTAATTTAAAAAATCTAAAAAATCAAAAATAATAAAAATCTCAATTGCAATAATCAAAATATAAAAATTTGAAAGAAAAATAAAAAAAATGGCCTAAAGCTTTTTTTCACGGTTTTTTATGGGAAAAAAAACATTTTTGCTACTTTTTATTTTTCTATCTTTACTTAGAATAAATTTATTCTTCGAAATTACAATATATTATAATATGAATAAAATAGAAATACATTAATTATACAGGGTGTCCCATTTTAATGTCTCACCTCAAACAACTTTCTTATTTTTAATTTTAGAAAAAGATGTTTCAGACAAAAGTTGTATGGTTTCAAGGGGGACATAAGGTGGTGTCATTAGTTTGACCTTGAAGAGTCACATGAAAGTTACGTGACTGTCATTTTGAATTTCTGTAATGGAACACCCTATATATTTTTGCACATTCTTGTAGCTTATCTCGAGAGCTTCAAAACACTATAAATAAACATTTCTTCATCAAGTACTTTTCGAGTTATGAGCCTTGAAATCATTTCTTAATTTTACATAAACCATAAAATATCTTGTAAAATATTCATTTTTTGATGATCTTACCTTAATACTTTTATGCACAAAATAATGAGAGGAATCAATTGGTATAAAGAAAACATAGAGTTGTTTCTAAGAAAAAATATGGAATTGTTAATTGCAAATTACATATTTTTTCTTAAAAACAACTGTAGGTTTTCTTTACACCAATTGATTCCTCTCATTATTTTGTACATAAAAGTATTAAGGCAAGATAATCGAAAAATGAATATTTTACAAGATATTTTATAGTTTATGTAAAATTAAGAAATGATTTCAAGCCTCATAACTTGAAAAGTACTTGATGAAAAAATGTTTATAGTGTATTTATAGTGTATTTATAGTGTTTTAGAAAGCTCTCGAGATAAGCTACAAGAATATGCAAAAATATATAGGGTGTTCTATTTAAGAAATTCAAAATAACCTTCACGTAACCTTCATGTGACTCTTCAAACTAATGACACCACCTTATGTCCCCCTTGAAACCATACAACTTTTGTCTGAAACATCTTTTTCTAAAATTAAAAATAAGAAAGTTATTTGGGGTGGGACATTAAAATGGGACACCCTGTATACTATTTAAATTTATTATTTTCATATTAATTGATATTGATAGGAAAAATAATATAACAACGAGAGAGAGAGAGAGAGAGAAAAGCTTCAGTGAATTAATTATTTGAAATTTTATTGCTTTTTGCTACAGAATTTTTGATTCTCTTCTTGAAATTAAAATATCAAAAATTCTTGATATTTCCGATAAAATTCAATGTTAAGATTTCAATGTTAGATTTTCAAAGATTCAATGTAGATTTGTAAGAAAAGAAGCGTGTATACGAACCCTCGTGCTCAACGGCAGCGCTTTGATTCCTATCAGCAATTCCAATGTATTTTGCATCGCCAGTAAAGCCGTGGCAGTGGATAATACAAGCAGCATCAACATCGCCACCGGATAAAATAACGTGCGCCGAACCCACCAGGTTCTCCGCTGTTGATCCAGCAGCTGCCGTCGATGCTGAATGTCATTTAGCCGTTGAGAGAGACCTTTTTGCAGAGCACCGTTCCTTAGACATAGCAGACCCGGATTCACGCTTAGTAGCGGCTCGTCTTCATCCTCCTCCTGCTGCGCCGACAAGCTGCAACTCGCCGACGACGACATCGGCACCGGTGATACATACGACTTCCCTGTTGCTTTCACATGCTGCAATCTGAACGGATGCTGTTACACATGCTATTGTTATCATAAAAATATAACGGTCTATGAAAGAAATCTATCTATCATAAAAATATTACGATCTATGAAAGAAGGCAGAAAAGTGAGTTCACCTTCGGTTAATACAGTCCTCTTCTAATTTATATGCAAAATACTCCTCATTTAGATTCTTAAGAAACTGGGGTTTAACTAGAAATGACCCTACTACGCCAAACAGTCGTACAAATCCCACCGGAGTACATACTAAAAATATAGGATGCAATTAATGGAAAAATATTAATTAGCGAAAAATATTAATTTATTTATAGAATTACGCAGAAGTGAATGTTATTCGAAAAGTTTCGATACTTACACAATAACATTACTACGCCTACGAATGAGACGCAGGAGTATAGAAAAGGTAAATAGTAACTCCATAAATCTATAAAAATCGTATTTTATTAAATTGGATATCCTCAAGTGAATTTTATCCTTCGTTAGGATTCTCGCGTTAGATCTAAGTATATAGGGTTTTCGAAAAGTCCGGAAACGGTCGAATATCTAAAAAATAAAGCATTTTAAAGAAAAATGTTTCAAATAAAAATTGTTTGGTTTAAAGAGAGCTATAAAATGATGGCAATGGTTTGACCTTGAATAGTCGCTGGAAGGTAACATGAAGATCACTTTGAATTTTTTTAATGGAACACCCTGTATATTTTTGCACATCTTGTATCTTGTAGCTCATCTCGAGAGCTTTCCAAAACACTATAATTAAGTATTTTTTCAGTAAGTACTTTTCGAGTTATGAGGCTTGAAATAATTTTTTAATTTTTAAATAATTTTTTAATTTAGGCTTGAAATAATTTTTTAATTTTTTAATTTTTAAATTTAATTTTTAAATTTATTATTTTACATAAACTATAAAATATTTAGTAAAATATTCATTTATCTTAATACTTTTATGCACAGAACAATGTGAGGAATCAATTGGTGTAAAGAAAACACATAATAGTTTCTAAAAAAATATGTAACTTGCAATTAACAATTACATATTTTTTCTCAAAAACTATGTTTTTTATTTACACTAATTGATTTCTCACATTGTTTTGTGCACAAAACTATTAAGATAAGATAATCGAAAAATGAATATTTTACTAGATATTTTATGGTTTATGTAAAATTATGAAATTATTTCAAGCCTCATAACTCGAAAAGTACTTAATGAAAAAATACTTAATTATAGTGTTTTGGAAAGCTCTAGAGATGAGCTATAAGATTGTGCAAAAATATACAGGGTGTTCCATTAAAAAAATTGAAGGTGACTTTCATGTGACCTTCCAGCGACTATTCAAGGTCAAACCATTACCACCATTTTATAGCTCTCTTTAAACCAAACAACTTTTATTTGAAACATTTTTCTCTAAAATGCTTTATTTTTTAGATATTCGACCGTTTCCGGACTTTTCGAAAACCCTGTATAATACTTACTGAGCAACGTGTGTAAACTCGAGTTTTGATAATCCAATAGAGATGAGAGGACATAAGTCATTCCTAGTACAAGAGTGCCCAGAAGACCGAGGACTGTCATTGTCTCATATACTCTCGCCATCACACCCTACGACCAGAAGTAGTTATAAAAGAAAAGGATATAGGCTCGTTATTACAAGTGTTTTGTCTTACCTTCTTATGGCCTTCAAAACCCTCCGATTCCGTAAAGAGATAAGCAAAAGGCAGAAATACGAAGAGCGATAGGTTTGAGAACAAAAATACGTGGTTCCACAGACCTGTCAATAATGAATATATCTGGTTAAAATATGAAGATTACATGAAAATACAAACAAAAAAATTTAAGATATTTATTTTAAAGTTTTCCTTGATATCCTTTTTGTTAATATCATTATTAAGGCTATATAGGGTGTTCTAAACCACTTTTCTTTTAATGGCAGACTCTTCAGAACATTTCAAGACAAAAATCCTAATACAAATCTCCTCCCCCCCGTCGATATGCATTTCTTATACAAGGTAGCTTATTTTAAATATTACATATTATATTTTTCAAAAATTAGATCTTCGAGAAGTCATATAAAAATTTTGTGACTTGAAGAGGGACATAAGATGGTATGAAAGATGGAGCCATTTCATGTTTGGGCGAAGGTCATGAAGTTATTTCAAAGTCATCTTTATTTTTTTAATAGAATCACCCTAATTTATTTATATAAATCTGATTACTCGCGATATTCGACGTGAAAAGTTGTAAGTACAGAATGACCAAAAATTAAATAATTTACGAGATATTTTGTATTTTAATTTGATACAATTTTACATAAACTATATCACACAAAAATATCATAAATTATTAATTTTTTTATCATGTTACTTCAATATTTTTATGTATATAATAATGAGACAAATCAATTGGTGTAAAAAAACCATGCAGTATTAAGAAAAATGTATAGCTGGCTATACGTGGCAAATTTATATATTTTTTATGAACATGTAAATATTTTCGCATATTATACCAAAATTGATTCCTTTCTTTCAATTGATTCTATTATTTCTGTATAAAAATAAAATAAAATAATCGAAAAATGAATATTTTACGAGATGCTTTATAGTTTATATAAAATTATGTCAAATTAATGTATATAAAATGTCTTGTAAAATATATATACAGAGTATCCCATTTTAATGTCCCATCCCAAATAACTTTCTTATTTTTAATTTTAGAAAAAGATGTTTCAGACAAAAGTTGTATGGTTTCATGGAACACCCTATATATTTTTGCATATTCTTGTAGCTTATCTCAAGAGCTTTCCAAAACACTATAAATAAACATTTTCTCATCAAGTACTTTTCGAGTTATGAGGCTTGAAATCATTTTTTAATTTTACATAAACCATAAAATATCTTATAAAATATTCATTTTTCTATCTTACCTTAATACTTTGATGTACAAAATAATGAGAGAAATCAATTGGTGTAAAGAAAACATACAGTTGTTTTTAAGAAAAAATATGTAATTTGCAATTAACAATTCCATATTTTTTCTTAAAAACACAACTGTATGTTTTCTTTTACACCAATTGATTTCTCTCATTATTTTGTACATAAAAGTATTAAGCTAAGATAATCGAAAAATGAATACTTTACAAGATATTTTATAGTTTATGTAAAATTAAGAAATTATTTCAAGTCCCATAACTCGAAAAGTACTTGATGAAAAAATGTTTATAGTGTATTTATAGTGTATTTATAGTGTTTTGGAAAACTCTCGAGATAAGCTACAAGAATATGCAAAAATATATATGGTGTTCTATTTAAGAAATTCAAAATGACCTTCACGTAACCTTCATGTGACTCTTCAAGGTCAAACTAATGACACCATCTTATGTCCCCTTTGAAACCATACAACTTTTGTCTGAAACATCTTTTTCTAAAATTAAAAATAAGAAAGTTATTTGGAATGGAACATTAAAATGGAACACCCTGTATATGTCCAATTTTTAACTATTTTTACCTTAATAACTTTTCACGCTGAATATTGATTTATTTAAATAAATTAGAATGGTTCTATTAAAAATAAAAAAATAAAAAAAAGGGATGACTGAAATCTCTCACGACCTCTTTATAATGATCACCCCTTATGTCTTCGAAGTCACCAAACCGTCAGATGCATTGGTGCCGTTGACACGGATGGGTTGCTATTCTGCTATTCGTTGATCGAATGAGCGTAAACACGCATTTCTTCCTTATACAGGGTAAGTTATTTTAAGTTACTTACCACAGTAACTTTCTTATTTTTGATTGTAGAAACAAATGTTTCAGATAAAAGTTGTTTGACTCGAAGGGGGACATAAGATGATACCATTGGTTTGACCTTGGATAATTGTTTAAAGGTCACATGAAGGTCATTTTTAATTTTTTAAACGGAACTCCGGATTTTTTATTACTTATTGTGATAGCTTATCTCGAGAGATTTCCGAAACACTATAATAAAGTATTTTTTTATTGAGTATTTTTCGAGTTATAAAGCTTGAAACAATTTCTTAATTTTACATAGTCCATAAAATATCTAATAAAATATTCATTTTTTATTTTACCTTAATACTTTTATGTCCCAAATAATATGAGGAATCAATTGGTGTAAAGAAAACACATAATTGTTTCTAAGAAAAAATATGTAATTTGCAATTAATTACATATTTTTTCTTAAAATAGCTATGTTTTTTTCTTTATACCAATTGATTCCTCACAAATTATTTCAAGCTTCATAACTCGAAAAATACTTTATTATAATATTTTGGAAAGCTCTTCAGATAAGCTATCACAATAAGTAATAAAAAATAGGGAGTTCCATTTAAAAAATTAAAAGTAACCTTCATGTGACCTTCGAACAATTATCCAAGCTCAAACCAATGGCATCATCTTATGTCCCCCTTCGAGGCAAACAACTTTTGTCTGAAACATTTGTTTTTACAATCAAAAATAAGAAAGTTATCGGGTGGGTAATTTAAAATAACTCTCACATATGCAGTCCTATCTATCATCTTGGATGATAGATTTGAGAGATATCAATGCATCATCACTTAAAATCGGCTAGCTTGTATACATTATCTTGAATTATGATCTGATTTACGTAAATATAATAAATTACTCCTTCTCTTCTTTTTCAAGCCAAGTCTTACAAATCTTTCTGTAAATTCAGTCCATGATATCCCATGTAGGTTCTCACCTTGAATGAGGGAGCTGTTAAGCCACTTGACATAGTAGCTGTTCGGATAGAGAATGAGTACCTCGTTGCTGGCGATAGACACCGGAAGTAGGAGGGTCGCGCCGACGGAGACCGCCAGAGCAACCGTGCATAACCAGAGGCTGATCCTATACACGGTGGCTTCATCCTCGTCTACTGATAGATAATCGTCGCGATCTCGGCGTCTGAAGCGTGCGATTAATGCGTAACTCGAGATATATAATAGCAGAAAAAGAAGCAAAAATATCTGAAAAAAAAAAAATTATTAATTATGTTAATAATATTTTAATTATATATATAGGGTGGCCCATTTTAATGCATCCAGTCGAATATCTCGAAAACCAAGCCCAGGAGAGAAAAATGTTTCGGACAAAAGTTGTTTGGTTTCGAGGGGGCCATAAGAGGGTACCATTGGTTTGACCTCAAAGAGTTATTTGAAGATCATGCGAAGGTTACTTCAATTTTTTTAAATGAAACATCCTATATATTTTTGCATATTCTTGTAGCTCATCTTGAGAGCTTTCCAAAACACTATAATAAAGTATTTCTTTATTGAGTACTTTTCGAGTTATGAGGCTTGAAATCATTTCTTAATTTTGCATAAACCATAAAATATTCATTTTTCAATTATCTTAGCTTAATACTTTTATGTACAAAATAATGAGAGGAATCAATTGGTGTAAAGAAAACACATAGTTATTTCGAAAACAAAAATGTAAATATGTAAAAATATGTTGTAATAAACAATTAAATATTATTCTTAAAAGTAACTATGTGTTTTCTTTGCACCAATTGATTCCCCTCATTATTTTGTACATAAAAGTATTAAGATTAAATAATTAAAAAATGAATATTTTACAAGATATTTTACGGTTTATATAAAATTAAGAAATGATTTCAAGTGTTACAACTCAAAAAATACTTGAGGGAAAAATAATTTATTATAGTGTTTTGGAAAGCTCTCGACGTGAGCTACCAGAATATTTAATAAAAAATAGGGAGTTCCATTTAAGAAATTGACGGTGATCTTCACGTGACTTTCAAATGACTCTCCCATGTCAAATCATTGCCACTATCTGATGACTCCCTTCAAGCCATACAACTTTTGTCTGAAACATTTCTTTCTAAAGTGCATAGAAGTTTATGAAATATTTCACCAATCTGGGACTTTTGGGACACTCTGTATATATAGGTATATATAGGTATATAGGTATATAATAATTATGTATAAATAAATTATTAATATATATATATATATTTTAATAATTTATTTATACATAATTATTATTCAATATCAAAATGTATTTTATTGTAAATTATACAGATGCACGTCTTTTATAATCAAAAAGAATTATTGTTTACCGTAATATACGTAATATACGATTGCAAAAATAATTATTTTGCGTCGTGAGAGGATAAACAAAAGCAGCATTTTTGCAGATATACTTAATATTCATTACTGATTGTTGGTGCTTGATAAAATTCTTGAGATATAATGACGTTATGTAAATAATACCATTAACGCCGATTAGAGGAATGCTTACAACGCAAAAAAAATATAAAAGTGTGTCGGTAAACGAAGCCATACTACACATGCGAATTAAACTTATCATCCCGTTGTTTTTTTCCATCACTGTATTTTTTTTAAATATCACAGGTATAATTTGCGATATAATTAATCAGTATAACAGCTAACAATATTAATAAGTGGAAATGAAATATTGATTTCTTAATTTTCGTTTCCTTCAAAGAAAAACACCAATGTTTTCAATTTAATTGAATATTTTTATTTAAATTAGTTCGCATAGGAAAATATTACAAACTTTAATTTTTGAATGTTTTTATATTTTGCAGATTATATTGTTCTGGTTTCTATATATATCTCTGCACAGTGTGTATCTGAAATGATACACTAAACTTTAGGAGCGTATTCTAGAGGTTAAAATAAGACTTTTTTTTCCTATGAACATGGGTCCGCAAATGAACCCCCCTCTGAGCTAGAGGCCCCTAAAGTTTGGGGAAAAAATTGAAAATTAGCTATATTTCAAAAAAATTATTATTTTACCTTAGTTTTGATGTTATTTATCATCCTCTTTTGAGAGATAAATAAATTTGCGTTGCGAGTGTTTGGTCAATTTCACACATTTTCGAATTTTAGCTCGGAGGAAGGTTTATTTGCAGACCCATGTTCATAAGAAAAAAGTCTTATTTTGACATCTAGAATACGCTCCTAAAGTTTAGTCATTTCAGATATACCCTGTATATATTTTTTGCATCAAATAATATAATATATTTTTATGAGATTTCTCATATTAATATATTTAACTTTAATAAAAATATATTTTAATAATATTATATTTCATACAATTAATATAATTTCTAATATATATTTCTAATATATATTAATAAATAAATAAATATATATATATATATATATACATATATATATATATATATATATATACATATATTTATTATATAAAAATTAATATTTATATATTTTTATTAATAAAAATTATATATTTATATATTTATTACAATAATATGTAACATATGTATTATGTAAAATCGCACAAAATTTTATTGAAATATATTAATTAATATTACATATACATACATAGATACGCGCGCGCGCGCGCGTGTGTGTGTGTACACAGAGTGTCCCATTTTATTTTCGTCAGTCAAATATCTTGATATTACTTAGAGTTAGAAAAAAATATTTCAGACAAAAGTTTTATGGCTTGAAGGGGATTATAAGATGGTGTCATTGATTTGACTTTGAAAAGTTGTTTGAAAGTCATATGAAGCTCACCTTCAATTTATTAAATGGAACTCACTATTTTTTATTACTTATTCTTGTAGCTTATCTCGAGAGCTTTCCAAAACGCTATAATAAAGTATTTCTTCATTGAGTACTTTTCGAGTTATAAGGAAATAATTTCTTAATTTTACATAAACCATAAAATATCTAGTAAAATATTCATTTTTTGATTATCTTACCTTAATACTTTTATGTACAAAATAATGAGAGGAATCAATTGGTGTAAAGAAAACACCACATAGTTGTTTCAAAGAAAAAATATGTAATTTGCAATTAACAATTACATATTTTTTCTTAAAATTAACTATATGTTTTCTTTACATAAATTGATTCCTCTCATTATTTTGTACATAAAAGTATTAACGTAAGATAATCGAAAAATGAATATTTTACAAGATTTTATGGTTTATGTAAAATTAAGAAACGATTTCAAGCCTTATAACTCGGAAAGTATTTAATGAAAACTAATTTAATTATAGTGTTTTGGAAAACTCTCGAGATAAACTACAAGAATATGCAAAAGCATATAGTGTCCCATTTAAAAAATTGAACCTTGGTGACCTTCACATGATCTTCAAATGACTCTTCAAGATCTAATGGCACCATCTTATGTCCCCCTCGAAACCATACAACTTTTATCTGAAACATTTTTTCGAATTTTTATTATTCGATATTTTCATTTTCCGAAATATTTGCCTGGGGAAATTAAAATGAAACGTCCTGTATATACAGGGCATCCCAGAACACTACATACAAGCGCTTGTGAGGAGGTAGAGGCCAGTAAACTGAACAGAAAAATCTTATACCATCTTACAATTTTCGCAATAATGACAGAAATATTTAGTATTTCTGTTATTATTGCGAAAATTGTAAAATGATATAAGACTTTTCTGTTCAGTTTACTGGTCTCTACCTTCTCACAAGCGCTTCTATTTAGTGTTCTGAGATGCCCTGAATATACATATGTATTAATATAAATTAATTTCAATATAATAAATATTACATTTTAAATATATGAATATATTTAATATGTCCACAAATATTAAAAATTTTTATAGAAAAATGTATATAGAGTGTTTGAATTAAAAATTGGACCAATGCTCGTGAGCAGTAGAGCATAATAAACGGAATCGAAAAATCTTTTAGCATTTTGCAATTTTTGCAATTTATTATTGTAATATCAATTGAAGAAAATAAGAGCGTGTTTCCCACAGCTAGAGTTCCCAACATGTGTTCGAAACGTGCCAACAGAGTAGTATCGTATGACAATGAAAACACAAGAGTCGTAGAATGCACAGCCAAACTGCTCGTTGCCACGTGATACTCGTGGTTGACATATTTAGAAAACATATCTCACTATCTAGATGCGTGAAACGCGTACTTATTCGCCAGTCCTTTTTAATTAATATTTCAATAATTATTGCAAAATGATAAAGAACTTATCTGTTCAATTTACTGCTCTACTGCTACTACCTCATAAGCGTTGCTCTAATTTTTATCAAATACTTTGTATAGGGTTAGGAAAAAGTCTGGATACCCCTTAATATTTCGAAAAATACGCATTTTTAAAATAAATGTTTCATACAAAAGTTATAGGGTTTTATGTGGTGCATTACACAGCAACATTATTATGACCTTGAATAGCGTTGTCGAAGTTATGCGAAGGTCAGCATTAATTTTTTTAATGGAACCCTATATTTTTTATTACATTATCTTACAGCTTATTCTGAGAGCTTTTCAAAACACTATAATAAATTATTTTTCCATGAAGTACTTTTCGAGTTATAAGGCTTGAAATCATTTCTTAATTTTACATAAACCAAAATATCTTGTAAAATATTCATTTTTCGATTATCTTACTTTAATACTTTTGTGCACAAAATAATGAGAGGAATCAATTGGTGTAAAGAAAACATAGAGTTGTTTTTAAGAAAAAATATGGAATTGTTAATTGCAAATTACATATTTTTTCTTAGAAACAACTATGTGTTTTCTTTACACTAATTGATTCCTCTTATTATTTTGTACATAAAAGTATTAAGGTAAGATAATCGAAAAATGAATATTTTACGAGATATTTTATGGTTTATGTAAAATTAAGAAATGATTTCAAGCCTCATAACTCGAAAAGTACTTCATAGAAAAATAATTTATTATAGTATTTTGAAAAGCTTTCAAGATAAGCTGCAAGATAATGTAATAAAAAATATAGGATTCCATTAAAAAAATGGAAGCTGACCTTCACATAACTTTGACAACGCTATTCGAGGTCATAATAATGTTGCTGTAACACATAAAACTCTATAACTTTTGTATGAAACATTTTTTTTAAAATGCGTATTTTTCGAAATATTAAGGGATATTCTTTTTCCTAACCCTATATATTAAGTAATTCAGTTTATTAATTCCTTAATTCATGTAATAAA